AATAGTTAATTTCCCACATATCTATAGCTAGGAAAGAAGGGAATTGCATTTCATTCATCACCCCATTTGGGGTCCAGTATCTTTGCCAAGATACTGGACTGGTTTGCCACATCCTTCTTCATTTTGCAGATGAGGAACTGAGGAGGTTAAGTCACTTGCCCACAGTTACACAGTTAGTCAGTGTTTGAGGCCAGATTTGAGCTCATGAAGATGAGTCTTCCTGATTCCAAACCCAGCACTTTATCTGCTGTGCCACCTAACTGCAGTTTAGCTATATCTATATACATACATATCTATGTTTATAAACATACATATGTGTATATATACAGTGTATATAGAGAGATTGTATTATATATATGGCATGTGTGTGTGTGTGTGTGTGTGTGTGTGTGTGTGTGTGTGTGTGGAAAGAGAGTTGAGAGAGAGAGAGAGAGAGAGAGAGAGAGAGAGAGAGAGAGAGAATGTAGATAGATGATAGATGGATAGACAGATCTGTGTCCTTCATCTGTAAAGTGAAAGAGTTGCACTATGGTCTATGAGGTCCGTTCTAAGTTTAAATCTATAATCAGCCAGTGGGGAGTGGATGTTCTGACCCTCTATGCAAGAAGGGATGCCTATGCTCTGGTTCCTCTCAGCGCTTTTTACCTCTCACCCTGACCTGAAATACAAGGCAAAATACAAGCACAAGGAGTTTTACATCCTGTAATAAACATAACACATTTAAAACAGTTCTACATAAAAAGCCTTTTAAATACACTTCCCTCACAACAACCTCTGAAGAAGCTAGTGAAATAATCACTATTGCCCATTTTACAGTAGAAGAAATGGAGATGCAAAGAACTTTAGTGACTTACTAAAAATATGCAGAGCTAATAAATCAATCACCATTCACCAAATCAACTCCATGGATACTTAGGCAAGTACTTTTTCTGCTATATCACATTATTTCTAAGAATCTAGTAAGCCCCTTTTTGTGTGAAAGCAAAAAACTGGAAATTAAGTGAATGCCCATTAATTAGAGAGTGGCTGAACAACCTGGCATATTCATGTAATGCAGGGGTTCTTAGACCCTTTGAGAACCTGAGGAAGCCTCCGCAAAATAGTATTTTACCATGTATAAAGTACATAGGATTACAAGGAAGCCAGTTATATTGAAATCGTTATTAAAATATTATTTTTAAAAAGCAAAATCACAGAGTTCAAGTTAAGACCCTCTAATGTAATAGAGTATTATTGTACCTTTGGAAGCATTGAATATGAATACTTCAAAGAACCCTGGGAGGACTTGTATGAACTAATGAGTATTGAAGTTGTTGTTGTTGTTGTTGTTGTTGTTGTTGTCGTTGTTGTTGTTGTGACTGCTGCTGCTGCTGCTGTTGTTCATCCTTTGCTTCTGAAGAGGACCAATGACATCACCAGAGATGTCATGACTTGTGTGTGAATTGGATTTAAATGAGGCAGAGTCGTGCAAAGTCATCAGGAGAAGCAGGACAACCAGGACAGACTAGGACATACACCATCACAATGACATGAAAATCCTCTGGTGTTTGTTGATATGTCTGCTGCCAATCATACTAATCAATGTGCAGAGACATTTTAATAATCGGTTTATGATATGTTCAGAGCATAGTCCCATGGTAAAAAAGGAAACCAATGGGTCACAAGTAGCTTTCGATAATCTCATATAGGACAAAGCAGCATGGATGGATACAAGTGGAATTTTTCCAGAAGGCAAGGGAAAAGGTAAAGATTTACTCATCAAAGAACTGATAGAAAAAGGCGAAGCTCTATATCTGATCAGAAAATGCTAAAGAATTTCTCTAGAATTTGTAAACTAACTAGGAAATGCTCATCTTCAATAATTAGAGTCAATAAAGCTAAGCCAGAAATTTTCATCATAATTATACAATAATGTAAATAATCCTAAAAATTCTAAAAAGAAGCTGAACTCTCAGTAATCATTATTATGGTAATAATAATAACAGCTAGTATTTACATAACATTGTAAGATTTGCAAAGTGCTTTACCTATGCTAACTCATGTGATCCTCACAACAACCCTGTGAGGTAGATGCTATTATTATCCCCATTTTACAGATGAGACAGCTGAGGAACAGAAAGGTTAAGCGGTTTTTCCAAGGTTACACAACTAGTAAACATCTAAGGCTGAATTTGAACTCAGATCTTTCTGATTCCAAGTCTTGCGTCTATCTACTGTAGCACCTAGTTACCTGTATTACAAACAATATTGTTCCTTCCTTTTGATAACAGAAGTCAGAAACCATAGGAGCAAAATGTGATATATGCTGTAACATACAGTCATCTTGTGATTTGTGAAACTGAGGTCTCATCAGCACCAAAAATCAGACAGAATTTTCTGAGTATTCTCTTTGTCAAAGAGAGACCTCTAGGTGGTTCGTTAGAAAGAGCATTGTATTTGTAGTCAAGAAGACTTGAGTTTGAATCCTAACTTAGAAATGTATTTGTCATTCTGTTGACTTCCGGAAACAGAGGAAGCCCTCTGTTTCCCCATCTGTAGAGGGAAAGAGTGGACTACATGGTCTGTGAGGTCCCTTCTAAGTCAAAATCTATAATCAACAGCTGAGGAGTGGATACTCTAGCCCTCTATGCAAGAAGGGATGTCTATGCCCAGGCTCTTCTCAGTGTCTTTTATCTCTCACCCTGAACCTAACTATTCTATGTAATCATGCCTTCTAAAACCTCCTTCCCCGACTTTCCCTACTACCTAGCCTATTTAGAGCATTATTATTAAAAATAAGTTGAAGATTTGTGTATAGAAACTGAAGGAAAGTTACTATACCTTTATTTGTACATTTGTAGTTTAATCTAAGCCTTCAAAAAAGGAATAATAATTTGGAATCTGATCTGCCCTGATTTCCAAAGGAAAATAAGAAATTATAGAATGCTTTTCTCCTTTTGATTATAGTCCTTTTTTTAACAATGGAAATTTGTCAACCCTCACCCAGCCAATTTGAACAGGAAACTCAAATTTATGACTCACTGGAAATTACAACCAGCTCTTTAGAAGTAATGGAAGGGAGGTTCAATGAGACAACCCAAGGGAAATAGGCTGGTAACTGGGAAATTATAAGGCATATAGGAAAGTCATTTAGACAGGTAAGAATTTTGAGGCAGGCTTGCAAATGAGAGATAGAGACCGAAACAGAGACAGAGACAGACAGAACAAGACTGATAGAGCTAGAGAGATAGAGACAAAGAAAGAGAGGGCAAAAATGTGAATAAAATTGAAAGGATTTAGGAACTAAAAAAATTAATGGAAAAAAACCTTTTATTTACAAGAGTTAATCTCTTCTTAAAAGCTCCATTACACACTGGAATGGTCCTACTGGCTATAACTCTAAATTTTTTGGTCTGCTTTGTTCCAATAATAAAAATCTTTTCTAAGTTCCCTTATTACACAGAAAATGAAGGTCTACCTATGTTTTGGGTTGATTTTTACACTAAGATATTTTCAATTTTTTTAAAATCAGATTTGAGTCCAGAGTGATAGATAGATGGATGGATAGATAGATAGATAGATAGATAGATAGACAGATAATCAGACAGCATTTAAGTACTTGCTATGTACAAAATACTCTGCTAAGGATTGTAATACAAATACAGGCTGAAAGAAAGACAGTCCCTACCCTTAAAGAGGAAAAGCAACAAGTAGAAGGGAGCTGAAAGTGAGAAGACAGAGAAATAGCCAGGGAGAATCATAGGCTGGTCCTGATTTGAAGTGAATATGGCTGGCCTGCGAGCTTCCTCAAATCAAAGTTCATGAAGGAACTCACCACTCAAAAGAAGAGACCTAAGGGAGGAGGCATTTCCAGAATGTGAACACTGGAGCAGAGATGGAAAGGTTATCCAGGAAGACATGGATTTGATCTGTGTTTGATGTGAAAATGGCTGGTATGAGAGTTTCCTGAAGTGGAGTTTAAGTGTTGGATTTCATTCCATTTGTAAATTGAGCCTGAGAAGGAACTTCCCTTTTGGAAGTTGATTGCTTGATCAATTTCTTCCTTCCTTCCTTCCTACCTTCCTTCCTTCCTTCCTTCCTTCCTTCCTTCCTTCCTTCCTTTCCTTTGGACCTGTAATTTCATCACTAAAGGGAATTCCTGGAATGGAAACTACCTCAACTCTTGTAGACTGGCAACTCATCTGTAACTTAGAGCTTAGAGAGTGGCCTGGGCGCTGACATTAAGTGACTTGCTCATGAGCATATAGTTTATAAGTTTTAAAAGAAGGACTTAAACGTTACTGTTCTTGATTCCGAGTCTTGTTTGCTTTCTAGTGCTTAGTACAGTAGGTGTTTAATAAATGCTTGTTGACTTGGTTTAACTATACTACACTGCCTCTTGTGGCTTAATTACCACTGTGTAGATGATTATGCCTTTGTTATAATGATAATAAAAATACTTATTGTTTTCAAATGATTTTGTGCATCTACTAAAAATACAGAACTTTGTAGAAATGGGGGTAAGACATATATCCAAATAAGTCTGACCCAGGTTGTTTGAGAAGAAACAATGAGTCCATAGTTCTAAAATGTATGGTTTAAGAATACAATTAGCATGACAATCCATCTACATTTATTTTTGAGGGCTATAACAGGTCAATTATCTGACGACTCTGCCTTCAAATGCATTATTTAAGAATCATCAGGAAGTATTAAAATTAAGAATTATACCTATCAAGTACTACTTATATTAAACACAAGACAAAACAGAATTTCATCTAAAGAGCTAGGTGATTTTTTTTAAGGGCTTGATTGCTCTAACAAAAAATAAAATAAAATAAAATATTTTGACTACATTCTTGTTTAGAGACCAAGTCAGAGACCAAGACAGGGAGAGATTTATCAATTAATGTCACTTAACAGACAGTAATTGCCCTCTGCTGGTAGCTATCTGAAACTACCATTTTACTTTCAATTGCTATTAACAACATTAATTTATATATTTCTTTTTTTTTTAATAGATCAAATAAATTTCAAGCTTTCCCCTCCTCCTACAGCAAGTACTGATAATTCCACTTCATCAGCTGGAACAACTCTTGCTGGTAAGACTCTTGCGCAGCACTTTACATATATTATCAAACATAGATATATCACATATTATTTTGAGGAAAATATTCCCTTTTTAAGCTCTAATGTAGGTTTCTCTGAGTCCTAGGATCAAATCCAGCGTAACTGACATCCTAGTGAACCAAGCTACCTACCAGGCATGGTGGCACATGCATGTTATACTTGCTAACTGGAGAGGCTGAAGCTTTTAGATAGCTTGAATTCAGGAGTCTCGTGCTGCAGTTAAGAATAAGGCCGATTGGGTGTTTACAATAAATTTAGCACCAATATGGTGAGCCCCAGGGAGTGGAGGGCTACTAAGCTGCCCAACAAAGGGCAAACCAGCTCAAGTTAGAACCAGACGGGGTCCAAATTCCCATCCCAGTCACTGGTGGAGTCAGGCCACTGAGTGGCTTCTACATTTCTAGCCTGGGCCAGACATGGATATCCCATCTCAAAAGCAAAGCAAAAAACTCACTGAACTACCTAATCTCAAATTTGCTTGTTAAAAAAATAAACAATCCACAATCCTGAAGAATCAGTCACACAAAAAATGGACATGCCTGGGATATTAACATGTAGAATGCTGTAAAATAAATTCATGGTTTTCAAATATGACAGTACCTTAGATTTCTCATAATCTCAGTGTTCTTGTTCAAAACTTTCCTGAAGAATGGCAGGGCCAAATGCCAGGACCAATATATCAGAAGTGTCCTTTATGAGAGAGACAAATTGTTCCCTTGAAAGCCCTATTTAATGAGCCTTCCTTCAGTACCCCACAGGAAAAAAAAAAATACAAAGACCTCCAAGTACTCTGTGAGCAAGAAAATTCAAGAGCATACATGAGCTAATTTCAAGAAGTTACTCAAGAAATCCATTGAGACCTCTTTAAAATGCTGGTGTTGGGAGGAATAAGAGGAAGGCATGATTCAGAGGCTGTTTGAACTAGAAAGGCTCTTAAGAAGAGAGAGTCTAAAGGCAGCTAGGGGGTGCAGTGGATAGACTACCTGGCCTAGAGTCAGGAGGATGCAAATTCAAATCCAGTTTCAGACACTTGCTAGCTGTGTGGCCCTGGGCAAGTTACTTAACACTGATTGACTCCCCCACCCCAAGAGAGAGATGGTCTAATTCCCTAATTTTAAGGATAATGACTGATGTTTTTGAGAGTCAGATGGCTTAGTGATAAAGACCAGGCCTTGGAGTTAGGAAGACCTGATTTGAAGTCAAGCTTCCCACTCATACTGACTGTGTGACCCTGGGCCTTCTTAGTTCCATAGAAAACTCCCTAAAAATACAAATTGCAAATCATATATAGATGCAAATTGGCAGAGGGAAGGTCCTTCCTGAGAGGTACCAAAGAAATCACAAACCCTTTTCTCAAAGTAATCCTATGAGATAGTTGTGCAAATAAGCTGAGGCCAAGTGACTTAATCATGGTCACATAGTGAATTGGTGGCAGATAGGTGATAAGAACCTGGCTCTCAAAACTTTTAGGCCAATATTCTTTACACTCAACCATGAATCTTATAGCCTGACTGTGTTAAACTGTATTTTTCTCTGTAACATATTGGGTTCCCAATAAGAACCCATAGTAGCATAGCTTATTGCTCTTTATTACACATATTTAAATTGAGGGACATACTTCTAATTTTCAAATTTTAGGATAACAGATTCTTGGAAAATGTAAGAAGAAGAAGAATAGATTGCATTTCTATAGGTTTCACCTTTTTCAAAAAGACTATCCCTATTGATTATTTTATCAATGATCAACTCTTAGAACAAATAATAGTAATAATTCACATTAAATGCAGGGCATCCCAAAAGTTTTAGGACAGCTTAAAGCTTTAATAGTTTATTTAAATATCTCATTGAATAGCTTCTTAAACTATTAAAGCTTAAAAGTACTCTTAGACTTTTGGAACACCCTATATAAGACCTGGGTTCAAATCCTGCTGGATTTGTATCTGTGGACAAGTCACTTGCCTTTTCATTCCTCCAGGTGTTGTTCTAAGACTAACAGTTGCAGAACAGGTACAAGTGTGCATGTGTGTATACATATATATGCACACATATATTTATATGTGTGCAAATATATATGTACATATGTGCATATATTCATATTATGCATACATATATGCATAATTTTAGGATTTGTGGGGAACTGACATTATTATTTCATTTGATCCTCACAATAACCCCGTGAGGGAGATACTGTTATTATTCCCCATTCTGCAAATGAGGAGACTGAGCCTGAAAAAGTAATAGAACTACAGTCAGACTATGGTCAGAAGCATCAGCAATTAAACTGAGGTGCTCTTGGCTCCAAACCTAGCCTTCTTCCTACCATGGCATGGGACCTCCTATCAAACAACCCAGAATATCTTTGTGTATGGTAGTAACTAAGACTTGTTAGATTCTTTGAAAGAAATGTTGATGGATACTGGCCTAGCAGATTAGAAACAATGGGGCCATGCAGAGTTTGCCACAGTCCCAGCAGACCAGCCGTAAGTTGACCTTTCCTTGAGCGAAGCTAGCATCCTCTAATATATTGGGGTCTATTCAAAGAGAAGACTCCATTCATTCATTCTTACCACTGAGGCTATTTATTCGGTCCTCTCTTATTTTTTAAGAACAACCCTAGTCATTGTTGTTTTATAAATGAAGATGACAAAATATGGAAACAGTAATACATGACAGACAGGGTGTGTATATGTGTATGTGTGTATGTTTGTGCGTGCATGTGTGTATCACCCAATACATGTTCACGTAGGCGTTCTCAAAGAGCCAGCCAAGTGCCTCTACATACCCAGAATGTGTCATTGGTGCTGACAGATATGTATCCTACTGCAAATATAAGCTTGGTTTAGTTGTAAAAAGTTTTGTTTATTTTGTCATACTTAAGGGGCACCTAGGTGACGCAGTGGATAGAGCTCAGGCCTTGGAGTCAGGAGGACCTGAGTTCAAATGCGACCTTTGATAGTTACTAGCTATGAGACCCTGGGCAAGTCACTTAACCCCATTGCCTACCAAAAAAAAATATTTTGTCATACTTAAGTAGAAGTTCATCCACTCACTTTTTGTAATATTTAAACCTGAAAAAATATGTTGAATAGAATAACTCAAAATTGGAAATGTTTTATTAGAGATTCATAAACAGCTTTGATAATTTTACTGGAAATCACACTTGTTAATAACTTACCAAGAAATTGTACCAGGGTAGGACAGCAGTGAATTGAAGAGGAACTTAACCCCAAAATGAATTGTTGAAACCCTCTTTATATCAATTATATTCAGACAATTGTGTAACAGAAACAGGCAAATACAGAAAAACTTCTGGCAAAAAGAACATAATGGTTACTTCTGGACTCCATGTCTAAGACGCTAGAATTCTTTTTGTTGTTGTTGTTGTTGTTGTTGTTGCTATAGTTGTTAATAAACCTTTAGTTGTTAAGAAAAAAATAGAATTCAGTTTTCTGCCTACTTTGTCCAAATTAACTCCTGATTCAGTCAATTGCAAGCAGTGATTGACTTGGAGGTTCTATGGAATACACTTCATGTATTGGCTTTATATGCTTAGCAGCATAGCAGGCCCTTAATCAATGCTTATTGATTTACTGACTGATGAGTATCATGAAAGTTAAATTAGCACCAATAATTTTCTAAAGGCAACCTTCTTTTGTAGTGTGAAAATCAATACCCTAACAAAAATTAAAATTAAAATTAAACTGAGGTTGTATACATCAATTAGGGAATAAATGAAGATGTTATGGTATATAAATATAATGGAAAACTATTGTGCTGCAAATGATGAAGGGGATTATTTTAGAAAAAACTGGGAATTCTTATATAAACATTTAAACAATTTAAAACATAATAATAATAGCTACCATTTATATAGCACGTTAAGGTTTACAAAGTGCTTTACAAATATGATCTCATTTTATCATCGTAACAACCCTAGAAAGTATGTGCTAGTATTATCCTCATTTTACAGAAAAAGAAACTGAGGGAGACAGAGATAAAATGACTTGCCCATGGTCATACAGCTAGTAAGTGTCTGAGGCTAGATTTTAGCTCAACTCTTTTTGACTCCAAATCTAGCATTATATCCAGTGGCCTCAAAAAAAAGTTAACGTTTTCTTATCTTTTCCCAACTTTGCATCTTTAGTATCATGAACTAATGTGTTTCACATATCAATTAATCAACAAACATTTATTAACTGCCTACTATGTGTCAGGCTCTGTGTTAAGCTCTGGATCACAAAACACAGTGGGTGCTGTTGAGCAGTTCTGACTGATATGATACATCATCTCTTATTCCTCACTGGTCTTAGACGTACATTACATTTGATTTCCTCTTTAAAATTTTCTTTCTGAAATTCTTGTTGCTCATTTTTCATGTCACCTTAATCTTTATGAAATTAGAAAATGTGAGTATGAGCTTCCAAAGCAAGTGGGTAGGTTTGTCCCTCCCACTTTGAAGTTGATCTGACCACTCACTGTAGGTTGTAATGTCTTATTGTCGCTTGCTCTTTAAAGCAAGATTCCATGAAAGAAGTTGGTATACATGGGACCAAAGAAATATTTCTGGGGCACATAAAAATATAAATAAACAGGGGAATAAGGAGGAAGCCTTCTAGATGTGTCCTAGGGGTATCCACAAATAAGGGATACTCCTCTATGATTAAGACTGGATTGTAAAAAAAAAATTAATTTAATTTTTAAAAGCATGTCCCCAAACTCCAGCCTCTCCAGAATTCAATTCATAATTGCCTTAAAAGCCTATTTAGGTTTCTCCTCTTTTTCTTTACCTTGTAGCTGATGCCTCCATTATGACCTTAATCACATCCCCCAATGGTACTCCAGGTACAGATTTGTTTGGTTTTCTTAAAAATTTGCATTTTCTACTTCTAAAGTATTACATGTTAAGTAATACCATATCTTTTCTCTTGCAGAGGTGGCAGAAGTTGAAACAACAAGCCTTGGTAAGAATTTTGTTGATCAGGTTAAGGTTTCTTATTCTCAAGCCCCAATATCAATATTTATTTTTTAATTCATGTTTTCCAATCAACAACAACCCACCATTTCTCCCTCTCTCCTCCTTCGTCTCAGTTTAGAAAGAAAGGTGAAACCCCTGTTACAGGTACGATCAAGCAAAACAAATTCCTGCATTCAATATGTCCCCAAAAAATCTCTCAATCTACCCTCTGAATCAGTTACCTCTCTATTAGGAGGTAGGTAGCATATGTCATCATGAGTGCTTTGAAATCGTGGTTAATCATTGCATAGATCACAGTTTCTAAGTCTTTCTAAATTAATTCTCATTACAATATTTTTGTCACTATATAAAAATGCATTCTCCTGGTTCTGCTCACTTTACTTTGCATCAGTTTATACAAGAATTCCCAAGTTTTTTTCTGAAATAATCTCCTCCATCATTTCTTACAGCACAATAGTATTCCATTACATTCATATACCCTTGTTCAACTGTTCCCCAATTGATGGGCATCCCCTCAATTTCCAATTCTTTGCCACCACAGAAAGAGCTGCTATAAATATTTTTGCACATGTAGGTCCTTTTTCCATTGGTGTGATCTCTTTGGGATACAACCCTATACAGTGTTATTGCTGAGTCAAAGGGTATGCACATTTTTATAACCCTTTGGGCACAGTTCCAAATTGCTTTCCAAGATGGTTGGATCATTTTACAACTCCACCAACAATGCATTAGTGTTCCAATTTTCCCACATCTTCTCCAACATTTATCATTTTGCTGTTTTGTCATGTTAGCCAATCTGATAGGTGTGATATGGCACCTCAGAGTTGTTTTGCTTTGCATTTCTCTAAATCAATAGTGATTGAGAACATTTTTCCATATTACTATAAATAGCTTTAATTTCTTCATCTGAAAATTGCCTGTTCTTATCCTTTGACCATTTATCAATTGGGGAATGACTTGTATTCTTATAAATTTGATTTAGTTCTTCCACTAACTATTGCTGTACATCCTTAAGTTTGGTTTGCTGAGGACCAATTGTTCCCTTAACTTTCCCTCCCCCTTATTCCATCCTCTCCCTTTTCCTGTTTCCGTGTTTGAGTAAAATGTATTTCTATACCATAGTCTGTGTCTATATTTACACTCATTTGACCATTTCAGATGAGAGCAATAATCACGTATCACTTGCTCCTTCCACCCCTTCCTCTGTTTGTATAGACGTGCATATTCCAAATATAAAAGATAAAGTTTCATATCCCTTCCTTTACTCCACCCCTGGTGTATTCCTCTTCCTTTCCCTTTCCATTTTTCTTTTAAAATCATCAAAACATAACAAACCCATTTCCAGGCCTTCTTTCTAATTAGACTCTCTCAATGACCCCAGGGGTCATATTCTGAAGGGACACATCTATCATTTGTTTAGCTCCTTTTTATTGTTTATCCATGCTTACCTTGTGTTTCTCTTAACCTTTGTGCGTTGCTTTGGTCTTTGCATCAGGAATGCTTTAAAATCTTCTATTTCATTAAAGGTCCATTTCCCCCCCCTCCCCCATAAGATTATATTCAGTTTTGCTGGGTAAGTTATTTTTGTTTGTAAGTCCACAAATCTTTCTGTCTGTCTCTCTAGGCCAACCTGGGCTTGAAATATGACTTGCTGATTTTTTTAAGTTGGATTTCCCAATCAGGACTTGATCTGGTGCATTTTCTAAATCTCTTTGGAGGAATTGTGGGGTAGAACTTGGCTGTACTTTCTGCTTCTCTGCTGTCTTAGCTCCCCCCCCCCTTCCACTCAGAATAATGTTGTTGGTAGTTGTAGTTGCTAAGTTATTTCAGAATATAGTATGTTGTTTTGAAGGATCTGTGCCCTATTATTTTCTCTGTGACCTTTACCTGAATTATACACAACGTCCCCCATGCATGGGATAGACTAGACTCTATTTCCCCAACATCTCTGCTGGTTAAAACATTGCTTTTCCTTTATGGCTAAACTCAAGTGCTAGCTTCTCCGTTAGCCTTTTCCCAATCACCCCAACTAGTACAGATGATCCCTCCTTTCTTGAATGTCTAGGGCTATTATAGTTGGTATGTCCTTTATGTGTAATCATATCTTAAATCCTGTTACAGTTACTTGCATTCATGTCCCTTTCCATCCCGCTAGATTATGAGCTTTGTGAAGGCAAGAACAGTGTTATTTTTTATCTTTGTTTATCACCTATGCTTTGTACACAGTGGAAACTTAATAAATGCTATTTTAATTCAAACATGTTAAAAATGACTAAAATGTTGGTCTTGGAGATATACTTCACACATCAAGAGGGTATATAAAAGTCTTATTATTATAGTATCAATACAGACTGTGGAAAGTTTGGGATATCATACAATATAAGGAAACATGGAGCACACAGAACAGTAAAGCCTGCTAATTTTACTGAGGCAACATGTTGTTGTTCAGTCATTTTTTAGTTGTGTTCGACTCTCCATGACCTTATTTGGGGTTTTGTTGGCAAAGATACTGGAGTGGTTTGCCATTTCCTTCTCCAGCTCATTTTACAGATGAAGAAACTGAGGCAAACAGGGTGAGGTGACTTGCCCCAGGTCACATAGCTAGTAAGTATCTGAGGCCAGGTTTGAACTCAGGAAGATAAGCCTTCCTGACTCCAGGCCCAGCACTCTATCCACTGTGTCACCTAGCTACCCACTGAGGCAACATGCTTGTAATATGAAGGTCAGTCAGAGAGCATGGCGGGTCAGATCATCTAGGAACCAGTTGGAACTGGGCACACTCCACTAGAGCACTGGAGGGAATAAGGTACCCCTTCCAAACCAGTAAAATTTGATGGGAATCATGATACAGGGTTCTTATCTGGGCCAAGGAAAATCAGATAGGAAGCAATGGTTTATGACTGTTAGGGCTTTTTAAAAAAAAAAAATTCTCCTGAGGTTTTTAGTTTAATGGGGTGAGGAGGCTATTTGGGGTCATTACATAAACCCAAACTTTTCCTTCTACAAAATCTGAACAATATCCACCCATTTTGAGCATACCTTTTAGCCTGCTCTCCAAGAAAATGCCAACAGGTTTTAGGTGGAAAAAAAAATATTTTGAAATGGGTCAAATCACATCCAGTGAATTTATTGTGATTTAGTCTGTGTTTGGAGGTACAAGGTGTTCAAAATCAAGTCTGCAAATTTGTCTTTTATGTGGAAGGTTTTTACTATATATTTTAATAGTATGAAATGGAAATTGGCTCCTTTGTCTTATCAGCAAAAAAGGCATGGAACTGGTTGGTTGTCTAGGGGGATAGGCAAACTGGCACACCCTGTCCTGCTCCTTTAAATGGACGGCTTTACTTCCCATAAAAGTCAAATCCTCCATTGACAACTATGTAACTGCAATGACCAACTTTGACTCTTAGGAATAGATGAAAAAGTAAATGTCTCCTCTCTTTGCCGAAATAGGGGTTCTGTGGGTGTGGAACACTGGATATTTTGCAGACTCTGTTGATATGCTGTTTTAAGTTTTAAGTTTTACTTAACTGCTATTTCTCTCTCTCTCTCTCTCTCTCTCTCTCTCTCTCTCTCTCTCTCTCTCTCTCTCTCTCTCTCTTTCTCTCCCTCTCCTTCTCTCCCTCCCTCTTTATTCTTTATTAAAAAGTATAGCTCCTCTAGGAGGGAAGAAAGGAGGGATAAATTTGAAGATGACAGTAAAACAAAAGATAATAATATTTTTAAAAATAAAAACAGTTCATAATTCCTCTGTATAATTACATTTTTCCCCCTGTAGTTGATGGTGTAATAAGCTCAACAATTTTATTTTCCATCCTTTATGAGAAACCCCAGTTTGTAACATCAGAACCAGCTTATGTTTATCATCTGCATGAAGCAGCAGCCCACAATGTTATAATTTTAAATATGTGATTATTATACAGGGAAAGGGCTGGTCTGCACAGTAGTATAACAGTTACTAGGTCTTTCATGGGCTCGGGCCACTAAACTTATAAAATAAGCTCCTTAGGCTCCATTTTCTTTTCTTTAATGAATTGGCACATCCTGATACATGCATTCTACTTTCACAAAACTGCAGCCAGAATGACAAACTCTATAGTGACTTTCATTTTTAAGAGAAAGATTTCATTACCACATTGCATGTCAGAGAGCTCCATTGAGAAAATTCCAGCAGAGTAAGATGTGAATTGATGCCTGAGTCAGGCAAAACCTGAATCAATTTTCCTAAATATCAGTTGAATATAATATTTAAAACCACAATCCCCAACTGAGCATTTTTTACTTCCATCCTTATAATACCTAGTGTCAGGTCCGTACAAAGTTACACTAAAAGCTAATTTTACAACAACAACAAAATCCAGACCTGTGATTTTATGGGTATAGCAAACAAAGTCAGGAAGCAAATTCGTAAGTACAAGAGATTGTCCAATGTCTTTCTGTTTTTCAGGCATTCATACACTTAGGGTACTTAAGAAATTCTTAAAAACAGTAGAAAGAATTTAGAAGGAATGTGATTCTCTCTAATAAAGTAAGAGAGCAAATAGGCTGAAACGGTAGGAAGTTAGAGGAAAGAATCCATTTTGTCTAAATTAATTGCAACATAGGAATTTAACAAGTACTCAGTTTATTCCATGGATGGAGAGCTCTCTCTGTGTGGAGAGATTCTTCAATTGCTGAATTGGATACCTACAATATTTATAGCTCAATAAAATACTGGAACAGTGAATGGATTAGTTGATGAGTTTCACAATCCTTATACAGAGACACAGGGGACATGTAGGCAGGCACTTCCATTTAGCAGAGATCTTGTTTTTGTTTTTTGTTTTTTTAATCCAAAATGACCTTCTGCCTAAAATGTCTTCCACACTTTGCAAGGGACTAAAAGGGAGAGAAAATAGGAACAGCAAGGATAAATCACAGCAATGACCATAGGAAAAAAGGTAGATTCTAAAATTAGAAATAGTCACTCAGTAATTTCTATTATCAGAATCTTCTGGACATTCAGTTACTTTTGCCTGGCCTCAGTTCCCTCATCTATGAAAAATAAAAGGGTTTGAACTAGAGGGTTACTAATATAAAGAGGAGAACCAGATTCCCACCCCACCCCACACCTGTTATCAACACCTTGTTAACACATTTAATACCTCATTAGCTCCATTATCTAGTCTTTCCTTTTTGTGACCATATCACTTATGGGGATAACTAAATCTCCCTTCCTTACACTAAGATTCCTTCAAGCTTCAAAATTCTATGATTTTATTTTCCTCGTTATTAAGCTACCATAGGGTGTACAGCACTTTACATCCCAAGGCTCATCTCTATCCAGGGATGAGATGTTACTATAACTGGCACACCTAAGATAGGTATGACTCTGTGGATAAAATGCTGAGTCTGGAGTCAGGAAAATTTGAGTTCTAATTTGAGCTCAGACACGTGCTAGCTGTGTAATTCTTGGCAGTGATTTAACCCCTCTCTGCCTGTTTCCTCAACTGTAAAATGGGAGTAATAAGAGCACACCCGTGCACAAACACACACACACACACACACAGGGTTATTGTGAAAATTGAATGAGATAATATTTGTAAAGCACTCGGCACAGTGGCTGATACATAATAGGCACTACATCAATACTATTATTATTGTTATTGTTATTATCAGACAGCTCTAAGCTCTGTCTAGACCACAAAGTCATTTATTGTTTACTCTTCCAATTCTGATATCCTGGTGTATAGACTCAGGCACAGCACAGACCACAACCTGGACTCAGTTCAGACACCCTCGAACATTCCCAGTCACTAAAGTTAAAGCCCAAAGAGAGAAAAACCCCAACAGCTGCACTCTCCCACCAGTAGTCTCCCTTCTATACTGTACAACATTGGTCCGGGACTGCCACCAGTTCCATTCCTCCTTTTTTACTCTCCTGAACGCTTTCTCCTAAAAAGTGGCAATCCTGGAGCCATCAGCTCCTGATTCCATTCATCTATTCCCCATAGGACAGTGAGAACCTCCCTCATGCTGAACAATGTGCCACCTGCACCCCTTAAGGAAGCATGTTTCATTGTTATGCTACAGCTATCCATACACACTCCCACTATTATACACACCCCCACTATTATACACACCACTATAGCAACAGCATATTGTAGTGAGCAGACTACAGTTATCCCTTCCACATGATGACTTTCTCCATTGCGGTTTCAATATATCGTGGGTTAGCATATGAAATTAAATGTGAATTTGGGAGGAGTTCTGTGGAAGCTGCAGACAGCCCAAGAAGTTCAGGAAAAGTTTAGAAACTCGGAAATGCATAAAATATATGTAGAGTATTGTATAATGGCAACATATTTTATCTTTTAAAACCGTAATAATTCAGACTTCTTCTCTGGTATGAAGGGAAGGCCAAAAATTTTACACAGATTTTCCAGATCAAGGGGGCATGCACCCCTAACTCCCACAATATGGAAGGGGTAACTTGTACTAGGTTTTGAGCAAGGAAGACCTGAGCTCAGATCCTTCCTTTGATGTGCTGATGCGTGAAATGACAATGCTCAGTGACCTGTGAGCACGTTATTTAATCTCTGAGGCAGTTTTAAAACTTTGAAGTAGAGGGTGATAGTTCAGTGATGAAATTGAAGCTCCTAGACATACTGACGTATACAGATACTATATATGTTACATTCCACTAAGGTCCTACTCTCATGTCTCATCAGAGCAGGGAAGTTACCTCTGGCTTCTTGGAGGCTATTATTATCAGTGAAGTACAAGCTTTGGCAGAATGCTAAAAAAGACAGTTCAACAGGCATTCATTAAATGCTTACTATGCTCTAGGCATTTCAAGTAGAGTCCTAGAGGTGGACTTTCTCAAGTTATCAGTTTAGTCAAGTTTGGAAAGGCTCATTGCCAGACATTTGGCCATGGGGTGATACGTTTTATAGTCTGTTCAAATTGATTCAGGGAAGGTGGTGTGATCTTTCAAAGTAGAGGTTGAAATACAACGATGTGTTCAAGGAACTTTCACCATAATCAGGAGAGAAAGCACCAAAAATAGGTGGAGAGTTGGAACGGACCTCAAAGGCCATCTGTTTTGAACGCCTTATTTTTCAGATGAATAAGCAGTGGTACAGAGCAGTTAAGGGTCTTAACAAAGATCACACAACTAGTCATTTCATAGGACACCAATGTAACAACTGGTTTCCTAGAATCAAAGTGCTCAAGTTACTGAAGAATTAATAATATTTTTAAATTCTGCATCATATATTTACACTAATTTATATGGTTTTATTTTAGATGGTACCTCAAATGTATTATCCACTCTAAGCAGAGCAGGTAATGTCAATTATTTTAAAATTTCAATAGCATGATTCTTTCATCGGTCACCAAATATGCTGGATTTAGTTTAAAAACTCTCCCAACCGCCCTGTCTTCTATCTACCTTCAGTTTTCCCCTCTTGCTTCTTCTATAATGATTTTAATATAATTTTTAATATCATATCACTCTTGTGTTGCTGTTTTAGCAAAGGTCATAGTGGTTTTGATGAAACCAGGCACAGAAGGATGTGTTGGATCTGGCAAAGGGAGTATTAACACAAACAAGATTATTTATGTTAGACAGTTCCAATTACTATGCACTGATCTTTACTAAATTCAATCTAGAAAAAAAAATCATAGATAATCATGAAATTTCTAAAATACTGGGGGAAAAAAAGCATAATTACTTAATCCTGCCCTAGCTATACTTAAGAGTTTTTCTGGGATCAGCCCTTGAGCCACTTGGATGGGCCAAATGGTCTTGCCTGGCTTACTTCTTCAAAAAATTCATGTCCTGTACACATTAGTAGGGCTTGCCAATTGGCTATTCCTTCACTGACGCATCTGAATCACACCCTTTACTGCTTCTCTTACATCTTTAGTCATGAGTTCCATCTGTCTTTAGGGAGCTGGCCATTTTATTTTGGGTAACAGGTGGGTGTCTTCAGAATTGAGGATCAAGAATGGAATGCCAGTATGATCAGCTGCTGTCAGGCACTTTGCTGCCTCAGAAGGACTGATATTACTGGCCTGTGAAGTCTTTGCCCCCAAAGAGCAACTAATGGGAAATCATCCTCAGCCAAACATACCATGGCTGATATTCCAGTAGCCAGCAAAATTATAATCTATTTTCCTATAGATGACTATTTACTTTCTTCCATCCTCTTAAGCCAAATGCAGGACCTGAGTGAAAGGCACTGGTAGTACAAAACAATGGCCAAAACAATTCTGAGAGTCTTCTTTAGGGGTGGGGAAAGAATGCTGCTCAAGAGACTTAGATGAGCATGGTTCTATTGTGGGTTTACTTTGTGACTCTTGTTGGCTGTTTTTAGCATCTCTGCAAATCATAAAATGGGGATAATGCTGACCTATTTTATAAGGAAATTTAATAGGGCAGTTATTCCCCCCCCAAAAAAAACTGATTGCAGAATGTTCTGCTATGTTAATGACACATACGTGACTCCCTGTTAACCAAGGCCATTATTTAAAGTTTCATTCCTTACCCTGTCTCTTCTCATCTGCTGGCTTTTCCTTCACCACCTGCAAGGCTGGAACCAACTCATCCCTTAGTTTCCAAGCTTCATAAAAACAAAACTAAATAACTGCAATGAGCCAGGTAAAGTACAGAAATAGTTTTTTTTTAATCTCACAACACCCTGAGAAATGAAAACATTGAGATTTAATTGGGTAAATTCAAGGTTGCTACTTCATGGAAATGCAATACCACAAATCCTTTCACCTACCCTTCTGAAAATGACATAACTATAACATATTTGGGGTCCCCAAAGTAACTAATTTCTTTTGTGCTGCTGCCACCTTTTAAAGTATCAGCAATGTTTGTGGAGCTTTTTACAAATTGCACTAAGAAAAGGATTTTCATAGCAGATTTTTTTAAAAAAAATCACTAATTCTCTAATTTTAAAAATTGCTTCTTTGCAGAAAAATCTAAAATCACTATATTTAAAACCTCCAATACATCAGGTATGATTTAATATCAATGTAAAGACTCTGTTCTTTTAAAAAGTAAAATGGAACATATAGTCAAATGTTTAAAGTTTCTTTATATTTGTTACAATATTTTGATTATGAAATATGTGGTCAGTGAACAGATATTTATGCCTTCTGGGTAGTAAAGATCAACTGTTATCACTTTGCCTCAAGAAACTTACAATCTAATAATGATAGAAACAATACTGAAGAATGCACTCTGAGTATACATGGTGAGAGATAAATACCATAAATTCTTGTGTTTCCCCAGATCTATTGTACTGGTGAGTTAGACAATGAAGATATTCTTAATCTAGAAGAGGTATTTTTAAAAAAATAATATTTTATTTTTCCCTCAATTACAGGTAAAAACAATTTTTAACATTCAAATTTTTTTAAATTTTAAGTTCCAAATTCTTTTTTAAATTTTAAGTTCCAAATTCTATCTTTCCCATCGTCACCACCCCCTCCCTGAGATGGTAAGCAATCTGATATATATTATACAAGTGCAATCATGTAAAACATATTTCCATATTAATCATTTTGTGGGAGAAACCTTGGATCAAAAAAAAAAAATAAAAGACTCCATCACTTCTTTATCTGAAGGTAGATAGTATTTAAGAAGAGCTTTTTGGAGGATTACGTATTGAACTGTGTTTTAAATGAAACTTTTACTTCAAGGATATAGTTGAGAGTACCCAGCATAGTGTTAGGCATAAATGAATAGATAGATAGATAGATAGATAGATAGATAGATAGATAGATAGATAGATAGATGGATGGATAGATTTATATATGGTGTCCCAAAATTCTAATTGCAGTTTTAAGCTAAAATTGCACTAAGCTGGGGCAGCTAGGTGGCGCAGTGGACAGAGCACTGGCCCTGAAGTCAGGAGGACCTGAGTTCAAAAACGGCCTCAGAGCAAACACTTGACACTTACTAGCTGTGTGACCCTGGGCAGGTCACTTAACCCCAATTGCCTAAAAGTAAAAAAAAAAATAAAAAATAAAGAATAACATTGCACTAAGTTTGTAGTTTTTAAGAATTTTGGGATAACCTATATTCAAACACATATATCTAACCAACCAAGAAGAATTATACTATATATATATTATATGTTATGTATTCTATATATTCTGTATAAATATAAATATATTAATATATACACTATTATAATTTATATATTTTGTTCAGCCATATTTATACTATAGAATTTTATTACACGTTCATGGAATCATATATATAAGCAAGTATATTTAACAGAGGAGATGCTTTAAGGGTTTTTTTTTCCTGGTTTTTGTTATTGTTTGTTTTTTGAGGCCTTAAGTTTAATGAAAAACTTAAGATAAAAGTTGAGAAGTATTAAAGAGACAAATTCCTAGGAGATTAAACAATTTGCCTCTTGTGGAGCTTCTCAGGTCCACTTTGCCTTTGCTTCATTAATGGCCCAGGACCACACACCCATCAAATAACTGAATTTGCAGACACGGAGTTGGCTATGCCGTAACTCTTCATACAGTGAGTTAGAAGCACTGCTCTTTCTTTGCAGGAGTAAAATCTCACAGTAACATCTGCAATTTGTCATCTGTCTGCAGTGATTCAGGTGAGTAGATCACCTTTCCCGGCTTTTCTCTGCAAGAAATTTTTCTTTATTGTGAATAATGATCTAATTCAGGTAGGTTTTCTTTCTTTTTTTTCTTATTGCTGATTCTATGGGGTTTATCTCTTTGATTCAAGATCTTACACTGGCCCTCATGGCTGTTAGGCTAACTTAATAAAAACATAAGTAAATTTTAGGTTCACTAGTGAATGCTTAATATATTCCTGTTTTATTAATTGAGTATGTAAAATATATTCACCACATATTTAAATGTGTTGAGCGCATTAAGTGGTGCTTGGGCAGGGACCTATTGTCCAATCTATGAGCTCCAGAATGAATTGGGTTTAAGGCTTGGTCCTTGAGAAAGAAATCTAGCCAGTAAACCTCAGAGAGGGGAAGGTGAGGGTGAGGGTGAGGGCGAGGGCGAGGGCGAGGGCAAGGCAGAACTGCTTGCTCAGAGTGAATGTAAATAGTAACTGTTTCTCTTTTGGCCAGCAACCCTGAGGGTCTTCCTTCCTAGTTTGATTTTTTTTTTTATTAAAGGGGCCATACTCACTTCTTAAAGAGGACTATTACTGAATGGGCCTTATCTCACTCAAAGTGAGAACTTGTAAAGACCTTAGCTTAAAAGCGCCAAGGTCTCCCATTGCATCTTGGGCCATCTCCAGTTGTCCTGATGAATATCTGGCCACTGGACCCAGATGGCTCTGGATGAGAAAGTAAGGCTAGTGACTTTGCACAACCCTCCCTCACTCAAATCAAACTCAATTGCAAGTCATGATGTCATGGTCCTCTTCAAGAACGAAGGACAAAGACAACAATACAACAAAAAATGTGTTCAGAAGCCTGGTTTTATAGATCGAAAAAAGAAATCTGGATCTGGAGTCCAACAACCCAGTTCAAATCCTGGCTCGGTCACTAAGGGCCTATGTGATGTTAGGCCAGTTGCTTATACTTATTGGGCCTCTGTTACCTTGACTATTTAAAATGAGGGTGTTAGACTAGAATCAGTGATTCTTAAACTGTTTGGTCTCTTTATACCCTTAAAAATTATCAAGGTCTCCTCCAAAGATCTTTGGTTTATATGGCTTGTACCTATCAATATTTACCACATTAGAAATTAAAATGGCTTTGTAGTATTACAAAAAGAATTTCAATTTCCCAGGTCCCCTGAAAGGGTCTCTAGGACCCTCTAGGAGTCTTCAGATCACACCCCTTTGAGAACTACTGGACTAAATGACATCAAAGTTCTGTCCAGCTCTAAATATGCTAGTGACATCCTAGTGTTAATGAAATACATCACCATTCCTTCCATTATCGCATGAGCACATTTTCTATCAAACCTACTTCCTGTGTAAAAAATCCCTTTTAAGCCATTGTGTAAAATAAATCCACGAATAATATATAATGTGGTAATAGGAAGATTATCTTCTGCTAAGCATAAATCAACGCGTTATGCTAGGCATTTGAAGTCCGAACTCTGCCAGCCTCATTTGATTGCTGATGCCAGTAATGTATTTTCCCTTCCCCAGATCAAATTATCCACTGTTTTTAAAATTGGGGTGGAAATCTCATGAGAGCATGCTATTCTTGAAACCTGAATGTTTTCTTTTTCTGCTGGGGCCAAAGGAAAGAAACAACCACCTTCCTCATAGCATCTTGGCACCAGGGCTGTTTCCTCATTAAAACCTATGAAGGCAGGCACAAAAAAACCAAAAAAAATGTTACAGCAATTAATTGGAGGGAGAGATCCCAAGAAAGGGAAGGAGAGAGGGAGATATCTGAACATTTTATAGGATTAAGGAGTTGGGAATTCAGTAATAGAAATGGGGTCAGTCCGGAAGTATTTTCTAGGCCTATTCCCTTAGCTGTGGTCATATTTAACTTTTTAATAATTTATTCGAAAAACTCAGGCATGAGCTTTTAAGTAACATAAGAACAGCTTTGGTTAAAGAAGAAGGCAGTTTCATGTAAACAACTTATTTTCAGATCCAAATATTACAGTAAACAAATGAAAAATTTAATAGTTTGAGCTGTGTTCTGGGTACCATGTTCCTGGTAGAGCCTGGCAAGAAAATATTGGTCATTTTTAATTCTGAAAGAAAATAAAGTGCCCTTTCTGATTTTTTTTGGGTCCAAAACAGACCTATGATTTTATTCGTGTAGAAATGGCTTTTAATGATGCAAATTGGCAGTTAGTTTATAATTTATTATCAGAAGGAGTCACTTGGGCCACTAGAAGTTAAGTCAATTAACAAGCATTTGTTAAAAGCAAAGCTGTGTCCCAGGCAATGTTCTGGGTACTGAGGATACAAAAGCAAAAATAAAATAATCTTTGTCCTCACAGAGTTTACATTCTGTCAAACATATTCTAAATTATTTGCCTCTGGCCAAAAGGCTAGGATATGTCCCAGATAAGACTTGAACTCAGGTTTTTCTGATGCTATGTCTGGCCATGCTGCTTCCTAGCAGTTAGTCATTCAGTCAATAAGCATTTATTAAATGCCTGCTATGTGCCAACTAGGTGGTGCAGTGGATAGAGCATTGGGCCTGGAATCAGGAAGATCTGAGTTCAAATCCAGCCTCAGACACTGACTTGCTGTGTGACCATGGGCAAATCACTTAACCTCTGCCTTGATCACTGGAGAAAGAAATGGCAAAGCACTTCAATATCTTTGCCAAGAAGACCCCACGAACAGCATTGGCATACTTTGGGCGCTAGGACCATGAGGGGTTAGACACTACTGAATGACTGAACCCCAAGCTCTTAGCAGAGTTCCATTGACTGACTAAATGAGAGTACAGAAGACTGAATTCCAGTTGCCACCAGTCATGAGAAGAGGTGCTGCTGATAAAGCCTCAGAAGTCCTTCTCTGTTCCCCTAATAGAAGCTGTTTTTTACCTGAAACTAGGACAAGTGGTCCGGGGAATAGAGAAAGGTCAAGTTCAAACTGACTTTGTAGCTTTGTTTATATAATTAATTCATATAATGCCTCACAATACACCCTTAAAATAGGTAAGGTATTTATTATTCCCATTTTATGGTGAGGAAACTGAGGTTCAGAGATAAATGACTTGCTCATAGTTTCACCGGGCTAGTAAGCACCACAGCTAAGTCTTGGACCCAATAATTCTGTCTCCCAACTCATGGGTTCTTTCTACCATTTGCCTCTTTTACTCTAAATGAACAATTATTTGAATGAATTCTTCATTGTTTTGTTACTTAGAAAGCATTGTGTAGCTACTACATACATTTATGTGCTTATTCACTGAAACTAACAAGTAGAGGCATTCAAATAAGGGAGAAGAAACAACAGGGTATTATAGTTATTTGCATTTATAGAGAGGCATGAGCATAGAGGTGTGGATGGTATATGATGTTAAAGAGTTGGAAAAACATATTAAGGAGAAAGAAGGATGTAGTGTATTCAGTGGAGTACCACCTTCTACAGGAAGCATTTCCCAATCCCTCTTATCTCCTTCTGTTGATTATTTCCAATGTATCATGGGTTTAGCTTATTGGTGCCTACTGGTTTGCAAGTTGCCTCACCCATTAAACAATGAGCTTCCTGAATCCCTAGCCCTCAGCACAGTGCCTGCACATGTTTGTTGTTCAGTCATTCAGTTGTGTCCAACTTTACATGACCCCATGCCCTTTGTCCATAGGATTTTCTTGGGAAAGATACTGGAGTGGTTTGCCATTTCCTTCTCTAGTGGAGTAAGGCAAACTAGAGGTTAAATGAGTTGCCCAGGGTCACACAGCTAATAGTGTCTGAGGCCAGATTTGAATTCAGGTGTTCCTGATTCTACTCAGTGCTCTATCCGTGAGCCACCTAGCTGCCCCCGATAAGTGCTAGAGATAATTTTTTTTTTAAAAAAAGTTGGAGGGGAGGGTAGAGACAGACAAAAAATTGTCCTTGCTGTCAAGGAATCCACAGTCTAATGGAGCATAGAGTAACATACTATTCTACCAGTAGACTTGTTGTTCAGCTGTTTTCAGTCATATCCGACTCTTTATGACCCTATTTACGGTTTTCTTGGCAGAGATACTGGAGTGGTTTGACATTTCTTTCTCCAGTGATCAAGGCAGAGGTTAAATGATTTGCCCAGGGTCACACAGCAAGTCAGTGTCTGAGGCTGGATTTGAACTTAGGAAAATGAGTCTTCCTGACTCCAGGCCCAGCACTCTATCCACTGTGCTACCCGTCTGCCCACCAGCAGTCTACTCAATCAATTAAATAATCATCAAGCATTTATTAAGGGAGTATAGTATTTGCCGAGTACCATGTGAGGTACAAATGTGAGAAAGTCATAGCTCCTCGCATGCCAGTGAAATTCCCTGTGCTAAAATGAAATGAGGTAAGGCCTCAGTTTTCCATAGACCTCAGTTTTGGCTTTGCCTGAAGTACCATGTTAAGTCTGAGGCAAGGATTCTTAACCTATTTTGTGTCTTGATCCCCTTTGGCAGTCTGGTGAAGCCCTTGGACCCCTTCTCAAAATAATGGTGTGGTTTTTTTCTTAATTCATAATTGAAGAAAGTGCTAAATTTCATTTAGAAGTTAGTTAAAATAAAGACAACTTTTCCTGCATCCAAATTAATGGACCCAAGTTAAGAAGCCTTACTTTAAAGTCTAATGTCTGTTCTCCAATAAAGATTTAAGAAAATTTATGCAGGCAACCAGGATAATTTTGTCTAGTAAATGCATGCCTGCTAAACTCCTTCTGTCTGTTTAAACAGGCAGTTTAATCAGTTTGAGGGCACTAATGGGGGAAAATGCAATGTAATATGATTGCAATTGAATCAAGTGTTAGGAGTTAGACTGTGGGCGTTATTAGCAGTTCCAAAGTTAGGGTAGGAATGTGGAGTATGTCTCTTGGAGCTCACTGAATTGAATGGAACAAAAACTAATTCACAGCTTGGAAAAGGAGAAGCAACATGGTAGCCTTTGACAAATGGACATAGGTTCTGCATGTCTGATGAGATTGTTACTATTCCAAAACAGTCATACTTAATATACTTGGGAATGGAAGTAGAATCTAGGTTCCTTAAGGGCAGGACTTTCTCATATTTGTACCTCATATAGTACTTGGCAAATACTAAGTCTTTATTAAATATATGTTGATTATGTAATTGATTGAGTATACTGCTAATAGAATAATGTTAAATAGTATTACTCCATTAAACTATGCACTCTTTTAGAGTAGGGACTGTTTTTTGTTTGTTTATTTGTTTGTTTGTCTTCGTTATATCCCAGCACTTACCAGAGTGCCAGGCACACAGTAAGTGCTTAATAGTTAGTGTTGACTCACTAAATGAGAATTTCTTTTTAAAAAAAGAGTGACAAAGACAAAAACATAAAATGTGAGTGTTTTCATACTTTAAAAATTTAAATACAATCTCAGTCTTCAGACTCTGAGAACACAGATTTCAAGGTTTTTTTGTTTTTTAGTGTTCTATAGGGGTGAAATGATATTTGAAGACCATGAAGATAGCAATATTACCCAGAATGTGAGTATGGTAGATTTTATTCCTTTTGAAATCTTAGGGGGAAAAACACTTTTATTTAATTATGCTTAAGATTAAATTAATTTTCATTTATATAAATAACTGTGGGGGGAGGGAAGGGAGATAATGGCAGATTTTTTTTTATTTCAATAAGGAACTCCTAGTTAAGGAAGTCTCTCTGTCATTGCAAATCTCTGTTTTGCGGCTTAAAGTGCTGCCTGGCACACTGAGAGGTTAGTGATTTGACTAGGGTCACATTTGACTAGGCAACATGAATCAGAGGTGAAGTCAGCACCATAAAGAGAAAGAACCCAGGTCTTCTGGACCCCAAGATTCACTCTATGCCATCTCATATACTCTTGAATTTAATGTATAAATTTTTTCTAAAATTTAAACAATGACTTCTGTAGAACTCTGGTTTAGTAAGTACCACAACTTGAATGTGAGTTCCTAGCAATCAAAAAATTTTCTTGTAATCATTTGTTAGTTTTCCCTGGCATGCATTTGTGAGTGGAAATGCTCATACAATCCTATTCTGTTATTACTGTAAAACACAGAGTATATTAGAAACTCCTTACTAAGAAGGGATAGAATTGAATCAAATCTAACATTTGAATGTACACTTCTCTGAAATTGGTCCCATTCCAGTCAACTCCCATGAGATATAATGCCTGGCACATAGTAATCATATATTTCAATACTTGATCAAAAGGTTAATCTTCTACCAACCAATAAGATTGTTACTCTTCCAAAACAGGCATACTTAATATAAGTTGGTAATGGAAGTAGAATCTAGGTTCCTTAAGGGCAGGACTTTCTTATATTTGTACCTCATATAGTACTTGGCAAATACTAAGTCTTTATTAAATATATGTTGATTATGCAGCTAGGATTGTCCTAGGTTGTCCCCTGGTCTTTCCAGCAAGTCTTGGTCTGATTCTTAGAATCTTCTTCCAAGAGTTGGGCATTTTCTTACCGGTATGGGAATTTGGGAGTTATCTAAAACCCATTACAATGAAGTCACCAGAATACCTGATGGGGAGGAGTCAAGAATCTACCTTCCATGGAACCATCAGAATGGGGTATTTCAGAAATAGATAACTCAGACCCATTCTTTTCATCCAGATCTTGTCCACGTCTAAGAAACCCAGATTCAACCAGAACAAAGATGATAAGTTGACTAACAACAGTCTATTCTAAGATAGGAATCCAGTTCTCCATTGTTTTAAATGGGACTGTGGAAGGTAGCTGCAAAGTGACAATATAGCTTCCTGTTAAGGTGTGAGAATGTGAGGTACAACCAGTGTCTTAAACTTCTTGGACTTTTTATGCTTCTGACAGAACCAGGATGCAGTCAATGACACTTTAATTGAAGACCTACCATTAAACAAAACAAAGTAAGTAATTTATTGTTTGATTGATTCTGTTAAAGTAATGCCCAGTCCTCTTTTCTTTTGGGTTTGGCAGCAAAGGGAGAGAGAGATTGTCAATCTGCTTCGTATGGTTATGTACGTAGTAGCTGAGCACCAAATTAAATGGTGCCATCCTGTTCTCATTGGTGGTAAAATGGAGATAGTATTGATGCCATTGGCATTCGAGATTCAGCAAGATTTATTAATCTTAATGGGAGGACTTATTGTTGGAACTCTATAGAATTCATTCTGTTCAAATCCAAGACAAATCCTTCAACATCACAGTAATATGAGTCTATGCTCCCACCACTGACACCAAAGAGGCCAAAGTTGCTCAGTTTTATAAAGACCTACAACATCTTCTAGAAATAACATCAAAAAGAGATGTCACATTCATCACAGGGGATTGGAATGTGAAAGTAGGAAATCAAAAGATAATTGGAATAACAGGTCCTTAAGTACAAAATGAAGCAGGACAGAGACTAATAGAGTTTTGTCAGGATAACTCACTGGTCATGGCAAACATGCCATTTTGCAGCAACCCAAAAGGCAACTCTGCACATGGACATCACCAGATGGTCAATATCAAAATCAGATTGATTATATAATTTTCAGCCAAAGGTAGAGAAGTTCTACACAATTAGTTAAAACAAGACCTGTTGGCAAAGAATTGGAAATTGAGGTGATTCCCATCAATTGGGAAATGGCTGAACAAATTGTGGTATATGAATGTGATGGAATACTATTGTTCTATAAGAAATGATGAGCAGGCATATTTCAGAAAAACCTGGAAAGACTTACATGAACTAAAGCTGAGTGAAATGAGCAGAACCAGAACATTTGACATAGTAACAGCAACATTGTGTGATGATCAACTTTGATAGACTTGACTCTTCTCAGCAATACAATGATCTGACAATTCCTAAAGACTCATGATGGACAATGTTATCTACATATAGAGAAAGAACAGAGTCTGAATGCAGATCAAAGCATTCTATTTTCATTTTTCTTTTTGTTTTTTTTCTTTCTTGTTGCTTTTCCCTTTTGTTCTGATTTTTCTTTCACAACACAACTAACGTGGAAATATGTTTAATACCAGTGTACATATATAACCTATATCAAATAGCTTGTCATCTTGAGGAGGGGATAGAGGGAGAGAGAGAAAATTTAAAACTCAAAATCTTATAAAAGTGAATGTTGAAAACTGATTTACATGTAATTGGAAAAAATAAAATACTGTGGGGGAAAAAAGAAATGATGAGCAACATGGTTCCAGAAAAAACTAGGAAGACTTACATGAACTGATGCAAAGCAAAATGAGCAAAACCAGAAGAACATTATACACAGTAACAGCAATATTGTAATAGTGATCAACTCTGTTGTTATATTGTTATAGTGATCAACTTAATGAGCTACTCTCATTAAGACAGTAATCCAAGACAATTCCAAAGAACCCATAATGAAAAATTCTATCTGCTTCCAGAGAGAGAACTGATGAATTCTGAGTACATATTGAGGCATACTTTAAAAAAAAGACCCAGAGCTGACTGTGGCTCAGATCATGAGTTCCTTATTACAAAATTCATACTTAAATTGAAGAAAGTAGGGGAAAACCATCAGACCTTATAGATATAACCTAACTAGCATTTCATATGAATGTGAAATAGCAGCGATGAATAGATTCAAGAGATTGGATCTGGTAGTTAGAATGCCTGATGAATAATGGACAGAGGTTCTCAATATTGCACAGGAGGCAACAGCAACAAAAAATAAATTCCAAAGAAATACAAGGTCAAGAAAGGCTGTCTGATGAGGCTTTACAAATAGCTGAGGAAAGTGGACAGTGAAAGGGAAAGATATATGCAACTGAATACAGAATTCCAGAGAATAGCAAGGAAAGATAAGGTTTTCTTAAATGAGCAACGAAAAGAAATAGAAGAAAACAACAGAATGGGAAAGACAAGAAATCTCTTCAAGAAAATTAGAGGTATCAAGGGAATGTTTCATGCAAAAATGGGCATGATAAAAAACAAAAATGGTAGGGACTTAAAAGAAGTATAAGAGATTAAGAAAAAGTGGCAAGAAAATACAGAAGAACTATAACAGAAAGATCTTAATATCACCAATAACCACAATAGTGTGACTACTGATCTAGAGCCAGATATCCTAAAGAATGAAGTCAAGTGGGCCTTAGAAGCATTGCTAATGGTAAGACAAATAGAGACGATGGAATTCCAGTTGAACTATTTAAAACCCTAAAAGATGATACTGTTAAAGTGCTTCACTCCAATAAATTACTTTCCAATAGATTTTTTTGAAACAAATGTAAGGAAGGCGTACAAATGGGCACAAAAGGTGATATCACTTACTATGTTTGTTATTAATAAATAGAAATGTGTTGAAAAATAAATAAATGAATGAATAAGTGAATGATGTGCAGCACTCAATATGCCAGCAAATTTGAAAAACTCAGCAGTGGCCACTAGACTGGAAAAGATCAATTTACATCCCAATCCTAAAGAGTGGCAATGCCAAAGAATGTTCAAACTACTGAACAGTTGTACTCATTTCACACTCCGCCAAGGTTATGCTTAAGGTTCTGCAATCTTGGCTCCAGCAATATGCTAACCAAGAATTACCAGAAGTGCAGATTGATTTTTGAAGAGGCAGAGAAACTATAAACCAAATTGCCAACATTTTCTGGATTATGGAGAAAGCAAGGGAGTTCCAGACAAACATCTGCTTCTACTTCATTGACTACACTAAAGCCTTTGACTGTGTGGATCACAACAAAATATGGCAAGTCTTCAAAGAGATAAGGGTACCAGATGATCTTGCTTTTCTCCTGAGGATCCTTTATTGCAGGCCAAGAAGTAACAGTTAAAACCAAACATGGAATAAATGATTGGTTTAAGATTGGAAAAAGAGTATGACAGGGCTGTATATTGTCACCTTATTTATTTAACTTATATGCAGAATACATCACACAAAATGCCAGGCTGGACAATCAAAAACTGGAATTAAGGTTGCCAAGAGAAATATCAATAATCTCAGATATGCATATTGATACCACTCTGATGGCAGAAAATGAAGAGGAATTAAGAAGCTTCTTAATTAAGGTCTTGAGGGTGAAAGAGGAGAGTTTAAAAACTGTCTTGAAGCTTAACATTAAAAGAATTAAGATCTTGGCAACTGGTCCCATCACTTCCTGGCAAATAGAGAGAGAAGAAATGGAAGCAATGTCAGATTTTTTGTTCTTGGGTTCAAAGATGATTGCAGACAGTTTGAAATTTTAAAATGCTTGCTCTTTAGAAGGAAAGCTATGACAGATCTGGACAGCATACTAAAAAGCAGAGACATCACCTTGCCAACATGTAGTCAAAGCTGTGGTTTTCCCAGTGTCAATGTATGTCTGTGAGAGTTGGACTGTAAGAAAAACTAAGCACTGCAGAACTGATGTTTTTGAATTGTGGTGCTTGAGAAGACTTTTGAGAGTCCCTTGCACAGTAAGGAGTTCAAATCATCCAATACTTAAAGAATTAATTCAGACTGTTCATTGGAAAGACAAGGACTGAAAGTGAAGCTTCAATACTTTGGCCACATAGACAGGACTCACTGGAAAACACCTTGATGTTAGGAAAGACTAAAGGCAAAAGGAGAAGGTGATGGGAGAGGATGAAACTGCTAAATAGTATCATGGATGCAATGAACATAAGCTTGAACAAACTTAGGGAGATAATGGAGGACCTGGCATGCTATGGTCTATGGGGTCACAAAGAGTTAGACACGACTGAACTAATGAACAACAGAATTCGTCCCTTTTTTGGTGGGGTCAAACTTTCGTTAAACATCATTGTAAACTCCTTTAGTGCAGGGACAGCTTTTTTTCTTTGTATCACTGGAACCTACCACAGTGTCTGGCACATAACTGGTGCTTAATAAATGCTTACTGATTGAATAGTACATACCGTTCCTAGCTATTTAGTTTGAAAGAAGAAAACAGAAAGAGAAATTCAGATAAAAAAGCATACATAAGAAGCATTATCAAATACATTAGAAATGCTTCCAAAGTGTCCATTAGGTTGGCATACCCAGTAGGAAAACTGTCTTTTTTCTTGATCAGCTAAAAGGGCGGGGGGGGCCTATACTTTTTTTTTATTTTAAAGATAAAAGCAATGCTGTATCTACAGTGAATAGTCAGATCTGGTTGTTGTGAACTCTCCTGCTTTGAGGAAATCTCCCAACCCCCTAATAATCTCACATATCAATCTTCATGAAATTTTGACCCACATTAAAATACGTCAAAAGATGGTCTTCAATCCTCCCAGCAAGTGGGATAGTATTATAAAATGGGAAGTGGATGGGCACCAAGGCCAATTTCCTCTCGTCTGAAATTTTGCTTATATTGGCCCTGTCTCTTTCCCTTTATGGTTCCCGAACTGAGGCTTTGATTGTGTAGTTGTGATGAATAGCAATATTCTACAGATGAACTGAAATACAGGTCCACCTGTAAAATCTTGTAATTCATTCCAGATACAGAACAGGTATTTGAGTTCCCAATGCATATGGGTTTTCATAGTGTGAGAGATTCACTTCTCAGAGATATCTCTCATTATACCCCTTCCCAAACATTCTCTTAATAGTAACATTATAAATGTTGTCATACACAAGAAATTTAAACCTATTTATTATCAATGAAAATCATTTAATAACTTTCTTATACTGATATAATTTCAAATCCTGTTATTTTACAGATTTTCAGAATTTGACAAAACATTGAAAAGCCTAAGTGAGGTAATATTGATTATTCCTTTGGTTTATTCATTAGTGTATGTACTTGGGGTGGGAGTGGGGTGGAGAGGATAAGGGATATTGTTGTACTGTATTTTGGGGAAGATAGATATCACTTTCCTCAAATTTTCAAAGAATTGTTATATAGAAAGAGGATTTGATATGTATTGTTCCAAATAGCAGGACTGGCATCATTAGGTGGAAGATCTGGGGAGACAGATTTGAGCTCAGTGTGAGAAAAATCTCCCTGATCATGTGAATTGTCCAACAGCAGAACAGGCTAATTTATGCAGTAAAGTTATACGTGCACACACACATACACACCCCCCCCACACACCCCCATACATATACTATATATAATTTTTATTATAGTTTATATAACTGCTTTACTGTGTATATACACACATACCTATACAGATATATGTATATATCTCACATATATGTATATATACATATACATATATACATATATGTATATAAATATATATATATATAAATATATATATATATATATATATATATACATATGAGTTGTTATTATCATCAAGTTCTCCATTATAAAGGTATTCATGTAGAGCCTAGATGACTGTGTCAGGGTTGCTTTAGCTAGCTAGAATAGATAACCTTTCAAATCTTTCGCATTTCGTAGATTCTATGTGAATCCTTGGGTTCAGGTACTTGACAGATTTCATTTTGCCAAAATAACATATTTTTTCACCTTTCAGTCTTATTTTATAGCATGCGATACACAGAATCAAAGGTCAGTCATTTTTTTAAAAAAATTCTTAAGTTCTATTCTTTAACTTTTAATAAGAAATCAAATACTCCCCAGTCCTGGTTATGCTATTTATCTCATCTCTGATTTAGAGACAACTAGTGTTCCAGGGAAGCATGCAGCATTCTTCTGAAAGTTCACAGGTCTTTCACATCTATTATCTCACTCCTCTTTAGAGCACATGTCAGAAGCAAAGAGGGATAAATAGTCTTTTTACAAGAATGAAGCACAGAGGTTAAGCAGACCACCCAAGGTCTTGTAGGTATTCTGCAGATGAGCTAAGAGACCTAAGTTAAGTCATTTTGATTCCTATCTAGGTCCGATCCCACTGGTATAAATAAGGTCATCTTTAGCCTTGAGCCCAATCAATAGCAGCAAAAAAAGTGTCTGAGCACCACTGGCAGACCAAGACTTAATAAAGGAGAAGGAAAAGTGGAAAGGGAAAAGGAATAGTTGAAAAAGTCCAGGGACTAGGGGTAAGAGGAGAAGAGAGAGAGTGAGGAAGAAAAGAGGTAAAGATGAAGAAAAGGAAAGGTACATCTTGCTAAGGGTCATAGCGTCCCTATAGAAATGTGCTACCTATCCCTAAAGATATTCCCAGACAAATAAACCAGTGGTTTAAGGGCAGCAGTCTCAATATATCTGGACTGTTAGTGCTAGCAAGAGAAACAGACCTATAGTATTATGTTTCATTCATCATGCCAGTAAACAGGCGTTCATGATGCTCTGCCTTAAATGAAACAGCATGTGACACCTCAGCCCCGTATTATATAATTATGGTATGTAATATTACATTATATCTAATATATGAGAGGCACTCTTTCCTTTCCTACCTCTATAGAGTAGATAGAGAACCAGATTCCAAGTCAACAAGACCTGAATTCAAGTCCAGCCTGTGATACCTATTGGCTGAGGGACTCTGGACAAGTCACAACCTCTCAGCGGCCTGGGAAACTGTAAAACTCTAAGATGCAGAAAAGAAGTTGCAGATACAGAGTCCTCTCACTGGGAGCTCACTACACTAATGGAATCTTATTGGAAATTTACTTTCCTTCTCTCCTTCTATCTGCCTCTATCTCTATCTCTGCCTCCCTCCATCTCTCTGTTATGTCTCTCATTCTGTCTATCTCTCTCTTCTGTCTGTCTCATCTCTATGTCTCTGTCTCTCTCTCTGTGTCTCAGTCTCTCTGTCTCTATCACTTTTCTGTCTCTCCTTTCTGTCTGTCTCTGTTCTGTCTTTCAGTCTCTGTCTATCTCTGTTTCTGCCTCTCCATCTCAGTCTCTGTTCCTCTCTTCTATCTTTATGTTTCTGTGTCTCTCTCTGTTTCTCCCTCTTCTATCTTTCTCTGTTTCTGTCTCACTCTCTGCTTCTCTCTCTGTCCTATCTGTCTTTTCTGTTCTGTCTCTCTCTCTCCCTCTCTCTTTTCTGTCTCTGTCTCTGTCTATATGTCTCTGTCTCTCCCCCCCCCTCTTTCCATATATATACACACATGCAGAAAGCAGAAACACACATACACATGCACATACACTGGGGTGGGGAGGAGGGAGAAAGGGAGAGAGAGAGAAAGAGAGAGAGAGAGAGAGAGAGAGAGAGAGAGAGAGAGAGAGAGAGAGAGAGAGAGAGAGAGAGAGAAACCCACTGAACAGGGAGCCAGAAGACCTGATTTCAAGTTCAGTCTCTACTATTTACTAGCTTTATGACTTTGGGTTAACTTTGCTGAGCCTCACTTACCTCATCTTAAATAGAGAGATTGCATTTTGCACTCTATCTCATGGGGCTATAGTGAATATTAATGAGATAATAGGTATAAAGTGCTTTTAACTCTTAAAGCACTATATAATTATAAATTGTGTTATTTTTTTTTTTACTGGACCTGTAATTACATAAATGTGTGCTGCTGGTAGTAGTAGTAATGTTAACAATAGCTGCAGCAGTAGTAATAGTACTATTATTATTATTGTTATAATCAAGACTTTTCACCTTAGCTAAAATAAATAAATAGATGCAATGCCCCTTCAGTGACAAGCAGGGATATTCAGAGTGGAACACCAGAGGTATTTGGAGTAACTATGGTTTTCTACCCCTATGGGAAATCTACTAAAATCTCTGCTAAGCAATACCTTTCATTGCCATAAAAGAAATGTACTTTGCTAACTATATCTACATATAAATATATATCTATATATTTTTATATCCATGTAAGCATATATAAAAGGAGACAGAAAAATATTGTACAAGTTTCTTCTCACCATCATTAGATTTTGAAAAAAAAAAAGGTCAAGAATATGTTTAATGTGTCTAATGCAGAAATTTGTTTTGTGTGACTACACATTTTTGTAATAGGTTTTGTTTTTCTTGCCTTCTCACTGGATGGGGAGGGAGAGAATTTGGAATTGAAAAACAAAATAAACTCTCTGTGCTTAAAAACACTTAAATATATATAATATGTATAGATAACATAAATACATATATATGTTTTTATTTAAAACTTTCCCAAATCCTTCTTAGATACGCAATTCTCTCTTTTGGATTTCTTTCCACACTGTAGCACATCAAATTGCACATTCACAATAAAAGTGAATATGACAGTGAACATCTGCCCCTTGCTGTTTACCTCAAAGAGAATAGAGATTCATCAGATCGGTACGTTATTTTTATTCTTATTGTGCTATTCATTTTCAGATTGTTTATTTCTCTAAGAAAACTTGTGTTATGGAAAGCATCATAGCATATTGAGTAGGGAGCTGGCCTCCAAGCCAGGAGGTCTTGATTCAAGATTGATCTCTGACATATGTTTCTATATAACCCTTATAAAGCCACTCAGCATCTCAGTATACCAGACAAAACTCTAAGATAATAAATTAGAGAGCAGGTGGTGACCTACATTGTTAGAAAGAATTTCTTCACCTAGGAGTTCCCTACACCAATGAAATCGTGGGTCCAGTTTCACTTCTTGTACACTTAGTTTAACTATGAAAACATAATTTATATTTCAAATTGTAGGTGGAATAAATTTGATTCCTTTGTACCACACACAGTTACTGAAGGGAAATAAAGAATTCTTCATATGTCCATAGAACATGTGCTAGATAGCAGGTATGTTATTATTTTTAAATATCCAAATAATTCTAAGGAAAAAAAACCAGCCTACTAGAATCCACCTTATATAATCAATCAACCAATAAGCACTTATTAAGCACAATAATCTATGAGGCATTGTGCTAGGCTCTAGGAATACAAAGACAAAGCCTACATTCTATCAACACAACCTATTTCTATTACACTACAGATTGCTATATAATACTATCACAGTATACTCATGAGACCTAATGGAGAGGCAATATGGAATAATGAATAGGTCACAGATGTAGTGTCAGGAAGACATGGATTTAAAGCCTGCCTGAGATATTTGTTGACAGTATAACCCTAGGCAAACCACATAACCTCTCTATGCCTCAATTTTGTTATCAGTAAAATGAGACAGTTGGTTTCAGTGGCCTCTAGGGTCCCCTACATCTCTATATCATTAATCCTATGAGTGTATTTTGTGTAAACAACTCTGTTGAATTCAAGATGGTTAATAAGAATCCATATTCTTTTCCTTCATGCACAATTTAGAACAGTGCTGTTGCTCCTTCAAGGCACATTGCCCTTCGAGTCCCAAAGAATTAAAAGAATTGCAATGGTATGTAAACAAAAGTTCTATCACTTTCCATAATAGAAAAAGAATATCTGATTTCATTATTCTCTAATAACAATGGGTAAGTTTCTGGAATTGCATGTTGAAGTGATTTTAATTTAAAATGATGCTATGTCGTTGTCTGTGTTGCATGAGTGCTATGACTGCCAATTATCTGTACCAATAAAAGCAACACATAGGCCACATTATCCAAAAATCACAGATAATCCAAAAGTCATTTATATTCAGGATTGGAATGTAGCATGATGAGGAAGTGAAAAGACCAACCCACTTCATGTGTGACAAATTTCAAGAGTATATGAAAGCCTTGGGTTCCCAAGTGTGCTCATCTATCTTCAGCAACCGCTGTAATGAAACGCAAATGCCATTTGAGTGTGGTCAGTGGTATGCTGGAGGCCTCTTCTTCTCTACACTTTAGGGTCCTTGGGGTATCTATAGAGGCTCTAGGACTGGGCTAGGATTGGAATCATAGCCATCTGAGAAGCATCCACTATAATGTCAGGTAGGTCTTACTCCAGAACTGCTTTAGGAAGCAAGCAATTATACAATTATATAGTGGGAAGAATATTGAACCAGGGCCCTAGAGACCTACTAGCCAATCTGGGCTCTGGCACTAATACCCATATAATAGTGGGGAAATTGGGTTGCCTGGAGGTTCCATTTCTTCATATGTCAAATGGGAATAATAATGCTTATAGCATGTAGTTGTGATCAAGTAAGATTTGGTTATATGGTTTGAGCTTATGATTTTACTAGCATAGGTGAACTTGTTAATATTCCCCCTATTTCAATGCAGATTTCTTACTGTTCGGCACCTTACAGTGTTATAAAGCTGCCTGGATCCCTGGGAGCTTAAATGATTTGTCCATGGACAGACAATCAATATGTATCAGAGGCAAGACCCGACTCCATGTCTTTCAGACTCTGAGGCTGGCTCTCTACTCACTGTGCTATGTTGCCTCTCAATCAATAAGATTAATTAAGATAATGTAACTACTCTGAAGACAAAGTAGTAGAGGTTACAGTGCCCTTAGAAATCATTGGGAATGGTTAGAGAGTTTTGGCTCTATGTCTGGGCTAGGGCCCTGAGTCCACCTTAGTTCATAGGGGGCCATACCCCATCAAGTCAATGTAAGAAATCTTGGAGCCAGGGGTGCAAACCAGTGTTATTACTGAATGCAAACCTATTTGGAAGCATGGGAAATCCTCATAATTCCCTAAATTCCATCTACTCCTGCTGCTCCCATCATCCAAGGGTCCTCACTCTACTGCAAGTACTGTTAAGTCATGGCAGCACTGGAAATCTTGAGGGCTAATTTCTGGTGAGTGTTAGCTCATTCGACAGTGTCTGAGATGCCCAACTAGCCAATGGCTTTCTCATTATAGGGTGACCAGCCATGTGCTGGGACATTTTAACAGCCTCCAGGAAGGATGACATGCCATACAACTCCCTGGATCTAGCTTCCAGTCAGTTTCAATGGCATCAAGCACTAAAATTAAGTGGGTATGATAATCAATCAATAAACATTAATTAATCATCTATTATATGCCAGGCACTGTGCCAGGAGCTGGGGATATAAATTCAAAGAATGAAACAATCCCTATTCTTCAAGAGCTTTCATTCTAAACAAGTAGATATAAGTATATAAAGAGTAAATATAAAGACGGAATACTTGAATACAAGGTAGTTTGAGAGGGAGAGCCTTGGCAGTTGGAGCTATTAGCTTCATATAGATCATGGTGCCTGAACTGCATCTTGAAGAAAAAGTGGAATTCTGTGAGGCAAAGGTAAGAAGGGGGTACATTCTAGGTCTGGAGGACAGCCAGTACAAAGGTCCAGAGATGAAAGATGGAGCATTAGGTGTAAGGGACAGAGAAAAAGCCAGTTTGTTGGAGTGTGGGAGAAGGAATAATATATGGGGAGGTTGGAAAGATAGATTGTGAAGGATTTTTAAATCCAGACAGAATTTATATTTTATCTTAGAGGCAATAGACAACCACTAGAATTTGCGGAGCAGAGAAGTGACACATTTAAGGAAAATAACTTCGGAAGCATAGAGAAGCACTTTTCAGTGTAGAGGAGGGGCTGAAGTGGGGGGAGAATTGAGGCTAGGAGATCATTTAGGAATTTATTCGATTCAATTCAACAAATATTGATTAAACACAGGCACTGTGTTAAGAGCTGTTGCAGCAACCTATGAGAGAGGTGATTAAGATTAAACTAATAATAATAGTAGCATTTATATAGCACTTTAAGGTTTGCATCTATCTATAAATATATATGTGTGTGTATACAGACAGACACATATACATGTCTATATACATACATACATGTATATGTTCTTATTTGAGCCTCACAACAAATCTGTAAAGTAGGTACCAGTATTATCCTATCTTATAGATGAGGAAACTAAGACTGAGAGCTTAAATGACTTACCCAGAGTCACTTGGGCAAGAGGTACTTTACTAGTAGTAGCATTATATTCACATTAGACATTTTGTATCATGAATTTTAAAAAACAATAATAACAATAGCTGGCATTTATATAAAGTTTGCAGGGCACTTTGTAAAGTATTTTATATATTCATATAAACATACATACATACATATATATATACACATATATATATATATATATATATATCTCATTAATTTATGTAATGTTTGGTATTGAAATGCTGTAGTTCAAAGTGAAAGCCATCACAGTTTGTATGTGAGCAACCAGGCAAATCATCACAGCCAATCCTGATATAATGGGTGGCTACTTTTGAAAGAGGAAGCATGTGGTTGCTCTTTGAGTAATTAAGCATATGCCAAGAAGGAAGGAATTGGAGGGGAAAGAGGCAAAATACACGGGTGTTTTGTTGTTACTTTCACCTGACTGTTCTGTCAAAATATTTGGGAAATAATAAATAGCCTAGGTTTGTGTAGCATGTTAAGGTTTGCAAGGTGCTCTACAAATAATTCCCTCATTTTATTCTCTCTATAACCCTGGGAAATAGGTGCTAGTATTATCCCCATTTTTCAGACTGAGGCTAAAAGACTAAGGGATTCACCCATCGTTACACAGTTTGAATGCCTAAAGCAAGATTTAAACTCTGGAATCTTCCTTACTCCAAGTACAGCAATCTATTCTCTATGTCACTTAGCTGCCTCTGGCTTTGGTTCATTCCTCTGAGTGTTAGGGCAGAGGGAGCAGAAGATGTAGGAATAGAGGTTGGGCATGGCAGAGTTCTACCACCAGCTCCCCCAACTGTAATAAATTTTAAGAGGTCCCAACTGGTATGCTAGAGGTGGTTCTCTAAAACCTTCAACCATGGCTCATGTTGGTTTTTTTGGATTTTTTCTTTTTCTTTTTTTTAGTGCTCTACAAGACCTCGTCGTCTGTCGTGATGATACCAGTCATCTACCCAGTCCAGTTTTTCCTCCTCCTGGCAAATCTATTCCAGTGTCTCCTCTTGCTACTTTTTCCTCTAAAATTACTCCTATTTTCATTCCTCCAAATATATCATCTGGGAATAGACTTCGTACACCTTTCATTCAGTCTGCAACCTGGGATATTCATATTTCTCCCACTCAACCATCCAGTCAAACTGCCACTGGACTGCCGCAACCAGAATATTCCACGTCAACCACCCTAGAAACAACATCTTCCCCCACAATTCTTTCTATTAACTCTTCAGTCTTGTCTACCACCCTCTCTACTTCTGTTACTGACCCCTCAACTAGCCTACCTCATGGAATTACAGGTAAGTATGGAAAGCCAAGCTAAGATTATAACATAAAATACTGGGGCAGTTAGCCTACTGGCTAGTAACTTTTGTGATTAAACCATGTGGTTCCTTTCTTGAGGGAACGAGATTCCACAGTGGTATAAGAAATGATTATTTCTCTCTTGTATTTAATAACTAATTATTTTATTGGGACCAAGGCTTTTCCCCTTTTCTACTTCCTCATCCAGAAACTAACCAGTGTGGGAAGTCTTTCTAAAGCACTTACCCGGCTGAGATGGCTGAGATCTAATCAATGACAGTAAAAAAAATTCTAAGTTTGGGCTAATGGGTGCATTCCTGCTCATTGCGTTTACTCCAACAGGTCTGGGAAAAGTGTTCATTTTCTCTTTTGTCAGACAGGTCACATAGATTGATAAGTCTCCGTGACCAAGATTTGGGGGATCTAAGTCATGTACCCCAAGACCATCACTGTATTATAGCCCACCCGCTCATTGTAATACTCATTTTCTCTGTTAACCAGAGTTGATTGCCACCCTCAGTAACACCTGCTCTTCCAAAGGCATATAAACTGTGAGCCCATCCCCACGAGGGGTCTTGAGTCTAAGAGAGACAGCTAAATGACCATCCTGGCATTATTAATAAAATTATTAAATTAACCCAGAATGTTGGAATTGGAGTTAGGAAAAAATATGTCTGAATCCTGCCTCAAATACTTACTTGCTGTGTGACCCTGGGTAAATCATTTAATCTCTCTTAGCTTCAATTTCCTTATCTGTAAAATGGGGGTAATAATACTGCCTACTTCACAGGGCTGTTGTGAAAATAATGAATAATACATGTAAAGCTTTTTGCAAACCTTGAAGTACTATGGAAACAGGAGCTATTATATCTTACTACAACACTCTAAGTTTGTTTAAAATCTTCTTCCCATGAAATCATTCCTAAAATACAAATATAGCTGAGTTTGACTTGTTTGACTAAGATAATAGGGAATTCATTTTGAAATGAAGAGACACATCATTTGACAAGAGCAGCTATTGCTTATAAGGTTTCCTTTTCTTCGTGAGGGAAGTGAGAGGTAAACTTTTATAAATGGCTATTTTTAAAATCCCAAGAATACTCTTGATCTGTGACAGCTATTTGAATGAAAAGCAAATGTTTTGTCTTCTTAGATATTTATTAAGTTGCAGAAAAAAGAAAAAGGAGGCAACAGAGCAGGGAAGGAAACCAAAACCATTGTGAATATTTTCCAAATTTTAAATTCAGTGAGTGACAGTTGGACTTTCCTTGGAGAATTTGTTCCATTTGGTGGATGGAAAAAAAAAAGCCAAGTTTTCTGTCAGCACCAGAGAGCTTAGCAGGGAAATAAGAGTCAATTGTCCTGTCCTCTGAGCTAAATGTACTTACACTGATTGACTCACAGATCAGAAATGGAAGAGACCATAGGGTCCCTCTGCAGGGTTTGTTAAAATCCTGCCTGAAATCGTGAGCTTCTATTTATAACTTACAACTCCTTCTGATTTGCCCCTTTCTCTTTTAACAAATTGGATTTAGAAGCCAACAGAATTTAAAGGCAACTTCACATAACTGAAAAAATCCAAACTAGCAGAATATCAGGGCAGCTAAGTGACACCGTGGATAGAGTGCCAGGCCTGGAGTCATCTTCCTGAGTTCAAATCTGGCCTCAGATACTTACTAGCTGTGTGACCCTGGGCAAGTCGCTTTGCCCTATGTGCCTCCGTTTCCTCATCTGTACAATGAGCTGAGAAGGAAATAGCAAATCACTCCAGTATCTTTGCCAAGAAGACCCCTAATGGGGTCACAAAGGGTTGGACATGACTGAAATGACTCAACAACAACAAAGCAGGCTGTCAGCCAATCAGTCAATAAGCATTTGTTCCAGGCGCTGTATTGATTTTCAAGACTATGAGATGGCACAAAAAACAACAAAAATTCAGCTCAAATTAAAGAAAGTTAGAATATGTCACACGACCTATTACCTTTCCTGGGTCATTCTCACTGGCTTTTAAAGTTAACCATTTGGGTACTTTCAAAATATTCTCAATTACACAAGGTTTGCATTGATCTGGAGGAAAAAAACTCTTTATAGGTTTAACTAGTATATATAAGGATATAAACAGTTCAGGGTCTCTGTCTTTTGGGTGGGTGGGTGTCTCTCTGCTCTGTATTGGTCTCGGTCTCTCTCTTTCACACACACACACACACACACACACACACACACACAAAGAAGCTTTTAATAGATTGCAAACTTCCTTGAGACAAGGGTAATATTTTCTTTCTATTTTTCCACAGTGGCTTATACTAAGTTGCTAAATTAAATTAACTTGAATGCATACTCAAATATGTAAGTATTAATACCCATTGGATCACAATGTTTCTAATGGAAATTGGAGTGTGGATTTTGAAATGTTTATTCCATTTTCCACACGGAATCTAAACTAATAGTTCTGCTGTGACAGAAATGTGCTGCAAAATTTTGCTGTTCATTTATCCATTTAATACATAAAAAATTATAAATCACCTATTTTTTTTCTTCATCATAAACTCATCTCCTTTTAAGTTTGCTGTCAATATTATGAACCACCAGAACCCAAAGAAAACAAAAATGTTCTTTTGAATGTTAAGGGTTGCAAACTTTTATCTATTTCCAAGTGTCGTTTCACCCCAGTTCCCCTTTCTAAGACTTCCACAGTCCTAGGTTCCATCTCCATCCTACCCCACCCCCAAGCCAAATTTTGCTGCCTGCTCTTCCTGGTTTTGGGAAAATCATAATAGCTGCTATATATGCCAAGGGATATAACCACCTCCTGCAGTGCAAAACTTAAAGATGTAAAGAAAGAAGAGGGTGGAGAGGTAAGAGAGGAGACAGACAGAGAAATTCCAAGGCCCAGATAATTAGTCTGGAGGCACAACTTCCCAAAAATTCTCATTTGTTGCCAACTTCACTGTTCAACATGCCATAATTCTTCATGGCAAAGAATACTATACCATGAGCAAAAAAAAAAAAAAGCTTGAGAACCACTGACCTGCACCTAGTATTTTCACCTATAGAATCATTCCACTATTTATCCCCATTTATTCCCCTGAGAGAGTTATATCCCAAGGGACTTATCTCAGTATTGTTGGGCCATTTCCTTTTTCTACCCCTTCCCCATACCCTAAACCACAGCTTGGTCAATTCCCTAGCTCTTAGTAGAGAGAATGTTGCTCTAATGAAGAGTATAATCTACTTTCCTTAAATTCACATAGAGTGTGCAAAGACTCCTTAACATACAGAAGGAGTAAGTAGTGGGTATAAGCAGTAATGAAAGGACTTGGAAAAAGCTTTGTAAGGTCTATCTAGCATCTGGATAGTGGGTAAGGAAGCAGACCACTGCCCTCTCCTTCTAGTGGTTGACTTCTTGGGAACAAAGTAGGATACATAATGTTGAAGTTCAGCCACATGAAGTATAGAGGAACTGTTTCTCTGATTCCTCCCAGAACCTCACTTTTCCTTTGGGTCATAAACTGACATCTGTTCCTCCTGTGCCTAGCTAAATTTCTGATGATAATTTTTCACTACTGAATACATGATTATTGCATTAAGAGATTTATTTCTTTGCCATAGAAAACTTTACCACCAGTGACATAAGTGCCTCTGAAATTGAGAACAAAGTATCTCAGATGGAAAAGTCTTTGGACTCAGACAGCTTGGAGCCTAGCCTTGCAGAGGAAATGATCCGTGAAGTGAGCAGACTCCTCCACGCCCCACCAGCCCTACTCAACCCCTTGTCTCAGAGGTATGTGTTGGCTTCTGAACTGACAGAATCCAGGTTACTTCTTCAGGAGATAAAGAACTGAGAAATGATCTTCTGTACCAATACTAAGTCTATAGTATTGATACCTACAGAAGCACAGTCTCCAGAGCATGAAAAAAGATAGTCTTACTATATAATCTGCCCCCAGACTCAATCTGGATGAGCTTTTGCCTCTGGAAGGACATTAACAAGCTGGTCCCTTCCTCCTCTAACTTACATTAATTTTCATCTCTTCTAGTTCTAAAAAGCTGAAGTACGTTCGAGGATGTTAAAGGAACCCAAAGATAGCATGAGAAGCAGTTACAAGAACTGGGGATGTTTAGTGTCAGAGAATTTTCTTAGCCCAGAAGACTTAGACCTCTTGGGAAAGGCATAACCATCAATTAGGGTCCAATGACTTTGGGTCAGAGATAGGAGGCCAAACTGAAAGCAAAGAAGTGTATTATCATGCTAAAGAAGAAGACAGATAGCAGGGGCAGCTAGGTGGTGCAGTGGATAGAGCACCAGCCCTGAGGTCAGGAGGACCTGAGTTCAAATCAGGCCCAAGACCAAACATTTGACATTTACTAGCTGTGTGACCCTGGGCAAGTCACTTAACCCCAACTGCCTAAGCAAAAAAAAAAAAAAAAGACAGCACTTTAACTTCTTAGGATACCTATTTGATTTTTATAACTTTTTAGGCCTACTTATGTACCTGGCCAATCAGTAGCATTCTGTGACAACTTAGGATAGATAAGTAAGACCTTTCACAGGAGGAGGGGTAGAAAAAGAGGGAATCATCTAAAGGAGAAAAGCAGGATTTCTAAGGGAATATTTGCCATGCAGCTGACAAGGTTTGTTATTGGAATGAGAAGACAAATATTTTGTTCAAGTGTAGGAGACAAAGGGAGGTGACCAAATACTTTTATAATTCTGAAAGAAATCCTTTCAGACAAAACTGAGGGGTTGAGGTAACCATTTAGACAAGGCTGAAGGTGTGTGTCTCTTATCCAAGGACAACAAGTTGTGGTTACAACAGTGGATAAAACTATTGTTTTCATATAGCTTGTTTAATTTTATTCCTCCTTACTATCCTCTATAAAGCCACCTGGTGGTCAGGGGATTTCTACACTGTTAGTCCATCAAGATGTTGTGAAATGATTATGGTTCCAATTTTTCCTCCATATTAACTCTAGCAAGAAAAGACTTGGTGCTCACATATGTGTTTGTTGGGGTGTGGTAGGGTGGGAAGAAGACATGATCAATGTCTTCAAATATTTGAAGAGTCTACAGGTAAAAGATTGTAGGATCAAAGAATTACAGCTGGAAGATGTCATACAAGCCATTTAGTCCAAACTCCTGGTTTGCAGATGAAGAAACTGAAGTCCAGAGAGGTTAAGGGACTTTCCCAGGCACACAGATAATGGGGCAAAGACTTGACTTGGCACAGGACATCTGACTACAAATCCAGCCCTTTTTGTTGTTAGCGGTAATTCATGCCTCAGCTAAGGACTGGTCTAGGTGACCTTTGAAGTCTCTCCCAGTTTTGAAATACTCTTATCTGGGAAAGTGAATTCTGCTTAGATTAATGATCTCAGAAACAAGGAGGATTTGAATTCTGAACTGTCTTCTTTTCTATGATAGGTTGTTAAAAGTAGTGGCTGATATTGGCTTGAAATTGAATTTTTCAAACAAGACCATCAGTTTTACCTCACCTTCTTTGGCTCTGGCTGTGATCAAAGCCAATGCCAGCACCTTTGCCAAAACTACTTTTGCTGCCCAAGATCCTTCAAATCTTCAGGTAAATAGTACCTTGATTTTTATTTAATGTAGAAACATTTTAGCTTATATCATTTTATTTCAGTACAATTTTTATTTCAATATAATTTGAGCTGTTTATTATACTTAATTATTTTACAACGTGCTTCTTGGATTATGGTATGTGGGGAGGGGGCACATTAAGGTTAGAGAGTGAAGAAACAGTCATTCCTACCTAGGGCACCTGCAAAGTTTGTTCATTGACTTGATGGACCTTATTTGCAGAAACTGTTACTCAACATTTCACCTCTTAGATTCATCACCATTTGAAACCTTTGCTAAAAAAGAAAGGCAGGAAAGAAGGACGGAAGAGAGGGAGGGAGGGAAGGAGAAACAAAGAGAGAGAGAGAGATAAAGAAAAAAGCCACTGCTATCGCTATTGCTGTCCACACAGATGATTTGTCCACAGTTGTCATTTACTACCTTCCTACAGCTATCCTCTGTTCCCGGTCAATGTTAAAATATTCCTTCTTTCTTTTATTTTTGTGGTTGTTTTGCTTCATCCCCCATATGCAAATAGTTGAAAAGTCTGTGATTTTGTGACTGTAGGGAACTTCTAATGTGGAAACTCCCTCTAGCAACACAGATCACAACCAGCCTGTGACTTAGTTGAGAAATATTTGGTATTAACTTAAGCATATTGAAGTCCCTGGTAAAGTGAATCTACTTATCTTTGGAGCTCTAAGGACCAATCTCATTGTTTCCAGAATGTATGACAACCAGGCTGCTTAGCCAAGGATATCTACAGGGTGGCCCTAGACAACAGACCAATTCTTCAGCTTCATATCCTATCCAGCCATCCAACCAGGCCATCTTGTTACCTACCTGGTGACCCCCACTCCCTGCTTTTCACCTTTCCAAAACAAAACACCCATACTTCTTGAGGGCAAAGACTCTTTGTGTGTGTGTGTGTGTGTGTGTGTGTGTGTGTGTGTTTGTATCCCTAGCACAGAGGATGGCAAATAGTTAGCTTAATTAATGTTTTTTTCATTCATTCAGTGACTTGCCCAAGGTCATGCAGAGGTTGGATTTGAACTCAAGACTTCCTGAATCTAAACCTAACACACTATCTACTGTTTTATTCTCTGTATACTACATCTTCTTTATGGTGCTTAATTGAGTATCCAAAGCAGTAGAATGTGAACTCCTTGAGGCCAGGGAACGTTTCTTGTTTGTTTGTTTGGGGTTTTTTTTGGTCTGTGCTTCCTCAAAGTTCAGTCAGCTGTTTTTTAATCATGTCCAACTCTTTGTGACCCCATTTGGGGTTTTCTTTGCAAAATTACTAGAGCAGTTTACCATTTCCTTCTCCAGTTCATCTCATAGATAAGGAAACTGAAGCAAACAGGGTTAAGTGACTTGCCCAGGGTCACACAGTTATTAAGTAGCTGAGGCCAGATTTGAACTCAGGAAGATGAGTCTTCCTGACTGCAAGCCCAGAGCTCTATCCACTACACAACCTAGCTGCCCTAGGTGTCTACACAGTAGACACCTAATAAATGCTTGTAGAGTTGAAAATGAAACTCATCTTATAAATAAGTGGCTACTTATATGCATTGCCATTTCCTGAGTCAGGAAGACTACTCTAGTCATCCAAACTAGCTTCTCCCTTATTCCCCAGGCATGAAATTAACTTAACAAAAGACAAAGTTGGTTTTTTTTCTTCTTCAATGAAAGGTAAAGTTTAAGCTGCAAATAGGATAAGGATAGGGACTGGATCTGTGATTCCATTGGTATAAAAGATGCCCCAGTGAGGCATCTCCCTCTACCAGCAGCTTCTCTGGAACTTAGAATTTTAGAGAGTTGCCTAGAGCACTGAAAGGTTAAGAAAATTACCTATGAACATGCAGCCTATGTATGGGGTTCAAGCCTACAAGCAGGGCTTGAATCCTAATTTTCTTGGTTCCAAGGCCAGCTCACCATCTAAATCAAATCAGTTAGCATTTATTAAGCATCTACTATATACCAGAGACTTTTCTAAGCTCTAGTGATACAGAAAAAGGCAAAGCAAATCCCTACTCTCAAGGAACTCACAATCTAATGGGGAAGACAACATGCAAGCAACTATGTACATATATAGATATATGTGTATATATATATATATATATATATATATGCATATATATATACATACATAGATATAGATATATGCATATATATGTGCTAAATTGGGGATAATGTTAGAGGGCAGGCATTATGATTAAGGAAGACTGGGAAAGACTTCTTACAGAAGATAGAATCTAAGCAAAGATTTGAAGAAAGCCAAGGAAGCTAGAAGGCAGAGATGAGGAGAGAGAGTCAGTGAGATGCTCAGAATTTTTTTACACAAGGAACAGCAAGGAGACTGTTGTCACTGGGTCACACAGTATTGGGATATTGGGGGGTGTAAACTGTAAGAAAACTGGAAAGTTTGGGAGTGGGCAGGTTATGAAGGGCTTTGAGGAGGGCAGAGGACTTTATATTTGATCCTGGAGGTAATGGGAAAATAATGGAGTTTATTGGATGTAGGGGAAGAGAGGAATGTGACATGGACAGACCTGTGCTTTAGGAAGATTACTTTCACAGCTAAGTGAAGGATAGAATGGAATACAGAGAGATTTGTGGCAAAAAGACCTATCAAGAGGCTTTTGCAATAGTCTAAGAATGAGGTAATGAGGGTCTGCCCCAGAGTGGTTACAGTGTACTAGGAGAAAAAGAGGCATGTTTGAGAGATCTTACAAAAGTAGACATAACAGGACTTGACCACTGATTGGATATGGAGGGTAAGAGAAAGTGAAGAATTGAGAATGTTACCTGGGTTGCAAGCCTGAGGGATTAGGAAGATAGTAGTACCCTTGATAGTAATAGGGAGTTAGAATGAGAGGATAGTTTCAGAGGAAAGATAATGAGTTGGACTTAACATGAACATGTTGAGTTTAAGATGTCTATGGGATATTCAGTTCAAAATATCTAAAAGACAGTTAAAGATTGGAGACTAGAGCTCAAGAGAGGGGTTAGGGCTGGACAAATAGATCTGAGAATCATCTGCATAGAGATGATTATTTAAACCATGGGAGCTGATGAGATTACCAAATGAAATCATTTAGAAGGAAAAGAGAGCCTAGGATAGAGCTTTAGGAGACCTCCCCTCTGGCCCCCTGACACCTCCATTAGTGGACATGAACTAGATGAAGATCCAGCGAAGGAGAGAGAGCAGCAAACAAGTTGACAGAGAACCAGGAGAGAACAGTGTCACAAAAAACTAGATAGAAGAGTATCAAGGAGAAGAGGGTGATTGATAGATCAAAGAGGTCAAGAAGAATGACAAATGAAAATGGTCATTAGATTTGGTAATTAAGAAATCATTAAGGGGCAGCTAGATGGCTCCGTGGATAGAGCACTGGCCCTGGGGTCGGGAGGACCTGAGTTCAAATCTGGCTTCAGACACATAACACTCACTAGCTGTGTGACCCTGGGCAAATCACTTAACCCCATTGCCTAGCCAAAATAAATAAATATATGAAAGAAATCATTAATATCTTTGGAGAGAACAGTTTCAGTTGAATGATGAGATCAGATAGCAGACTGCAAAGAGAGTGAGGAAGGGAAGTGGAGGCCCCTATTGTAGACAGCCTTCTCAAAATGTTTAGCCTTAGATCAAATGAGAGTTTTTTTAAGGATGGGTGAATCATAGGATGTTTGTAGACAGTAGGGAAATAGCCAGTAGACCTAGAGCTATTGAAGATAAAAAAAGAGGGGGATGATATAAGGGGCCATTTGCTTGAAAAGATGAAATGGATTGAGGTCACTTGTTTGCCTTGGCAATGAGAAGGGCCACCTCTTCATGTGAAATAGGGGTAAAGGAGAAAATAGTGGCAGAAGGCAGCTGGGTTTGGGGAGATGAGAAATAGGGAGAAGAGGAGATTCTATACAAATGGCTTCAGTTTCTTCTAGTAAAATATAAGTCAAGTGTCTCAGTTGAGAGAGTGGAAGTAAGAAGGATCTAGGGGGTGCATTGGATAGAGCACGAGCCCTGAAGTCAGGAGGACCTGAATTCAAATGTGGTCTCAGACACTTGACACTTCCTACCTGTGTGACCCTGAGCAAATCACTTAACCCCATTACCTAGTCAAAAAAAATAAAAGGGATCTATAGGTTTGAGGATGAATGAAAAGGTTTGGAAGAGCTACTATGCTGGTTGAGATAATGAATCGATGATGGGAGCGAAAAGACCAGCAATGAACGTTCAGTTGAAATTACATAGCATAAACTTGCAGTGGACCAGTTTCATGATTTTCTCCAGCTTCATTCGGCAACACATGAGTAGGAACAAAAGCAGTAAATGATGGGAGTAATCAAAGTTTAGGTCACGGCAAGGTCTCCTGTAGGATAAAGGGGCAAAGGACTGGAGAGAAGACAGTGTCATGCCTCTAAACTGCAAATACACCTTGGGAAAAGGAATCCCCCCTCTCTTAGTAAAGTACAATTAACAGATAACCAAACTCTTTCCTTAGAACAGGTTTTGATATAGGAAGAGACTATAAAGGCATAGGAGTGCCTGAAATGGAAACTGCTACAGAGGAGGCAAAGGCAAGAAAATAGCAGAATGAGAGCCCCTTTTTTGAAAATGTACCTCTCATGCTAATCTGCTGAGGTAATTTACCAGTCAGTTTTTGTCTTAAATGTTTAACTAAGCTCTAGTACCTAGCACATGTGTCATGCACACAATAGGTGCTTAATTAATGCAAAATCCCTTCCTCCTATTGCTTGGTCAAACCCAGCCCTGGATGACTCACACCCTTCCACTTCCTCTCCTATTCATGGACTATTAAACTAAATTGCAAGAAGTTACAAAACAATGCTGACTGGGTCCACTATATACATTTGTTATCCAATCTCAACTGGGCCCTCACAGCAGCAAGACAATCTTTTTATTCCTCTCTAGTTGATTCTCAGTCCCATTCACTACAGCAATAGTTCCAAACATCCTTCTGTCTCCTCAAGCTTTCTATACTATCTCTTCTACCTAAGCTCTCAGCTGAGGACCTTGCCTCATATTTTCACACACACAAAAAAAATTCAGACTATTTGCCTGAAGTATCTTCCTTTCCCTAGTTCTTTATCTCATATTTCCCCTGTATCACTTCCAATTATGTCCTTATTCATTCTAAACTCTTATCAAGGCCAACCTCTGTACATGAACCTCAAACCCATCTCCTCCTATCGCAAGCAGATTGTCCCCATGATCATCCTCTCTTGTCTGTCTATGTCTCTGTCTCTCTGCCTCTATGGGGTGTGTGTGTGTGTGTGTGTGTGTGTGTGTGCATGTGTCTTATCTTCAACTTCTTCCTAACCTTCCCATTACAATAAAATGCACCACCATCCTTCTGGCCACTGAGGTTCACAACCTCAGTGTCTTCCTTGGGTACTCACTCTTATTCATCCCTCATATCCAGTCAATTACCAAATTGTATCATTTCTATCTCCTTGATATCTCTTGTATCCATCCCCATCTCATTGTTGCAGGTTGGGACCCCTCGAAAACCAAAGTACAAGATGGGTTGTCTGGAATGAATTCACAGACTCAAGCATTCTTTAAGTCAAGTTGGCAAAAAGTTTATTGTAACGCTTTTCAGCAGGCAAGGATTCTTAAGGATCCTGCAACCTTAGAGGGGTACAGTTAAAGTTTATATAGGATAAAATACAATAAAACATGTGCCAAATATGCTAATTAGGTGATTCAGGGTGGAATTAGGGAGTGGTTAAGGAGTGGATAGTTCTTAAAAGAACATGCACTTCTTGTACCTACTGTGCAGGCATTTTACCCAGAAATGTGGGTAAAAATGTGGGAAAGACCCACAAGGGGGGCCACATGGAAGTGTGGTTTTAGGCCTGCTATGTCACTAAGTTAACTAGAGTTCAGGGGTAACTGAGAGTTGTCCAGTCTGCCACCAATCAATGTCTTGTTTGACAAGATAGATGTAGGGAATATCCATATGTCTTAAGTCTAGAATACAGATAATGAGGAGCTCAGGATGTAGATAATGAGGTAGGGCAGTAGTATAGATAGTCCAGTGGGTAAGAATGTCTTTATGACCCAGTGCAAAGCCAGTTCAAATTAATAATTCCTTCAGGTGCTGCTTTTTACTGCAACAAGGAGAGAGATAAGGGGCTTGTTGGGGCCCACTCATGAGTAATTGCTAGGCACAGTGTCCTTGGGCTGTGGAGAAATTGTCAGAGACAGTGTTTCTGAGGCTAGGGAGAAATTGGGGTCCAAGTACAAGCACCCAAACATAAGCACCCAAGAACCCCATCATCATTACTCACATAGTCACCATTTCAGACCCTCACTATCTCTGGTTTGTACTATTGCGATAGCCTTCTAACTTGTCTCAGTGTCTCAAGTGTCTCTGAAGAGGTCTAGAGGTTTGGGGTGCTGGAACCCCAAGATCATGATGCAGGCCCTGCCTGAATGAATTCAACTCAAATCTTCTTCCAGTCAGAAAAAAGTTTATTAGAGATAAATAATATAGGTCAGGTGACACCCGTAAGGACAAGCAGGCATGAGAAAAGCTCAGCCTTTTGGGCATGAAAGATTCTCGGCATTTGAATGGAGGCCAGGGTAGATCTTATATACACTAAAGTAACTTTGGGTGGCCAGAGGAGGGGGCTGGGAAAAGGGTCTAGGTGAGAATTCCGATTGGAAGGTCTGAGAGACTGAATAGACAATGGGAATAGATAATGAAGGGAACTGAAAGGAAGAAGTTTGAAAGGCATCTGAATAAGGTCAAAAGGTGGGGCTAGGGTTTTCAAAGGGAGGTGAGGAGCTGGGGCCTGCAGACAAATGGGAGCCAGATTCCTTTTGGGGCAAGGGGTGAAGATCTTGGCTTGGGCCCATACCCCATCAACCCCACACCCCAAACCATCCATTACACAACAGCTAAGATTATTTTTCCAAAGCTTAGATCTTACTATATCACCTTCTTTCTCAATAAATTCCAGTGGCTCCTCATAACCTCTAGGATCAAATATAACTCTTCTATTTGACATCTAAATATCTTTACAACCTGACCCCTTTTTCCACTTTTCTTTCCTCCACATACTCTATGGTCCATTTAGATTGGCCTCTAATTGCTGAACCTCACCTTCAATGCTACATTTCCCTTCTATGTGCCTTTTAACGTGTTTTCCTGCATTCTTGGAATATTCTCCTTCCTCAACTTCAAATCTTAGAATCCCAGCTTCTGTCAAGACTCAGCTCAATTGCTTCCTTCTGTAGGAGACCTTCCCATCCTCCTCCTAAGGGCACCTCATATCTCTTCTGTATGTATCTTGTATATTCCTATTAATATAAATTTTTCTTCCCATTAAATGTAATCTTCTTGAAGGTAGGGTAGTAAGTGACAGAGCCAGGATTTGAAATGAGTGTCTCTAATTCCAAATCTAGCTCTTTCTAATGTACCACACTGCCCCACAAGTACCAGAAGAGAATTTTAATTGAGGTTCCCATCCCACCCACCCCCTCCCCATTCCAAAGATTGTGCTCTTTTCACTGCACCATGCGCTACTTTTCAATTTAGCTAGAGAATGGCAACTGTGGGAAAATGGAAAGGTAATTTTTTCCTAAGAGTAGCCAAGCACTAGTAAAAAGCTGCTGCACTCTTTCTTTATCAGTTCTCAAGGCAGTGTCAACTGTGGTAACAAATGACCAAAGAGTCACAGAGATTTTGCAACTATTGTTAACTACAAAAATATCAAAGAGCTCACACAGATTAAAAGCAAAAAGCTTTCTTTATTCCAGTGGGGGAGAGAAATTAGACACATGTCGGGACCTCCTCTTATAGGAGACCCAAGGCAGTGGGGCTAAACCTTGATTTATATATTTGTGGCTAGATAAAGAATCAAACAGTGTAGTGTAGCAACAGTGGTGAGGCACACACCAACAATAGTGAGGCAAGGCTGTCTAGTGACAAAAAAGCTATTCATAGCAAGGCTTCATGTCTGAGGCTACTGGTGCTTTCCTGAGCTCAGGGACTGTTAATTCTTTGATTTAGTTGCAGCAGTGTTCATCCAGAGGTTGAGAGCAAAGGATTGTTGGTATGCCAAGCTTAGGGCACGGCTTGCTTTCTAGGCTCTGGAAAACTGGGTGTCTCCTAATAGTAAAAAAGAGAAGAGCAAAAAAATAAAAGAGAAGAGTGGGATCCTGACAGTAGTTTATTAAGCTGAAGGCAAACTGCCTAAATGATACCAAGCAATAGCTTTAATTTCAGTCTCATTGTCTAATCAAATGTTTTCAGCTTATCCTTTTATATTTGTTACTGAATCCTGCTCCCAGGTCTCCTAATTCAGACCTTCAACCTTCTTAAACTATGTCCAGAAATCCATCATATGTGTCTGGATTGATTTTCAGGTTACTTTGGACACTCAAGCCCCTGAAAATAGTATTGGTATTATTACCCTCCCCACTCAGTTGTTGGACAATTTATCAGCTGAAGAGGCAGAGATAGCATCCCGAATCCAGTTCAACTTTTTTGAGACACCTACATTATTTCAGGTAAAGTTTGCTAGTTTCTTCTATTTCCTTTAAATATCCCTAAACTCACCGTGAATAAAATTACTTCACTTAAAAAGATACTACAGATATAATTTGTGTTCATTTCTCTATTGATTTCCTTTTAAAGCTTCTCAGTAAGTGGAACTTTTTATTTTGAGACTGCTCAATATAGTTTCTAATATGGGGAAGTAGCCTCTTGTGATGAAAGGAGCTCCAAACTATAAATTAGAAAATCTGGGATTTATTTCCAACTCTGCTACTAATGGTATGATTTTGAGTACGTCCCTTGTCTCGGGGCCTTGGTTTCCTCCCTTAAAAAGTAAGGGAGTTGGACTAGGCCAGTGGTGTCAGACTCAGAAACGGGGCCCCCTAAATCATAGATAAGGATCCCTGCAGGCCACTTCTTGACTTAGAAAATCACATATTAACATTATCTATGTTCTATTGTATTTTTATTTCTTTTTTCAAATATTTCCCAATTTCATTTTAATTTGGTTCACTCACTCTGGAGTGTTGCTGCCATGGTTGGCTCAATGATATCCAAGGACTCTTGAAGCTCTAATATTCTGTAAACCTAATGATTTTTCCCCTTGATCACTTTATGACTTTTTTGGTGTTTTAGGATCCCTCACTGGAGAATCTCTCTCTGATAAGCTATGTTATATCTTCAAGCGTCACTAATCTAACAATCAGGGACTTGACAACAAATGTGACAGTCATGCTACAGAATACAAGTCCTAACCAGGTAAACCATTCATGACGTTTTCATGCTCACCATTCTTTTTAGTAGGAAGATGTCATAATTCTGCCAAAGAGGAACAAAACTTGAATTCATCCAGGGAACTAGTCAGAGCAGCATGTGAAACACTTCCTCTCCACCATCATTTTTTCATTCATTAATTCATTTAAGAGACATTTACCAAGTGCCAGGACTCTTGTCCCTGGAACTAATATAGGCTATGATAAGAGGTGAGATTTTGCCTTATCTTTCCTGAAATCGGACCTCCACATAACTTCATGGACAACATTTCCAAACCTGTGCTTATAGTTCCATCTGTTAGCTGTTATCCCTGTTATGTGTTGTCTTCCCCCCATCTAAATATAAACTTCTTAAAGGAGCTCAACACAGTGTCTGGCACATAGTAAGTGATTAAATAATGTTCTATCTATCCTCTCTCTCATCCTCTTCTCTCCTCCCTCCTCTCCCCTCTCCTCTCCACTCCTTCCATCCCCTGCCCAGTCCTCCCCTGTCCTCCCCTGTCCTCCCCTCCCCTCTCCTCCTCTTCTCTCTTTCTCTCTCTCTTCCTCCCTCCATCCCTCCTTCTTCCTCTCCCTCTCCCCTCATTTCCTCCTCCTCTTCCTTCTTTTTTTCTTCTTCTTTTTCTCTGTCTGTCTTTCTGTCTGTCTGTCTCTGTCTCTCTGTCTCTCTCTCCATTATGCTCAAAATTGGGAGAAAAAAAGGACATGGTCCTTACCTTCAAGGGTAGTAAACCTGTACTATCTAGTACAAGTAATATACAATGTCCATGAATACACAAACTTAAATACAATAAATGCCTAAGAACAATACTGTACAAAGTACTAGGAGATCAGATGAAGGTGAAATCAGTATTAGCTTGAGGTAATAAGAGAACAAGGGAGCTTAAGGATTCTGAGGTCCATTTGCTTCTAGACACAAACCTTAGATGATAACTCTCCCTCTAAATATCAGGCACAGGGAGAATGAGAAAGTGTAAAACCTGTATGCCTTTTCCATAAACTACTTGCTTCCCAACTTTTCTTATGTAATGTTTGAAAACAGTGTCTTATTTCTCCCTTACAGGATAACTTAACTGTAAAATGTGCATTTTGGGACCTGAGCAAAAATGGTAGGTTTTGCTGTTATCCTTTCCCCTGCCTTAGCTCACACATATCCATTGGTCTTATTGATAGGATATGTGTTCTCTCCAATGCTAACAGGTGGCAGAGGAGGTTGGTCATCTGAAGGCTGCACAGTGAAAGACAAGAGAATAAATGAAACAATTTGTTCTTGCAACCACCTTACAAGCTTTGGAGTTCTGCTGGTAATGTAACAATTTAAAGAGACCTCAGATTTAAAGGCTAACTGCTATTAAATGTATTGACACCATCTTGTGATATCTACCAGATAAAATGTCTTCATGAACACAGCTGAATGTGTTAGAATGGGCAATTTTTCTGAGCTAATGAAAATACAGGAGCATGAAATACAAGTCTATTTTTATTATTACAAGCTTTTACCTACATAAACATATGTCTGTATTGGTTAAATATACATATATTATGGCTAGTATTTACATTGTACTTTAAGGTTTGCAAAGAACTTTTGCTAATATTATCTCATTTGATCCTCACAACAACCTTGTGAAGTATGTGCAGATATCTTTCTCATTTTACAGATGAGAAAACTGAGGTAGACAGAGGTTAAGTGACTTGCTCAGCGTCACACAGCTAGTAATTGTCTGAGGTTCAATTTGAACTCATATCTTCTTGGCTCTGTTTCTATCCACTGCACTCACAAATGAGTTTCTGAAACATAGCTAAGAACATCATAAAAATACTAAATTTAGACATAATAATCATTAGGAAATGTAGAACCATCTTTTATTTGAATATTTGGTAGAGGCAACTAAGTGGTATAATGAACAGAGTACTGGATTTAGAATTAAGAAGATCTGAGTTCAAATCCTTCCTCAGACACTTAATAGCTATGGGAATTTTCTCAGCCTTAGTTTCATCATCTGTAAAATGAAGATAATAATAGCACCTACCTCACAGAGTTATTCCGAGAATCAAAATTATATGACATCTACAGCACTTTCTAAACTTGGAAGCACTATATAAATGTTGTTTTAAAAAAGAATATATAGTAAAGATGATTTCTACTTTTTAGGACTTGTCCAGAACACCCTTACCACCTATCCAGATGCTGGTTCTTACATTCATCACCTATATTGGCTGTGGCTTGTCTGCAATTTTTCTTTCAGTTACCCTGGTAACCTACATAGCCTTTGAGTGAGTATTCTCCCTGTTACACGGGAATTGTGGCCATCATTGTTTGACCAGTATATTACTGACATCCCCAAAATACATTAATTACCTCTCTGCTATGACACTATGCAAGGTACCATGTAAAGACAGTTCAGTGAATACTTCAATGCTCCAATGAATCTGTGAGCTTATCAGTTTTAATATTTCTTCCATTGATGTACATTTCAGTCCCCCCACACTCTTTGCCTATCCATCCACAGTGACCACCGTCTGTTTCCTCCTATGAGTTTGCCAAGGGGAATCTACCCAATGAACTGGAGGTCTTCCTCATTTTCTCCTCCTGTAGACTTAAAATCTAAGAGGATAGTAGTAATGTTGAGAGTTATTAAAAATACATATTGAATTAAGTTAAGAATTTGTGTTAAGCAGGAAAAAAATAGGAAAATGTGAGTTGTGCAGATAAATGAATTCAGAAATGGTTGAATGACCCATGCCAGAGAATGTTCATAAATGGAACAATGTCAACCTAGATGGAGAGCTCTCATAAGAAAGAATGCTTTGGATAAAGGCATAGAAGATGGCTTTCTTAACCAATTTGTAGATGACACAAAGCTAAAAGAGATAACTCTTATATTGGATAACAGAATTAGGATGCAAAATTATCTTGACAGGATAACATGACAGGAAGATTCACATGGAATTCATTAGGGATATAGGCAAATTTCGGCACTTAGATTAAAATCATCATTGCAAAAGTAAGTAATAGGGGAAATGTAGCTAGACATCAGTTTTTGTAAATAAATAAATAGATAGGTAGGTAGATAAATAAATGAATGAATAAACAACTAAAATAAATGAATAAATGAAAAAGACCTGAGCTCTTTAGTGGATCTTATCCTCCACATAAGCTAAGAAATGGACATGGCAACTAGAAACAAAATGAAACAAAACAATGAATACAAATGTTAGGTCATATTAATATCTTATAAAATATCAATAACATTGTATGTTAATATCTTATATTAATGATATATCATTGTATTAATATCTTACAATATGGTGATAATATAATTATTATAATTACATTATAACATAATTATTAATAATGTTAATAACATATTAATATCATGTTCAGAATAAGGGAGTTGATAGTCTCAATATATTTTGCCTTTGTCAGACTATATCCAGAGTACTGGGCTCTGCTCTGGCTGCTGCATTTTAGTAAAGGCATTGAAAATCTGGACTAAGAGTTGTTTACCAAGAGGATGATGGGACTTTAAAATATGCCATACAAGGATGAGTTGGTGGATCTAAGAATTTTTAGTTTGCAGAAGATCTAGAGAGTTTATAACATTTTGCTTGGATCCATTTGGCAGAAAAATGGTTATTGGGTGAAAGTAATAGAGATTTTAGATGTCTCTTTCAATGCCAATATTCTTTGATGCAAAGAATTAAGTGGATTTAGTGGAAGGTTATATGAAGTATCTGGAAAATTACATGTCAGGGGCTATACATTGCCATTTTTCTAGTTGGTTGAAAGGTTTCTTGAAATAGATATGGGGTTTCAGGAGCTGACTGAATAATAGGAAAGAAAGGGCTTAGTAAACCAGTTCAGCAGGAATAGCAAATTTTGTAAAAGAGGTAGTATCTTTGATAGATTTTTTGGGGAACATTGCAATGCTTTGCTTTGCTATCCAGTCATTTTTCAGTCATGTCCATCTTTTTGTGACCATATTTGGAGTTTTCTTGGAGTGGTTTGCCATTCCTTTATCCAGCACATTTTACAGATGAGGAAACTGAGGCAAACAGTATTAAATGACTTGTCCAAGGTCACATGGTTAGTAAGCATCTGAGGCCAGATTTTAACTCAGGAAGATGAGTCTTCCTGCCCTTTGCCATCTTTATCTTATTCATAATTCTACTTGGAGAACTTTACAGATGCCTTTCTCCTTAGAATTCTGTTGGAAGTGTTGGAATATTACAGACACATACTGGACCTCTGATTTCATTCATATAGGTAATCTGTAGGTGAGGAAACTCTCTCTTACCAGTGCAGATTGGCATCTTCTCATCTACTTAGGCTTAGAGGATTGTCCAGAACACTGAGAGGTTAAGATCTCAGTCAAACAGTCAATGTGTGTCAGGAGCAGGACTTTTACCTAGGTCTTCCTGGCTTCAAAGCCAGTTCTCTAGCCACCATGCCAAACTTCCTCTAGTTGTAATAATAACTAAATATAAATCCAAGCATTTGTATTCTGGATACTTACTAGGAAATTAATAAAAACTAATTTCCATTTCTACTCTTAGATTGGAAAATCTGGACATCAGAATGGGCATGTAGACCTGCCAGTGGATCCTTGGAAAAATTCTCAGACTAATTTGCCAATAAGTTATTCATTACCTGGAATGATTTAATCAGAGCTACTTTTTCAAGCACAAAACTTTTTATGTAACAAATTAGACTGTATTGCTGATTTAAAGAAAATGGTTTTACTATACTTGTAGCTTTTAGTTATGTTCTTTTTAATTTTTTATTTAGTTATGTTCTAAAGTTATTTTTTTACATATTTATATTAAGCAACAACTTGATATAGCAGAATCTCAGACTAGGGAAGAAGCTCAGAGACTATCTAGTCCAACCACTCTTGACTAACAAAATCCCCTGAACAATCCTTCTGATAAATGGTCAGAAGTTTTGGGTTATCCCAGTTTTGGGATAACCCACCATTTTGTGAGGTAGCCCATCTCACTTTTGGATAACTCTAATTGTTAAGTGACTATTATAAGATTCTAAAGTCCTTTAGCAAGTATCATAGCAAAGTGGAAAGAGCACTAGATTTCTAATCAGAATACGTGTTCAAATTTCTGCTTTGACATCAGGCACATGTATGACTTTGGGTAAGTCACAACCTTTCTTTGGGCCTCAGTTTCATCATCTATAAAATCAGGAGTTATCTCATAGAGTTAGACTAGAACATTTCTAAGGAGCCTTACAGCTCTAAATCCTATGATTCTATGGTGACAGAAGTCTATTGGATGAGACATGGAAAACAGATATTACACACACACACGCACACACACACACACACACAAAACACAACACATATCATAAAGAAAAGGCAGTCTATGTAATGTCTAATTATTTATATTACATATTACATGTATTAGTACATATGTATATATAATTATACATTATATATCATATTGTGTAATATGCTGTATATTACATATATAGTTTATATATATAATTACATATGTTATTATAATTACATATGTCTAATGTAGTAGGGAAAACATTAGCTTTAGGAGTCAGAAGACCTGAGTTTGAATCCTGGCCTAATTACTTTACTGTGGGGTGACTCTGGCCAAGACGCATCAACTCTCTGGGACAGTTTCCTTCTCCATAAAGTGAGGGGGTTGGTCTAGGCCTGAGTTCTTAACCTGGAATCCATCAATTTGTTTTTTCAATATTTTGATAGCTGCCCTTTATTATCATTGGTTTCCTTTGGATACCTATATCTCTTATTTTATGTTTTTGCAAATATTATGCCCCTGGGTCCTTTAGGCTGTGAAAAGGGTCCATGACACAGAAAACAACTAAGACCCCTGGATTACTTTATCTCTAAGGCTCCATGAAGCTCTAAGTCTGGTGACTATAGAATAATAAGCCTATTCAAAGTGACCTTCCTCAGGCTCTACTGAACTAAAGACTGAATTCCTGCATCCACAAGAAGCCTCCTTATTGTCTCTTAACCACCACCATTCTTTTTATTTTGAGCCAGAGAGGTCCCCTTCCCTCTACATTAACAAATGATACTGAGCCTTCAAAGAGAACCTGACATATGACATGAGTGTCCACACCAGGGTTTGCAGGCAGATATCATGCCATTTTTCTCCTATGTCTTTTTCAGGAAAATCCGGAGGGACTACCCTTCTAAAATCCTCATCCAGTTATGTGCTGCCTTACTCCTCCTGAATCTAGTGTTTCTCCTGGACTCATGGATTGCATTGTATAACATTCGAGGCCTCTGTATCTCTGTGGCAGTATTTCTTCATTATTTCCTGTTGGTTTCATTCACTTGGATGGGCCTAGAAGCTTTCCATATGTACCTGGCTCTTGTCAAAGTGTTTAATACCTATATCCGGAAGTATATCCTCAAGTTCTGCATTGTGGGTTGGGGTATGTATGCTTTTCGTTGCAAGATGCCCAGAGGTGGTACAGAGGATAGACTGATGGATCTGGAATCAGGAAGATTTGAGTTCAAATCCTTTCTCACACATGTACAAGTTATATGAACCAGGGCAAGTCACCGAACTACCTCAGTTACCTTAGCTGTAAAATGAAGCTAATACTAGAACCTACCTCCCAATTTTCAGGAGAGAATAAGAACATAATGTTCATAAAGAGCTTTGCCACCCTTAAAGCACTAAACAATTGCTAACTGTCATATTTGATTAGTCAGGTAAAAGTAACAACAAATGGCATGTATTTTACTGATTTCCACCTAACCCCTTAAATCTTAGTATGTGTTTAGTCTTCCAAAGGGCAACCACATGCCACCTCTTTCAAGAGTAACTGTATATTATTTCAGGATTGGCTGTGACCATAACTATATGGTTGTTATTTTAAAAATGGTGCTTTTGAAGCCAAACTCAAATGCAAATCCTGTAAGGTCTGGCAGCCTTCTCCTCAAACTGTGGTCTTGCAATCCCAAATTTTACATATATTCATAATTTATAATACATGCATATATTTACACATAACATATAATATATGCACATATGTATATATTATATACATGTGTATATGTATATATGTACATATATGTATATATAAAACACTTTAAAAACTCTAATTGCTAGCTATTATTACTATTGTTATTATTCGTGGTGTTGTAGGGTGCGTTCATAGAAGACTAGTACCTCTGGTATGAGGCTCCTCCAAGCCCTTTTCAGGGCATTTTCTGACTTTAGGTATCCACCTGATTCACCCAACTTCTCTCAGCAGAATGGGTAGATGAGAACAATTTGTTCAATGGCCATGAAGGTGGCTGATGAAGGTGCTGTGGAGCACTTAGAGCTTGGTTAGATACAGAAGATGCCAAAGGCATCCACTGCATTCCAAGCCATCACCTGTCATCTTGACTTTTGTCTTTCCACTGGACTCAGATGACTCTGGAAGAGAGAGTAAGGCCAATGACTTCGCACAGCTCTGCCTCACTTAAATCCAATTTATGTGCAAATCAGAAGACATCACCCATACCATGTTACCATTTTTACCTACCTCAGAGTCCCTGTGGTGACAGGCAAGTGATAAAGCAGGAGGTGCAAGATACACTGGGAACTATAGTCACAACTCTGCACATAGGTGGCCCAAACCACAGGGTCATCTTTTCACTGGACTAAAGCAACAGCAGGATACAGTAGCTGCCTAGGTGTCTGAGTAGCCTTTTTGAAGGACTCACTGCTCAAAGGGGCTAGAAAAGGTGCCCTAAAAATTGTCTGCTTCACCCAACCCTAGCCTGTTTACTGTAGCAGGAGGGAATCCCACTCTGTGGTCAATACACTAAAAAATGTACAGAAACTTGCAAAGATGATTCCACTCACTATCAATACATGGAATGTGTGCGCTTTTGGACAACAGGAAATCCAGTAGACCTGAAAGACAAACATCTCTTATGAAAGAACTCAGCAGCTATCATATCCAAATAGCAGCACTGAGTGAAACAAAGCTGGCAAATGAAGGCTGAGATGCAACAAAATATGGATTGATTCTCTGCTGCTTGTGCTGATTTTGGCCCAACGATTAACATCAAGAAAACATGAGTTTTCCACTAGCCAGCACCACACCATCCATACGTGGAACCATCAGTTACACCAAATGGAGAAGTTTTGAATGCTGTGGATAAGTTCATTTCCTTTGGTAGCATACTTTCCATGGATGTACACAGTGACAATGAGGTTAACACATGCATTGTCAGAGCTAGTTCAGTGTCTGGGAGGCCCTGAAAGAAAGTGTGGATAGGCTACCTACCAAACTGAAGGTCTACAGAACTGTTGTGCTGACCTCATTTTTGTATGCCTGTGAAACCTGGACAATCTTACCAGTGCCATGCCAGGAAACTGAATCACTTCCATTTGAATTGTCTTAGGAAAATTCTGATGATGACCTGTTAAGATAAGGTACCAGATACTGAGGTCCTTTCTTGAGCTAAAATGCCAAGCATCCAAACTCTACTGCACAGAGCACAACTCCAATGGGCTGGCCAAGTTGTCTGAATGCCAAACATAGGTTTCTTAAAAGACTATTTTACAGAGAACTCACATAAGCAAACACTCATTTGAAGGTCAGAAGAAGCAATAAAATGACTCTCAAGGTCTCTCTGAAGAACTTTGGAATAAATTGAGAGGCACAGGCAAAGGACTGCCCAGCATGATGTGCCCTTATCAAAGAAGGTGTTGTGCTCTATCAGCAAAGCAGAATTTCAGTAATCAAAAGAAATGTGAGATGCATAAATTTAGACACATCTCCACTCTAAACATTCATGTGGACTATTAGTGCCCGACCTGTGATAGAGTCCTCTGAATGCATATTGGTCTGATCAACCACAGTCAGACACATTGTACCTTGAAGTCCAACACAGTGATATCATTATGGTCCTCTTTGAGAACAAAGGAAAACCAACCAACCAACCATTACTGATAAATGATCCAAAAGTGTCTGATGAGAAAAGAAGCATCACTAACTGAAAAATCATCGCTAAGTATGTGTTGTACCTACAATGGGTCACAGAATAATAGGCTTTTTTAAATTGAAAATAAATGCTGACATCTTTTTGTACCATGACCCACCCAGGCAGGTATCTCCTATACAACATCCTTGAGAGATGTCAACTGCAGCTTGGACACCTCCAGGAATTAGAACTCAAAGCCTAATGAAACAATCATTCTATTTTCAAATAGACATAATTTGGGGGACAAGTTCTTTGCTATATTGAACTAAGATCTTCCTCCCTAGAGCTTTTACTCATTAGCTCTAGACCTGCTTTCTAGAGCTAAACAGGACATTCCTAAGTACTCTTCTGTACGATAGCTCTTCAAATATTTGAATACTAATACCTTACACAGTGATTTTCTGCATTCAACGCACTTTACTATACATTGAAGATGAGTGCTACAGTGGAAAATGTGTTGGACTGGGAGAGATCTGGGTGCTGGCCCAGCCTCGAGTAACTATGTCTAACACTGGGTAAGTCACTCAGCTTCATTTTCCTCATCTTCACTTAACAGAAGCAGAAGACATAAAGAAAAGGTGGCAAGAACACACGAAAAAAACTATACAGGAAAGATCTTATCACCGACAACCATAATGGTATAGTTACTGATCTAGAACCAAACAACCTGGAGAATGAAGTCAAGTGGGCTTTAGGAAGCACTGCTAACAATAAGGCTAGTAGAAGTGATAGAATTCCTGCTGAACTATTTAAAATCCTAAAAGACGATGTTGTTAAAATGCTGCACTCAACATGCCAGCAAATTTTGAAAACTCAACAGTGACCTGGATTGGAAAATAGCAGTTTACATCCCAATCATAAAGAGAAATGCCAAGGAATGTTCAAATTACCAAACAATTGTACTCATTTCACATGTCAGCAAGGTTATGCTTAAGATTCTGTAATCTAAACTTCAGCAATATGTGAACTGAGAATTACCAGAAGAACAGGCTCGTTTTGAAAGAAGCAAATGAGCTAGAGGCCAAATTGCCAACATCTACTGGATTATGGAGAAAGCAAGGGAGTTCCAGAAATACCTCTACTTCTGCTTTATTGACTATGCTAAAGTCTCTGTGTGGATCACAACAAAATGTGGCAAATCCTCAAAAAGATGAGAGTGCCAGATCATCTTACTTGTCTCCTGAAGAAGCTGTATACAGGCCAAGAAGGAACAGTGAGAACCAATCATAGAACAATTGATTGGTTTAAGATTGGAAAAGGAGTAGGACAAGGCTATAATATTGTTCATCATGTGTGAAATGCCAAGCTCAATAAATCAAAAGTTGGAATTAAGGTTGCCAGGATAAATGTCAACAATCTCAGATATGCACACAATACCACTCTGATGGCAGAAAGTGAAGAGGAATTAAGAAGCCTCTTCATGAGGGTAAGAGAGGAGAGTATAAAAGCTGGCTTGAAGTTTAACATCAAAAAAAAACTAAGATCTTGGCAACAGGTCCCATCACTTCCTGGCAAAAAGAGGGAGAAGAAAGGGAAGCAACGTCAGATTTCACATTCTTGGGCTGAAAGATCACTGCAAACAATGACTGCAGCCATGAAATTAAAAGACACTTGCTCCTTGGAAGGAAAGCTATGGCAAATCTGGACAGCATACTAAACATACCAAACAGCATACTAAAAAATAAAGACATCATTTTGCCAACAAAGGTCCATACGATCAAACTGTGGTTTTTCCAGCAGCAATATATGGCTGTGAGAGTTGGACTATATATATTGTAATGCTAGAGAAGACTTTTGTAAGTCCCTTGGACAGCAAGGAGTTCAAATCGGTCAATACTTAAAGAAATTAATCCAGACTACTTATTGGATGGTCAAATACTGAAGCTGAAGCTTAAATACTTTGGCCCCATAATAAGAAGACAGGACTTTTCAGAAAAGATTCTCATGTTGCAAAAGATTGAATGCAAAAAAAAAGAGGGGTGTAGCAGAGGATGAGATGGATAGATAGTGTCATGGAAACAGTGATCATGAACTTGGACAGACTTGGAGAGATAGTAGAAGATAGAAAGGTCTGGTGTGTTAGGGTCCATGAGGTCATGAAGAGTCAGACATGACAATGACTAAACAACAATATGGAGATAATAATATTTACGCCACCTATCTTCCATGTGTGTGTGTGTGTGTGTGTGCGCGCGTGTATATATGTATGTGTATATGTATGTTTATATATGAATTATGATTGGCATGATCTCAGTTGACCATCACAAGATTCCTCTGAGTTAGGGCAGGAATTATCATGCCCATTTTACAAATAAGTAACATGAGGTTTAAATGACTTGCCCAATGTCTCATAATTCACTAAGACTGGAATAATCAAAGCCAGATCTAGAACTCAGATCTCTTTTCTATTCTTTATCTTCTTTATATTTCTGTTCTTTCCATGTCATGATTTTAAGACCCGTTGCTGCTGTCTTAATCATTCTAGTTAATTGTGTGATTTTTTTTTTGAGTGTGAAAGATAGACTTTTAAAAAAAAATTTCATCTACTTGGGGTAGGGGGTAGGGGACCTGAAAAAGAAGTCATTGTTATCCTCATTTAGTCCTAATCTTAATTTTCTCTACAAAAATGTGTAAAGCCAGATTTCTTAGACAAGGATAAAATATATCACCATGTTATTTTTTTCTAAAATGGGTTTCACTCATACAATGAGAATGTATCTCTGTCATACAAAATACAAATGACTCCTACTGCCAATCAGGTCAAGTTCTGCAATCAACCAGTCTAACATAGTTCATTAGAGACCCCTGGTTGTATCATTATAAATTTTCTTTTTGGTTGTTGTCAACACTTCTCTGTTGTATATGCATTATACCCAGTTTATCTTCTGGTAATTTGCATGAACCTTGACCCTTCTTGCTGTTAATCCTCAGAAATAAATGTTGTATAATGCTATCTGATTTTCTCTGTATTTTGGTGTTTTAGAACCCTGTGTAACATTTTTTTCCCTCAATCTTCTAGGTGTCCCAGCTGTAATTATAGCCATCGTGCTAGCTATATCACCCGATAACTATGGACTTGGTTCCTATGGAAAATTCCCCAATGGCTCACCTGATGAATTGTAAGCACAGATCTTCCAGAAGGATTGCTATTGCTTGTTGGGAAACTAACTTCTCAGAAAAAATTGCATGATGGAATCACTATATTGGCACACACTCCCTTCCTAATAAAAATTGGTTAAATTTATAACAGTTCTTGTGGTCAGAGCTGTAATAAAGCAAGCTAGTTGGAAATTCCACTTGGCTACTGAAGTACAGGAAAATAAAAGAAAGAATTTTGAAGATCTTTATATAAGCCTATAAAAAAAGAAAAATTACACTAAGTTGATGATAGCAGATGAAATACAGTATTCATCACAGTATTTGTATGGAGTAAATTTTAGAAGGTTGCAAGTCAGTTCAAATAATTCCAACCAACCACCTTCATAATTTCCTTTAATATTCAATGAAGAAGTAAATTCTACTTGAGATTTCAAAGGAAGGAGTAGTGAGTAGTAATTTGTGTTGCTTTTCTTCTTTCATGGTTGATGCATATATAGATCTTTTTATAGAGTAATTATGCTATTTTGTCACATATTATGCCATGGTTTATTCTTTGTCTTGGTTTTTTTTTTCCGTTTTAGTTGTTGGATCAACAATAGTGTTGTATTTTACATTACCGTGGTAGGATATTTCTGCGTGATATTCCTGTTGAATATCAGCATGTTCATTGTAGTACTGGTCCAACTTTGTCGAATTAAAAAAAAGAAGCAACTTGGTGCCCAAAGGAAAACAAGCATTCAAGACCTTCGAAGTGTTGCTGGCTTGACTTTTCTACTGGGGATTACTTGGGGATTTGCCTTTTTTGCCTGGGGACCAGTTAATCTCTTGTTCATGTACCTCTTTGCCATCTTTAATACTTTGCAAGGTAAGTTTTCTGACTTTAGATAGGCCAAAGAGCATCTAGTTGACTGTATAAGCAAATATATAGAAATAATTTTCAATTGGTTCTTGAAATGAGAAGTGCTATATAAAATGTGTTATTCAGTAGAAAAAAAGCATTTTGTTAAAAGACAGATTTGCCTTTGAGAAGAATGCTTTGTGATCCCCCTTATTAAAGGAAAGATGATTTCTAGATTCATGAAATTATTTTTGGCTGATAAAATTCTGCAGGTTTTCACCCTGAAAGGCAAATCAGGGCTATATGCCTGAGAATATTGCTGACTCAGTGTTTTAGCCTTTACATAATACCCTTCCATCTCTTTTCTGTTCTTCATTTGTAAAAATGAAGCTAACAATGTGTCTTCCCTCTTTAACTTACAAATCTATTTAAGATTAAATTAAAGAAAGTCCACAGAAGGTCATGGGAGTTTCAGAACATAACTATGTAGTAATATTTCACAGCTGCACATAACCAGTTTATATCAGCATTGAAAACATAGGCAGAAGTTTAATCTAAGCACAAACATCTGGTGAGTACCTAGTTTGTATAAGGTACTGTGATAAGCAACTCCATGACATTTGAGGTACCAAAGGTTAAAGGGTCTCCCAGGAAACCAATCTAAAAGTTCTAGTAGTAACTACCAAGGAATAATGAGATATGGTATTCCTATCAAGACCACCACTTTGCCTATCCCTCTAAAAGCATGAGAATCAGGGAATGGTCATCTGGATGGCAAGGGAGTAAAATAGAAACCTAAGAGTAATTCCAGAGCCACCCCGTTTCTGCAGTTTTGTGGCATAGTTTTGCACCCAGTCATACTGCTTGATACCCTAGAATAGGGGAGATTTGTTCTGTGAAGTTTGGATTCAGTCAAAGGGCCACACTTGAAGACCTAGAGGGCCATATATGGCCTCAGGGCTGCAGGTTCACCACCCCTGTCCCAGAAGTTATTTTCATATTTAGTCCTATTTATTCTCTCTATGAATTCTACATTTTGTGTGTGTGTGTGTGTGTGTGTGTGTGTGTGTGTGTGTGTGTGTATGTATGTGTGTGGAGCAGAAAGAGGTTGTGGCCACTGAACAGAAATATTTAAAAGGTAGGCAAATGTGTCTTAGGAACATGTGTCCCTTATGGTTAATCCTAAAAAAGCAAACCACTGGAATAATGGGATGATGAGCTGGAATGATAGGTTCTTGTGGATTGTCCTTTAAATAATAGCTCCCCATTTTAAAATTAGGCACAGCCATATCCATGTGTTCCAAAAGACTCATAATTGTGTCCTTTAAAAAAGAAAATTTGAGAGTAGTGAAGGTCACTGTTGTTTAAAAAAATATCCATCATTCAGTGACCTGGTTAGTTTTGTAATGATTGTACCACACTTTGGCAGTAGAAAGCATGGAGGCTGGCACTTTTGAACTATATCAATAGTAATACCTTGTCTCTGGATTCACTTTGCTTCTAGCCTTTCTCTTAAGTATTGCTTTTTAACTTTGACTGTGTTACCATCTGCTTTCCTCATCTCATTCTGCTATTGGTTTTGGCTCCAAAAATGTCTTTTTTGTGGTTCCACTTATTTCAAAGCAATAAATCATTCTACTATTTTCCAAGAAATCCCAACCTGAGATTAATTTAATTGTACATTATGGCTCTTTCTCCTTATTTTGTTCAGCTTGGAAAGCATCAAGTATGCCTGTGGGTTACATGAAGTCTCTGTTTTAACTTACAATATTTAGAATGAGGTAAATGGAATATCTAGCAAGTTATTTCTATAAATCATCATCATCTGCAAATTATATTCAAGTATCCACTGCCTTTATTATGATAGATTAGCTCCTAATATGAATAACATGTTAAGTTGTTGCATTGTAACCTGATAGGAGTAATAGATCAATCAACCAGCATTTATTAGGTACCTGCTCTGTGCCAGGCACTGTGAATACAAAGACAAAAATGAAATATAGTATTCTGTTAATATTTTACTTGGTTAAGACAAGGTAATTTGGGGGAGGAGAATCAGGAAAAGCCTTGGGTAGGAGGTAGTCCCTGAAAAGATCTTTTAAGGAAACTTGGGATTCTAAGAAGTAGTGATGAGGAGGGTGTATATTTACTGTGTAGTGGACAGCATGGTTTAGATGCAGAGATGAAAGATGGCAATGTCAAATGTGAGGCAAGAAGGCCAGATTGGCTGGAGTGAGGGGTGCATGAAGGAGTAATGCATAATAAAAGCTGTAAAACTAGTTTGGAAAAAGGCTGTAAAGGGCTTTAAAACACCAAGTAGGTCAGTTACCTAGAAGTAATAGGCAGCTACTGAAGTTTATTGAGCAGAAGAATGACATGGTTAGATCTGTGTTTTAGGGATAACACATTGGTAGCTATGTGGAGGATAGGGTGGAGAGAGGAGAGATTTGAAGTAGCGTATCTAATTAAGAGGCTAATACAATAACAGTCTAGGAAAAGGTGATGAAGGCCTGAATTAGTGTAGTTGCTGTGTGAGTTGAGAGAATTGGGACAGATATGAGAGCTGTTGTGGAGGTAGAATAGACAAGAGTTGACAACTGATTGGATGTGTAGGGTGAAGGAAATGTATGGTTGTGAACCTGGGTGACTGAAAGAATGATGGTGCCTTCAACAGAATTACAGAAGTTCAGACAAAGGGTGAGTTTAGGGAAAAGGATAGAGTTCTATTTTGGTCATGTGGAGTTTGAGATGCCAATAGACATACAGTTGGAAATAACCAATAAATAGTTATAAATGTAGGACTGGGGCTCAAGAAGAAACAGAATAAAACAAACTTAATAAAAAGATAATGAAATAAAATGTTCATAGTGATTGAAACCAGGAGAGGCATCATAATGCAGTGGAAAGAGCCCTAGAAATGGAGTCAGAAGATCTGAATTCAAGAGCTGCCCCTTACTACATTATAACCTTGGGCAAGTCATCAAATCCCTCTAGGCCAAAGTTTCCTCATCCATGAAATAAAAGATTTCAATCAGATATCCTCTAAGATCCCTCCCAACTATAAATCTATGATCTTTTGATCCCATGATTTGTGCAACATTCAAGACATCCATCTTCCTGGCAAGTAAGAACAGATACAAACCCCAGTAGGAACAAACCTACTATCTTAAAATCAAGATTTAGAAAACAAGTAAGTTGACAGAAGAAGGAGGGGAGAAGTGTTAACATGAGGAGAGTATTCCCTTAAAAAAAAATCATTTAGAAAGAGATTCATCGTGAGGTTCCATTAGCTAGAAAGCTTCCATAGTAACTTGAAAATATTTAACTTTGTAAGATTATTTTTCTAGAATCCATCTATTAAATTACATTATTGCCTACCAAATAAAGTAACAACATTAAATAAAATTCTATTGAGTAGAATTCATCATCATCTGGAAATCTGCTATAAAGATATTGTGTTACCCTTCATCAGCATCTAACCCAACAAAAATCACAAAACCATTAAGTTACTTTTCTTTTCTTTTCTTTTTTTTAAGGATTCTTCATATTCATTTTCTACTGTGTAGCAAAGGAAAATGTCCGGAAACAGTGGAGACGATACCTTTGTTGTGGCAGATACAGGCTGGCTGAAAATTCTGGTAAAAATGCACAATATATTATTATTACTACATTTAAATGCTATTTCTTCTTCATGTAAGTTTGTAGAGTAGCTACAGGTGGACTATATAGAGACCATATATATTAAGGCCTGAATGTAGAAAACAATGTTTCCAAAAAAGGCCAGTGTATCTACAAAATGATAAATGAAACCTGCTCAAATTCAAAGAAAGTTTTACTCAAAAACTTTTAAAGTATTCAATTAAAAAAAATGTCATATTTGTTAATAGTTCAATGGTCCAGTAGTCTAGTAATCATTAAAAGTCTAATGACAACTTGGAAGTATTCAGTGGAATGTTCCAGAGATCTGTGCTCTCAGTGCTAACTATAGATGAGGCTGCTAGCAGTCAAAATTCAAAAAAGATCTTGGCAGGCAAAACTACCTGAATAAATTTAAAAATATGAAATTTAATAGAGGTCTTCTAACATGATCACAGATTTAGAGCTGGAAGGAACCTTGAAGATCATGTAGCCCAGCTTCTCATTTCACAGATGAAAAGATTGAGATAAATGTAAATGTACACTTGAGTTCAAAAACTCAACTTCAGAAGTGTCTCTGGTGGAATGCTGAAAAGGCAGTTTGTTTGAAAAAGCTTTTAGTGGACCTCAGGCTCAATGTTATTCAGCAACTGTAGAGCAGCCACAAAAGCAAATGCAATTAGTTTGCATTAAGAAAGGTAAAGTGTCCAGGAATAAGGAGGTAATAATTTTGCTATGCTACAGACCATGCCTGTAGTGTCATGTTCATCTCTGAGTATATTTTTAAGACAGACACTAATTTTTTTGCAATATTTTTATTATTTATTGAAGGCTCCAAATTGACAAGATTCAGAAAGAGACAATGTTTGCGTGCCCCCCCCCCCGCCTTCCCCCCAGGGTCTAAAGTTCAAGGACAATGCAACTTCAAATGTTTATTGGAGATGGACTTCATTGAACATAATCTGATTGGAAAAAAAATCTACTCCAGCTCAAAAATTCTGAGTCTAAGTATTTAGAGGAGATAAGAAAAATGGCCTGGGGTAAAAAATAGGTTGATAATGACTTTATGTGAAAGCGTCTAAAGTACTAAAAGGTCCCTGACGTGAATGTCAAATAAAAAGGAAGCTGCCTCTCATTGTGGATAGAGAGCTGTGCTTGGAGTCAGGAAGACCTGGATTCAAGTCCATTCATCGTCACTGGGAGAATCCCAACCACTCAGTCAGACATTGACAAGTTAAAGATGGTGCAGAGGAGGGCAAAGGGCCTCAAGGTTATGTCAAGATCAATTGAAGTAACTGGGATCATTTTGCCTGGAGAAGACATAAGAAAGAGAAGATAGCTGTCTTGAATTATTTAAAGGACTGTTGTATGGAAGAGGGACAACTAGAAACATCCTATCTGGTGAGAGTGCAGGACTGAGAACAAAGGGTGGAACTTGAGAAGAGGCAAATTTAGGAGACACCTCCTAACAATTAGAGCTGTCCAAAAGTGCAACGGTTTTACTCAGAGGTGGATTTTCCCTTATTGGAAGTCTTTAAATAAATTCCAGAATACCATTTGTTGAGAGTATTGTAGAGTGAATTCTTATTCAGGTGTGGGTTGCAACTGAAGGCCATTGAGACACCTACCAACTTTTGAAATTTTCATATATATTATACCATTATGTCCTATTAAATTACTGAGATTCTTCATGAAAGACTGTTTTAACTAGATTGTTTTCTGGCACTTCTTAAAGTCAAAGAAATTAACTTTAAAAATTAACTTCATTGTTTTATATTCTAGATTGAGCAGGTTCTATTAATCAATTTGTAGATGAGCAAACCAATTTCTGTATACAACTCTTAGTAAATTTTGAATTATTTTAATTTGTCTTTTTTTTTCCCTTTTGGACATATAACAACTAGGATTTAGAAGACCTGGGTTCTGATCCCAGATCTCCCTCTTACTACTTGTGATTTGGGGCAAGTAATTTAAACTTTTGGGGCCTCTCTACTTTAATTAGCAAAAGGGAGGCAATAATAGTTACATTAAGTCATAAGATTTTTGTAAGGAAAATGCTTTGTAAACTTTAATGTGCTGTGAAGACATAAACTAATAATAATAATCTATAAAATGAGGGGTTAAGTGATGTCTAAGGTCCCTTCCAAGTCCTATAAGCCTATGAATCAGTTTATCCAGCACCTGGCTCAGATTTCTTTTTAATGAGAAAATTGAAAAATAGGAAATAATGAGAAAAATCTGTTTTGAGGCATTTTCCATAAATACTATGGTTTGTGATTTCTGATGAGATCCAGGAATCTGTGGCCAGGCAAAGACTGGAATGCAGCAAAGGGAGTCCAATCAAGCTCAGTGTCTAAATAGTCATGGCTAATCACCACACGGTCATTTCAGCCATGATGCCTTGTATCCATCATCATGTTAGCCAAACTGACCAATCAAGTCAAAGACATCATGACTAGTTTCATCAGCCAGAGCTGAAAACAGAATCAGTAACTTTTGGTTTACTTGTTGAAAAATAAGGTCTTGAAATATGTAATTCCTTTGTAAGCTCTTGAAGTGTGATAGTAATTTCTAGATTTCATTATCTCCCATATACCTGTCCCTTGCATTTTTGCTTCAACAAACTGCACTATTTTCTGTAATGCTTATTCTGCTATAGACTGGAGTAGAACTGCTACTAATGGTTTAAAGAAGCAGATTGTAAACCAAGGAGTGTCCAGTTCTTCAAATTCCTTACAATCAAACAGTAACTCCACTAATTCTACCACCCTGCTAGTGAATAATGATTGCTCAGTGCACGCAAATGGGAATGGTATGTATATCTCCAGCAAGTATTTCTCGAGCTATTTTTATGTATTTTTAAAAGTAGATCTATCCTCTTATGACATCAGTTCTAAGCCCAGAGCATAATTACATATGACTTGTTCATTAAAATGGTTGTCAATTATAAAAGAGAAATAGTCATACAATTTGATTCATGTTAGTGCATAGTGGAACTAATTTCAAAAGAATATCCACTTCTCTTTTGAATTGTTACTGAATACAAAGCTTTAACACTGCAAAGTCTGAACCAGAGTATCATCTTTAAATTCCACTGACTGTGCTCCTTGAGAGTCATATTGAAAAGCTCAAATAACCACACCAATTCCTGTGACATCTTAACTAGACACTTCCTCTATGCTTAAACCTTGCTATTCTGTTACTTATCCTATTTACTAATCCTTTCTTCTGATATTGATTCTTTTAATCAATGTTCAGTTGCACAATACTAAAATATAAAATATGCCTTTCTATATTATCAACAGGTGGATAAATTTTAGTTGCTACGCAATTCTGAAACCTGTATCAGAAATATCCACCTGTTTTTTCCTTTACAAAACTGAACTTATATATGCCTTATCTTTTATATCTTTATGTGTTTTGCTTCTTGATATTTCTATTATTATGTTATAAATAATTGCAATTGTTCTTGGCTAGTAATTATTAGAAGACTTTTCTTCGCATGCTGTTCATTACCCTTCATGACTTATTGAATACAGTTTGTGAGTAGTTAGTATGTCTGTCCAAAAAACCTCAGGTCTCTCAAAGTCATCAAGTTCTGCTGGTATTGCCATAATGTACACAGATTCTGAAAAAATAAAAAAAAAAGGTTCAGTCCCTTTGAGAGATGGAATTAACTCCAGCTCTTTTACAGCTTTATACTATTTTAGAGTGAGAACTCTCATCATTTCTTATGAATAGCAGTGGCAAGATTAATTAGTTTTCAGAATAAAAATAATCAAGATCAGCTCTATCTGGGGTCACAAAAAAAATAAATTCAGTTCCAAAGAGAAGGGGAATCATAGGTATGCAATGAGTCACCAACAATGTAAGTAACAGGGCATGTTTAAAACCATATTAATGTTGGCCACAGTGGTGCTCACCTGTAGTCCCTGTTGCTGAGATGCTGTGGCTTTAAATTCTGCTTGAATTGCTTGAATTTGGGAGTTCTGAGCTACTAGACTAAGGCTAATCAGATGTGCACACAAGTCCAGCACCAATACAGTGAGACCTTAGAATGGAAAAGCTATCCTCTTCTAAGGAGGGCAAACCAGCTCAGGTCAGCAAAGCTGAGCAGGAGTTTCCATGCTGATCAGTATTGGGATAAGGCCCATGAGTGAGGAGGAATAAGACCCAGGGGAGACATGGAAACTCGGTCTGAAAAAAAAAAAAAGCAGGAGCAGCTAGGTGGCACAATAGATAGAGCCCTAGCCTTAGAGTCAGGAGGACCTGAGTTCAAATCTAGCCTCAGATGCTTGACACTAACTAGCTGTATAACCCTGGGCAAGTCACTTAACCCTGATTGCTTCACCAAAAAGGAAAAAAAAAAAGGCAGAGAAACACCTAAGATTTTTGACCCCTAGTCCATATCTCTTCAGGAGGAGCTTGGATTAATGACAGGAATGGACTAAATGGATTGGATTTTCTGATCCATTCCACATCTAGGATCCCTTCCATTTCTAAAACAGTTTTACAAAATTCTCTGATTCCAAAACAAACTATAACTATGCCCTATAATTATTAAGGAGGAAGTTTTCCTGTGCAATGCATATGGTAGGAAAGAGTGGAATGTTCTCATCTCTTAGCAAATGTTTCCTCCTGCTCATTCATGAAGTGAACCTGCTAATCTTCCTCTAGGAAATGCCTCTACAGAAAGGAATGGTGTCTCCTTCAGTGTCCAGAATGGTGATGTATGCCTGCATGACTTCTCAGGAAAACAGCATGGGTTTAATGAGAAGGAAGATCCTTGTAACAGTAAGAACCGAATCTCTCTCAGAAGGACTTCAAAGAGGGGGAGCCTCCACTTTGTAGAGCAAATGTGATTTTAAAAAAAAGATTCCCAGCATGGTGCTGGGTAGTGGGAGAGCATCAGTCTTAACTTTTACACAATGTGAGAAGGACATAAAGTTGACTTATTTAGTGTTCTGTGTCCTTGGGGAGAACAAATCCAGGACTGGCAAGGACTGAGGGTTGTGAAAAAAAAAGAACTTCAAAATTCTGTTAGAGAAGATCCATCAGAAACTACATTGGAGCTCACATATGTTTGCAGTTTGGGTCATCAGTCTTCCTTTTCAAAGAGAGATGTTTTTTAGCATTTTTAAAAAAATACAATAATACTAAATAAATATTCTAAGTAGTACCAATGTAAAACCAGTAACTGATTACAACTTAGATGATGCCTTATTTCCTTTGTTATCATAACATACAACAGCTGTTAGTTACAGTTTTTGTGAGTTTAGTCCTTCTTGTTGTACATAAGTTAAATGCCACGACGATTAACATTTTCTTTCTACTTTAAAAAACAAATATATTTATTTCCTATAATGTACATTTTTTCCCTTTTGTATAGAACAGTGATTGTGTTATTTTGTTTCAAGTTGTAACTTAGGAAATGCTAGCTGATTCAGTGAACTCCCAAACTCTGCTCTTTATTGGCTTAGAGATTATACAGTATGAAATGCAGCAGATTATATGGGCCCACATGTCAAGATGCTGGCTAAACTGAAATGTATAAATAGGCCTAGTTCTTGGTTCTGATTCAGAGTCCTAAATTCTGAGACCTGGTTCTCATCCTTTTAGTCCAGTTTAAAAGTTTAGTTAGAGGAAGGACGAAGCATAATGCAGATCACTTAGCAAAACAATTCTAATCACTAAGCAGCTTCTTTCACTGCCACTTGTCAACCCTCTAGGAGCCTTTCAAAAGGAAAGGACAGAATAATATGACTTTTTAATGGAAATGTATATAAGGAAAAAATTCCTAGTTACTACTCCTTAGGAGCAAGATAACTGCATGGTACACGGTTGACTTTTAAGACTATTAAGCTCTGGTTTACTCTGAGCTATAATTAATAAATACATATATAATATATAAATATTATGGGGCATGTCATGTCTTAAAGACAGTTGTACAGTGACAATGGTAAGCATGAGATTGAGAATGGGAGGCTATCCCATGATATTATCAAGCCTATGAATATCTAGCCCTGATTTTTACATATTAGATGGGTTTGCCTTTGCTTCCCACTTATACTATCTTGGTTATTTCCCCGAGTGTGTTCTTAATAGGAACTATATGAAGTCTTTAGTTAGCCCTACCCTCTTACTCCCATGGGATCTATTGTATAGATTCACAATACTTGTAAAAATGAATGTGGGGCCACAGGACAAACAATAATAATAGTATGATGTATTTCTGTGAATGCTCTACTTGTTAATTGCCTTTGCACTGTTTCTTTATGTGATTTATTTAATTCTTTTGTATTTATATTTTAAAATGTTGAAACTGGAAAAATAAATTTCAAATTCCTTTCATGAAGTTTTAATAACTTTCACGCAGATAAAGTGTTTGCAGTCTATTTGTTTAAAATGAAAGTGTTGGATAAGTACAACTAATTAGCAGTAAAGGCCTGAGTATAAAAAACATCAATTAATAACATTTTCCAGAGAATTTAACGTTTGCGTGTGTGTCATGGACCCTTTGTCAGTCTCGTGAAATCTATTAACCCCTCTGCAGTATGTTTTTAAATACATAAAATAAAATAATGGGATTAGAAAGGAAACCAATTGTGTTGAAATGCAATTATCAAAATGTATTTAAAAACAAGTTCATGTTTCTTCTTTCACAACCATGACTAAAATGGAAATATGTTCTACATGATAGCATATGTATAATCTATATGAAATCGCCTACCTTTTTAGGAAGAGGGGAGGGGATGGAGGGAGGGAGAAAAATTTGGAACTCAAAATCTTGTAAAAATGAATGCTAAAAATTGTTGACATGTAATTGGGAAAAATGAACCCAAAGTTAAGAACTCCTACATTTAGAAATATGAAGCAATGTGGATAAAATTCTGGCTAATTTCTTATGATATCACCCCTTTGCATTCTACCCATTTTCAAGATTCAGCGACACTATATAGTTTGAGCCCCAAACTCTATTTCTATTAGCAGTGATTCATTCCCCTAAACAGTAGTTTTCAAACTGAGACTCCAGGGTGTCTCCCAGAGGAATCTGAAGGGAATAATGGAGAAAAGAACTGAGATTTTCTAAACATTTTTAGTGAAAGTTGTAGGAGATTATGTGGATTATACAAATGTAGCTAGACAGTCTTCTTCTCAAGTCTACCTCTGCATTTCATTTATTCATTCATTTAGTAATTCATTAAAAAAAATTATCAAGAACCTACAAAGATAAATAAAACATGGACTTTATCCTTAATCAAATGGAGTTTTAAGAGGCAGATAAAATACAAATAAGAAATACATATATGTAGACTAATTAGAATATATAATCTCATATACATTGTATATACATATAGATATAAAAAACTTTTCTAAATCATCAGGTGCTACTACAAAAATAGCATTTATATATAACTTTATGTTTTGTGAAACACTACAAATATCTCATTTTATCTTTCATCCTGAAAGGTAGGTGTTATTATTATTCCTACTTTACAAATCAGGAACCTGAGGCACAGAGAGGTTGAATGACTTCCCCAAGACCATACATCTAGTAACTGTCTCAGGCCAGATTTAAAGTGAGATCTTTCGAACTTCAAACTCAGTGCTCTACCCACTGAGCCTCCTAGCTGCTTGAGAACATTACAGAACCAATGTTTGGTGGTACCCTTTAAATACTTCCTAGGGTTTGGCTGTATGTACATGGCGTGATGAGAGGCTGTGGGGTGAAAAGACTTGACACTAAACTTCATGTAGAAAGATGCTAATGCTCAGGAGGAATGACAGAGTTCCTCTAGTCTCTGATTCTATGTCAGAATCAAGGTTATTCTGCAATTCTTGGTTCAAATGTGCTTCTTTTTATTTGCCTTAGAAAGAGCACATGGGAGATCATGTGAAAGCTAGACCATTTCAATAACCATCCAGAGACAAAACCATGTTCTTCAAATTGCCAATCCCACCAGATGTCTTGGTGGTTTAGATGTACAGATAAAAGTCAAGTAGCCCTGTGATATTCTGAGTTTCCCTCACAATCTTTTAAAAAATAACACATAATTTCCTATCAATATAACTTGATGATCTAGCTGCCATCACTACAGGCCTAGTATCTATCATCTCCAGGGACTAGGCTTTACTGCAATATGCAATCAAAAGCTCTCTCCTGGAAGATAAATATTTGATATGAAAGTATATATAGGCTATTAGTGCGGCTTCTTTTTAATGTCTTATGGACATTCTTAACCATTATTGTTAGAAATACCCCTTCCATGGACATGTGTATTTTTTACATACGTCCCAAGAGTCGAGTTAACTTTTTTGGTAACAGGATCATTTTTAGGATCATAAGAAAAGGTCTAGAGCTGGAAGGGACCTAAGACACCAGATAGTCTAGCCCAGGGGTGGAGAACCTGTGACCCAGAGGACACACGTGGCCTTCTAGGTCCTTGGAAGTTACCACATTGACAAGTCCTTCAGCCTTTTGACTGAATACAAGTTTTATAGAACAAATCCTTTTATTAAGGGAATTTCTTCTGTGCAGTTTGGATTTAGTCAAAGGGCCATACTTGAGGACCTAGAGGGCCACAAGTTCCCTACCCCTAGTCTAACCCCTCTTTTTGGTAAATTGTACTCAACAAGTCACCTCTAGTACCAAGTCACCTCAGTATTTTGAAACCAGGAACATACATTTATTAAAATATTTATTTTATTCATTTTTACTACCTCTTAATCCAGACTTGTGATTTCATAAGTGCAGAACCTATCAATGTAGTAACTTCCTTCACCAATGCACACCAGAAACTCCTCTTAGAGAGTTTCCTAGGGGCACTGAAATGTTCACTGACTTGCCTGGCATCACACAGTTAGTTTGAGTCAGGGTCAGGCCTTGAACATAGATCATCCTGACAACAGGGCCAGGTCTCTGTCCACCATATCATGACACCATTTTTTTGTTTTGTTGTTCCTTTTTTTTTTTCGTTGTTCCTTTTTTTGTTATATTTTAAGCTCCAAGCTATTTCCCTCCCTTTCTCCCCATCTTGCACTAGAGAAGGCCACCATTACATACATATACACACATACACACACACACACACACACACACACATAAAACTATACTATGTATGCTTCTATTTATCAGTTCTCTGGAGGTAGATAACATTTTCCTTCATAGGTCCTTTGCTTTGATTTGAATATTTATAATACTCAGAACAGCTTAGTTGTTCACAGTTATTTTTTGAAGAATATTGTTGTTACTGTATACAATGTTCTCTTGGTTCTGCTCATTTCATTCTTTATTATTTCTTTCAAGTCTTTCCATGTTTTCCTAAAACCAACCTGCTCATCATTTCTTATAGCACAGTAGAATTCTATCATAATCATATAATGCAACTTGTTTGGCTGTTCCCCAATTGATAAATATACTCTCAATTTCCAGTTTTTTGACATCATAAAGAGAGCTGCTATAAATATTTTAGAACATAAAGGTTTCTTTTTTCTCTCATCACATTGGGAAACAGACCTAATTGTGAGATTCTGGGTCAAAGGATATACACAGTCTTATAATTCTTTGGGCATAATTCCATATTGCTCTCCAAAATGGCTGGATCAGTTTACAGTTCCCAACAGTATATTAGTGTCCCAAATTTTCCACATCCTCTCCAACATTTGTCATTTTCCCCTTCTATCATTTTAGCCATTCTGATAGATGATATCTCAAGGTTGTTTTAATTTGCATTTCTCTAATCAATAATAATTAAGAGAATTTTAATGATATGTGTGTGTGTGTGTGTGTGTGTGTGTATATATATATATATATATACATATACACACACATGTATATATATGTGTGTGTATGTGTACATATGATTTCTTCATCCAAAAACTGCCTATTCATGTCCTTTGACCATTGATCAATTGGGGAATGATTCATATCCTTATAAATTTGACAAAGTTCTCTATACATTTGACATATAATACCTTTATCTAAGAAACCGTCTATAAAATTTTTTTCCCAATTTTCTGCCTTCCTTCTAATCTTGACTAGATTGGTTTTATTTGTACAAAACCTATTTAATGTAATAAAAAATTATCCATTGTACATCTCAAACTGCTCTCTATCTCTTGTTTACTCATAAATTCTTTTCCTATCCATGTCTGATAAGGAATATATTCCATGTTCTTTTAATTTACTTAGGATATCTCCTTTTATGACTAGATCATGTATCCGATTAGACCTTAACTTGGTAAATGGTTTTATAATTACATTTGTGTAGTTCCTGGGTTTATCTTGGAAGGTATACTCCCAGGTAGTTTAAGCTCTAAAGTTATTTTAAAGGGGTATCTCTTACTATCTCTTCTTGCAGGGTTTTATTGGTGATATATAGAAATGCTGATGATTTATGTGGGTTTATTTTATATAGCTTGATACTTTGCTAAAATTATTAGTTGTTTCAACTAGCTTTTTCTCTAGGATTTTCCAAGTTTATCATCACATCATCTGCAAAAAAGGACAGTTTTATTACTTTATTGCCTATTCTGATTCCTTCAATTTCTTTTTCTTCTCTTATTGCTATGGCTAGCATTTCTAACATAATATTGATGATAATGGGCATCCTTATTTCACTCCTGATCTTACTGGGAAGGCCTATGGCTTATCTCCATTACAAATAGTGCTTGCTGATGGTTTTAGGTAGATGCTTCTTATCATTTTAAGGAAAAATCCATTTATACCTATGATTTCAAGTGTTTTTAGTAAGAATGCGTGTTGTATTTTATTCAAAGATTTTTCTGCATCTATTGATATAATCATATGATTTCTGTTACTTTTGTTTTTAATATTGTTTCTATGACTTGTTCTTTAACTTATTCTTTAAGATTAGGTTATTTACATAGTCAAATTCTGAAATCCCCAGCTCAAGGATAAAATATTATGAAGAAAAAGAAAAAAGACAATTTAAATATAGTGGTGTCACAATTAGAATCACACAAGACCTAGCAGCAGTGACACTAAAAGACCACAGGTTTTGGAACACCATATATTGAAGAGCAAAACAACTGGGGCTCCAGCTGAAAATATCATACCCAGCAAAGCTAAGCGTAATCTTGGATGGAAAAAAATAAACATTTAATGAACTGTCAGACTTTCAGGACTTTGTTAAAAAAAAAAAACCTGAACTTAATAGAAATTTTATATACAAGAGGTAAGAGAAATATAAAGTACATACCAAAGGGACCCAGTAAGGACAGACTATTTACCTTTTATGTATGTTAAACGTAAAACATATGCCTGAGACTGTTATTAGCAGTTGGGTAATTCATAAGAATGATTGGGGTAGACCTGATTATGATATGACTTTAAAAAGCAAAACTGTTTAGGAATAGCTAAAAAGAGTAATTATACAAATGAGATGCAAGAGGAAGAATTAACATGGAGGAATTCTCAGTTTTGGTAACCTACTTTTATCAGGAATGGGTTCAAGAGGGAACAACACATATACATAGATATAGATATAGATATAGATATAGATATAGATATAGATAGATATAGATATATGTATAAAAGTCTTCTAAATTCAGAAAGAAATAAAACATTAAGTGGATAGGGAAGGGGAGAGGATAAGGGAGGGATCTCTAGAAGGGAGAAATAGGGAATAGGTTAAAGGGTGGTATAGAAGGGGTTTAGATTTATGGGAATGGGAGATTAAGGAAGGGATCCTTAATAGGAGGGCAAGGTAGTAAGTAGAAGTAGAGGAGTCAGGAAGGATAGGAAATAAGAGATACACACAAACATAAAATAAAAATCAGGAGCAGGATTTGTTAGGGAAAGGGGAGGAGGTGTGGTAATCATGATCTTGGACAAAGTTAAGGCTAAAATAGATTTAATCACAAGAGAGGACACTATGTGTCAGCCATATTTATCAATGTTGTTTTGGACTATTTAAAACAACTAGACAGTATAAAGTAGGAATATGGCTATGGTGTAGGAAATGATGAGTTGATGGACTTGGAAAAATATGGAAAGACTTGGACTTATGAAGGAAGAGGTTATCCACCCTCAGAGAAACAAGATAGACAAGAATAGTATGGTCTTACATAGATGCATATGAATGTATATGTTTACATATGATTATGATCATCAACATCTAAATACATGTAAGTGTATGTATGTACAGGTATATGTGTATTTATGTATATCTTTGTGTGTGCATGTCCATATATGTATGTGTATATATGTATGTGTGCGTATATATGCACATGTGTATATGTGTGTGTGTATCTGTGCTTAATTGTAGCCTTTGGGGTGGGGTTGGGGAGGAAGGAGGAAAAAAGAACAAAGTAAAAAGTGCACAGCAGAGAACAAAAGAAAACTTACAAGGAAGCAAAGAAAAGATGGATAGTTCTCAAAACAATACATAGTATTTATTACATAGGCTTGCTTGAAATGGAAATTTATTGCTGTATATTTTGAACCCTCTCTCACATTCTGTTGTGCACATAGCAATGTTTTTTTTCTTTTCCTAGTTTGTATTATTTTAGTTTTAATATTTAAGTTTGTTTCTTCTTTCTTTTCTTATTTTGTATTTAAGTTCAAAATTTTAAAATTATAAAAATAAGATTAGGTTATTTAGTCTCCAACTAATTTTTAATCTGTGTTTCCACAGTCCCTTATTAAATATAATTTGTATTGCTTTAAGATCGGAAAAGGATGCATTTAATGTTTCTGCTTTTCTTCATTTAACTATAAAGTTTTTATGCCCTAATATATGGTCAATATTTATAAAGGTACCACCTGCCACTGAGAAAAAGGTATATTCCTTTCTACTTCCATTCAGTTTTCTCCAGATAGCTATCATATCTAGCTTACCTAAAAATTCTATTCATCTCCTTGTCTTCTTTCTTATTTATTTATTAGATTTATCTTGTTCTGAGAGGGGAAAGTTGAAGTACACCACTATTATAGTTTTGCTATCTATTTTCACTTGTAATTCATTTAGCTTTTCCTTTAAAAATGTGGATGCTATAACATTTGGTGCATATTGTTTAGTACTGATATTACTTCATTATCTGTGATACCTTTTAACATAATGTAGTTAACCTGTTTATCTCTTTTAATTAACTCTATTTTAGCTTTAACTTAAGATCACGATTGCTACCCTAGCTTTTTTTGCATCAACTGAAGCATAATAAATTCTACTCCAGCCCTTTATTTTTACTCTATGTGTGTCTCTCATTTTTAAATGTGTTTCTTGTAAACAACATATTGTCAGATTCTGGTTTTTGATCCATTCTGCTATCCATTTCTGTTTTATGGGTGAGTTCATCCCATTCACATTAAAAGTTATAATTACTAGTTGTGTATTCATTTCCCTTCACAGTATTTTTCTTTACTGTTTATCCTTCTCTCCCTCTCTTTTTACCCTATCCCTTCTCAGAAATCTAAATTACTTCTGATCACTGCCTCCCTAATCCATACCCATTCTAAAAGTCCTTTCCTTATTCTCTTCAACAGTCCCTCCCTTGTCCTAGCCTCTCACCCTACTGTTTCTGTGTAAGTTAAGAAGTCTTTTATATCTTTCTAGGTGTATGCTTTATTCTCTTTTTTAACCCAGTTCTGATAAGAATAAAGTTCTAGCACTACCAGCCCTCTACCCTTGTCTGCCCTAAACTATAACCATTCTTCTATTCACACCCCATTTGTATGAGATAATTGCTACATTTTACCTCTCCCCACCCAATTTTTGCTTTTTAAGATCATCCCATCATACTCAACTCAACCCCAAGACTTCTATCTATATATGCTCTTTCAAACTACCCTAGTAGTGATAACATTCTTAGGAATTACAGATAATGTTTTCCCATATAAGAAGTTTTCCCATATAAGTTATTAAATCCATTATAACTGATCTTTCATGTTTAGCTTCTCATATTTCTCCTGATTCTTTTAGGTCAATTTTTCTGTTCAGTTCTGATCTTTTCCTCAAGAATACCTGAAAGTCCCTTAATTCATTAAATATCCATTTTTTCCTTGTAGTTACACTCAGTTTTGCTGGGTAAATTATTCTTAGCTGCAAACTCAGCTCCTTTGCTCTTTGGAATACAATGTTCCATGCCTTTCAGTCTTTTAATGTAGAAGCTGCTAAATTTTGTTTTATCTTGACTGTAGCTCCACAATATTTAAATTGTTTTTTTTTCTAGTTGCTTGAAGTATTTTCTCCTTGACCTGAGAGCTTTGATAATTAATCATGACATTCCTGTGAGTTTTCATCTTGGGATCCCTTTAAAGTGGTGATCAGTAAATTTTTTTCAATTTCTGTTTTAACCTCTCATTCTAAAACTTCAGGGCAATTTTCCTTAATAATTTCATGAAGTATATGTCTATATTCTTTTTTTTATCATAACTTTCAGGTAGTCCAACAATTCTTATATATTGTCTTTCCTCAATCTGTTTTTCAGGTTAGTTGTTTTTGTAATGAGATATTTCACATTCTCTTCTATTTTTCCATTCTTTTGATTTTGTTTTATCATTTCTTGGTGTCTTGTGGAGTCATTGCCCAATTCCAATTTTTAAGGAGTTATTCTGTTAAGTTTTTTTATCTCTTTTTCTAATTAGTTGATTTTCTTTTCATAAATTTCTTGAAAGAAACAATACAAATATCAAGGAGCCACAGTAAGGATTACACAGGACTTAGCAGCTTCTGCATTAAAGGAACAGAGGGCTTGGAATATGAGATTTTGGAAGGCAAAAGAGCTTGAACAAGTTGTGGTATGTGAATGTAATGGAATACTACTATTCTATAAGAAATAATGATCAGGCAGATATCAGAAAGACTTACATGAACTGATGCTGAGTGAAGAGAGCAGAACCAGGAGAACACTGTACATAGTATCAGCAACATTGTACAATGATCAGCTATGACTGACTTAGCTCTTCTCAGCAATACAACAATCCAAGACAATTCCAAAATACTCATGAAGAAAAATGCTATCCACATCCAGAGAAAGAACTATGGAATCTGAATGCAGATCAAAGCATACTATTTTCACTCCAAAAAAATTTATTTTTGGTTTTTGTGGCTTTTCCCTTTTTTCCGTTTCTTCTTTCATGACATGCTTAATGTGGAAATATGTTTACATGATTGAATATGTATAACCTATATCAGATTGCTAGCCATCTTGGTGGGGGGGAATGAGAAGCAGGGAGGTTGAAAGAATTTGAAAATCAAAATCATATAAAAAATGAATGTTGAAGGTTATCTTTATATGTAATTGGAAAAAAAATACTATTTACTTTATATTTGGAGTTAGGAAGTTTTGCTGTTGAGTCATTTTCAGTCGTGTTGGACTCTGTGACTTCATTTAGACTTTTCTTGTCAAAGTAAAAGGAGTGGCTTGCCATTTCTTTCTCCAGCTCATTTTACAGACAAGGAACTGAGGTAAACAGGGTTAAGAGACATGTTCAGGGTCACACAGCTAGTAAGCATCTGAGGCCAGATTTGAACTCAGGAATAAGGAAGAGCAGGTTTCAGTCTAGCTTCTGATAACAGTGGTTGTGTAATCTTTGAAAGTAAACAAACCTTTCTGTGCCCCAGGTATCAAACTCTAAGTTGCAAAACAGCTACCTATTTACATTAGAAGACAGAATTTTCTCACCAGGAGTTCCCTACACTAGGAAAATCACAGATCCAGACAAAACAAATGACCACACTTTGATTATATGGGGGAAAATATTTCTTCAAAACACACACATTTTTATCAATTAAAAAAAGTGTTTCAATTAATTTTTTGTTGTTTATCAAATCATCATACATAAAAATGGAAATGAGCTAAAACAAGCAGATTCTTTTCATTGAAAATTTATCTTAAACAACTTCTGAAAATAACATACACACAGAAGCAGAGGAGACACATATACAGGTAGATTAACAAATAGAAGGAAAGAGAGAAGATACACACACACACACACACACACACACTCACACTCAAAACAGAGGATATTGGGCTCAGATATGGAGGCTGCAACTTTCTCTGAAAATTACTCTAAGGGAAGATGGATCAGAGCAATAAATATACCTTTTCTTGGGTTCTATTAGAACATTCTTTTCAGGGTCCAAAGTTCCTGGGGAAGCAAAAAGAGCAAATTAGTTTCTAAGCTTCTCAGTACTCAAAAAGAGTTTCTAGGAGTTGGAAGAGGAATGAGTGCTCTTTGAGTTCCAAGTCCAAAAGAAAAAAAATTTAAAATGTCATTAAATCATCTTTTCCAAAACAAGAAGCAAAAAGAAGAGAAAGTCATAGATAGAGACAATATATACACATACTCACGTTGTCTCCCCTATTAGAATGTAAATTTCCTAAAGGCAGGGACTATTTCATTTTTACCTTTATATCCTCAGCACTTAACATAGTGCCCGGTACATAGTAGGAGTTTAATAAATACCTATGGGTTGACAGATTTATATATATATATGTATGTGTGTGTGTGTGTGTGTGTGTGTGTGGGCGTATGTGTATGTATTTCCAATTGCAGAATACACGGATATTGTTGTTACTCCCTAATTTCTCATTGTCAGACTATGTTCTTTGATCTATTTTTTTTCTGCCCCAGTGTGGCCTTGCAAGTATTTGCTTCTTCTTCTCCATACATGTTAGATAGCTGCAAAATGGGGACATACAGAGCATTTAGGTATCTTCTTCAAGTACAAGATAAATGTACTGTAGAGTAGAGAGGGATAGCTTTGGGACAACATCTTGTAGACAGTATTTTGATAATGTGGTGTTAGGAAATTACAGGTTGTTTTTTCTGGGTTTAGTTTTGGTTTTTAATCCTGTTTTTGATTCTGAGTAAAGTTTGGTTCTAAAATTGTCGAGGCAAACAGTATGTTTTCTTATTCTCCAACAGATATAATAGTAAAGCCATAATTCAACCACTTTGGGGATGGCCCCTTTTAAGAGAAGAAAATAAAATGGCTTCCAAAATAATCTTACCACCATCTTCATTAAACCATTTCAGTTCTTCCCACTGTTCCTCTCCCTTACCACAAGGTACTGATTCAATACACCAGTCAGCCTCTTAACCAGACCTGACTGTACATCCTCCTTCTCAACAATAATTTTTAACAATCTCCTAGTGAAGGAGAACATCGTATACAGTAATAGAAACATTGTACGATGATCAATAACTTAGCTACTCTCAGCAATACATTCATCCAAGACAATTCTGAAGGACTTATAATGAAAAATGCTATCCATCTTCAGAGAAAGAACTGATTGAGTTAGGATGCAAATTGAAGCATACTTTTTTCTTTATTTTCTTTATTTTTCTTTGGGTTTTTTGTTGTGTTTTCTTTCACAGCATGATTTACACGGAAATATGTTTTGCATGACTGCACATGTATAACCTATGTCAAACTGCTTGCCTTCTCACTACAGGGGAGGGAGAGAGAGAATTTGGAACTTAAAATCTGAAAAAAAAAAGTTATAATTGTTTTTACATGTTATTGGGAAAAATTAAAAATATTAAATTTTTTAAAAAATACTATTCCCATTGATAACATTTTTAAAAATCCTGGTGACTGGATTAAAAAGCTTAATAAAATTAAACTAAGGAATCACTCTCTTTCAGATCAAGAAATCATAATCTTTTTGAGAGACAATGTGGTATAACATGCTGGATGTGGTGCTGGCTGTGTGATCATGTGTAAATTGCTTACCTACTCAGACCCTCAATTTCATCATCTATTAAATAGAGACAATAATTGTTTGTATCACCTACCTCACCATACTGCTGTGAAGAAAGCACTTTGAAAACTTTTAAAGGGCTACACATGGCAGCACATACTTGTAATCTCTGCTACTGGGGATACTGAGGCTGGTAGATCTCTTGAACTTAGTAGTTCTGAGTGATAGTGGCCTAAGTGGATTGAGTCTCCAAACTAAGTTCAGCATTAATACAATAAACTCCCATGAATAGGGGTGGGGAAAGATGCCACCAGGCTGCCTATAGAACAGCAAACTTGCCCAGGCTGGAAACAGAGCAAGTCAAAGCTCCTGAAAGGAGAGATGTCAGGCCCACGAGTAGCCACTATACTTCTAGCCCGGGTAAGATAAGGAGATGCTGTCTTTTAAGTATATATACATATAGATACACCTATACATATATACACATAGAAGCACTATATAAATATAAAAAAATCTAGCACCTGAAAGAAGAATACAGTATTATTTCCCCTTCTTCAAGGCTAATGTGGACTTCTAGGAATACTTTGATGGATTCAGTGACTATGGAATTTATCAGAATACTTATTCGCTGGTGGAATGACGCACAATGTGGGATTCAATACTTGGTTTTCATCTTTTTATTCCTTTAGAAAGGCCTTGAAAAAATCCCTTAGGAAATGTATAATATGATATATACCTTTCTTGCCAAGAATTCATTGATGTTACATTCAAAGAGTATACAAAGTTTGCAAAGTGCGCTTGCATATCTAATTTCATCCTTACAACAACCTTATGAAGCAGATAGGGAAGTCATTATTACTCACATTTTACAGAAGAATAAGGCAAGACTCTGAAAGGCTGTTGTTCAAGATTAGAGACATGGCTGAGATGAAATCTAAGTACAGGCCTTATGACTCCTGCTCCACTGTCATTTCTCTCCAATACACTAAATTCATTCATTTATTCTGTAAATCAGGAACAATGTAACACCTGTAAGACCTTCTCATGTTTTTACTTTTGTCTTTGCATGAATACCACTTATAATAGTGAAAGAATATAGTAAGCACTTAATAAATGTTTGTTGATTGATCGACTGTGGCGAAGATCAAATGAGTCAATTAGAGTAAAGCACAACTGCATTTCCCCTCGAGGTGTGAGAAGCAGCTCTGAGGGGTTGAGGGTGGTTTTTTAATGCTATAATTTATGAGCCCTCACCAGTGTGCTTTCCCCATTGTTTTGTGTTGGGTTTTTTTTTTTTTTAGGCAATTGGGGTTAAGTGACTTGCCCAGGGTCACATAGCTAGTAAGTGTCAAGTGTTTTGTCTGAGGCCGGATTTGAACTCAGGTCCTCCTGATTTCAGGCTCAGTGCTCTATCCACTGAGCCACCTACCTGCCTCCCCCACTGTTATCAGTTGATATCAATTAGTCAACCAGACTTATATATCTTTTAGAAAGAGGTATTTATTAAGACTGTACAGTAAGAATATAAGAACATTTGGTGTAATACCTGTGAAGTGTCCTCTCACCAGTAAATAATGAGTCCAGAGAAAAGTGAGCTCCAACTTAGGTAATTCAAAGCTCCTAAAAGTCCTTTTGCTTCGGTTCTCAAAAAGTTCCTTTTATGTGTATTGTAGCTTTTCTGCTGGGCTCCATGGGAGCCAGAGACTTGAATCCATCTTTCTTCATCTCATCTAGTCTGAACTCAACTCCTAACACTGCCACTTTCATCAGTTATTGCTGTCCCGGAGCCACAGATAGGATACTGATGAATAAGCTCAAACCCTCTTGTCCTCTAAAATTAATGAGGACCTCCTCTGGCCAAAGGGGAGGGAAGGTAGAATAAGACTGAGACTGAGACTGGGGCCAGGGCTCTTCTGTTCTCTCCTCTGCTATTCCATCTCAGGGGACTTGTTTGGAAGACTTTCACTCTAAGCTACTAGATGCCCAGATCCTTTGGATTTTGAACTAGTCAGCAATTTTATGAATAACTCATAGAGGGTGACCAAATTTCCACAGCAAATCCAAACATACTTCCTTTGCAATGTCACTCTAATTCATCCAATGACTTTTAAGGACATCTACATTGATTATTTTTTTTTCCTTACTTAGTCTTAACCATATGATGGATTGATTCATTTGATAAATTCTCACCTTGCTAAGGTATTAAGATATAGCATACTGTCACTTATTTTAACTGGGGTAAAATTATTTGATTGGCTAATTTAATTGACCCCCCCCATTCATGTATTCAATAAATATTTATTGACCACCTACTATGAGCAAAACACTGTGCTCTAGTGGTTGACTGGGCCCAGTTTTTAAACTTGTAAATATTAGAGGGAATGTTTTCTGTCAGGTTCACCAGGGCATCCAAAAGGATAGAGGAGACATATGTTTTTGCAGCAGTCTTTCATAATCTGGAATGAATATTGAAATAAACTTGTAAATATGTCTCAAGGGACCTTATTTGAGGCCAGAAGGTTCAATTTCCCTTCTCATTCTTTACGTGTTGTAGAATTTCAGGCTTATTGAAATATGGAGCTACTGTGATGATAATCCTAAACATAGAAAGTAGAAATTGTAAAGCCTGCAATTATAGAATATTTACACATTCTAGGAAAGGGACAAGAAAACAGAATCAACCAAAAAGGAGATCAATATACTAAAAAAAATTCCAAAGCACAATGGAAATACTAAGTAATGAGTACTTCTCATCCTTCTCATCTAATCCCTCCGTGACAGTAGCAGGTCTCTCCCAAATAAAGAACAAATTTGCATAAAAGGAGTATAAAGAAGCAGTATTCTTATCTTTTCATTGGAAGCCTAGTAAGAATCTGAATAAAGTTGTCCAAAGAGTTAGGCTTAAGTAATTTAATTCCAAACTGTAGTTAAAAATAGCAGTGTTTCACTCAGTACTTTTGCATGCAGTGCCTAGATTAGAAACACAGTGACATACATAACCAGAGTTAATTATAAGGACTTGAGAAGTGACAACAGGGAAACAAAAGGGATATATGCCAGACAGGGTCCTGGATCTACTGCACTAGGAATTATCACTGAGTGCAACATAATAGAGCTATGCAAAAATATTCTAACCTCAGCTGAAAACATGCACCATATGCCAAATCTGGAAAGACTCAGTTGAACAAGATTCATTCATTCAACAAATATTTATTGCATACATACTACATACACAGCACTGTGCTAGGCAATGTGGGGGACAGAAAGATTAATATGGGTTCCTCATGGATCTTACAGTTGAGTTGAAGATACATGATATGCTCACTTTACCTATATCTTAAATAAAATTTTAATCTCATTACTATGGACACTGTTTACTGGTGCAAATCACAACTTATCCCCATCCTTTCATAAATCATAAAACCAAGGTACTAACATAGCATTCAGCTGCCTCTTTATTGTCTTTCATTTTTGCTGCATGGCTATTCTATTTCCTATTCCAGTCATACACATCCTTGAAGACATCTGTCATACCATTCTTTTGAAATCATTACCTTCTGTGATCTATACTACCATGGGAAATGGTGTAATGGTTTCCATGTTCCTAAGATGTTTATTATTTCAGAAGTTATTCTTTTTAACACCATTATTCTTCCATAATAATCCCTAGTGCTTAGCTCAGTGCCTATTCATTTAGTCTGATTACTGCTTTAGGGTATAATTTGAGGTGCAGAAGTTATATTTCCCTTTGTTTTTCACCTTTCTATTTTTTTTTTTTTACCTTGGAATCCTAGGGCTTTCATTCCTTAAAATGAATTTTCCTATTATTTTTATTTAGCTCTGTAAAGAATATCTGTTAGTTTTATTGGTATAGCACGACATTTGTGCACTATAGTTTTTATTATTTTATTATTTTGATGTGGTCTACTCAACAGCATTGAATATCCCTCTGTTTTTTAAAAAAAAATCCTTTATTTTGTAATTGTATAGCCCTCTGGGGGTGTGTATGTGTGTGTGTGTGTGTGTGTGTGTGTGTGTATGTATGTGCACGCAATACAGGGCCTTTCACGTACACCACAGATGACCATAACATCTTCCATTCCTCTCCATTATCTCTCTTTATTAATTCTCTCCTTCAGAGTTCAAATGTAGTTGAATAAGTATGCTCTGGAATATTTTCAGTAAATTCCTCAATTGGAGAAACTCAGCTTCAACCCCAGAAAAAACAGGGAAAATTTCTTCTCCTCAGGGCTAGCTTCCCTCTCTCTCAATTGTGAATTGGGATTAGACAAAATCACTGTTAATGGCCATGTGACTTATTAGCAAAACTAACATAAAAATGCAGATAAACATTCAATCACAATTAAAAAGTTTGTGATGATGCTTCCATCCAGGGTCACCTCGGAAAAGAAGATCTTCTATACTTTCTTCCCAGTAGATTTATGGAGATTTCTGAAAGAAACAATTGTGATGTACTCTAGAGAGCTGTGCTCTCTAGAAAAATAGGAAGAAAGACTTCACTTTCACCAGCTGCCCATTAAATCTGGATCTTTTAGCCCCACTCCACTTATACCACCACCACTCCCTCCTCTGTCTTCTCATTCTCTAGGCTAGAAGTTCATTTACTCTCAGGCAGCTGCCTACCTGCCTGGTGCCCCTGCACTTTCATGGAAGTCTCTTCTTCAAGGATGCTCTAAACTCAAGAACTCTAAATCTGAGCTCTCTGATAGTATCTATAAACAGTTTAGCTCCAAGAGTCTCTGTCATCTTGGGGAAGCCCTCTTAGACTCCAGGAGAGGTCTTTGTGATTCAGGGGAGGTCTTACTCAGTCTCTTTGATTTCTAGAGAAGATCCTCCAAAGTCCTTGAGATCCTGGGTTTCAGCAACTCTGGGCAACATATTTATACAGTTTTGAGTACAACTCGGTAAGTTGACTGTTCGTAGACTTTTTTTTTAACCAAGTTTAAATGTTTTGTAAACATTTTTCTTTTTATTATTATGAACTTGACAATCATCAACAGATGAATATTTCCACATACAAAGAACAGAAATATTTGATTGTATATGAAATTGAATCTCCACTACCTTCAGATATTTTTGTGTATTTTAAGTTTAACATTGTTGTCTCAACACTGCTTTGCTTGTCTGAAACCCTTCCTTTCTCTCTGGTCTGTATCCATGTTAGTAATTTATTGGTGCTTTTTCCCCCTTTCCTTTCTTTTTTAAAAAAATACCACTGATGGGGTGCTTGGATGCTTGTGCTTGTCCCCCTTTTCTCCCTAGTCTCAGAAACACTGTCTCTGACAACCACGCCCCAGCCCAAGGACACTGTGCCTAGCAGTTATTCATGCATGGGCCTCAGCAGGACCCTTATCTCTATCCCTGGTACAGCTACACAGAGCTGGGCTGCTCAGGCCCCAGCCCTCAGATCATGTCTCTGGAAGCCTCCCATTTCCTTAGTAGTTCCTGTCTTGTAAGAAAGCTTTCCCTTGTTGCAGAATATTCTCTCATCAACACAGAGGGAGAGGGGTTGGCCAGCCCAAGGAGTTTTGTCCTTGGCCAGCCCAAGGACTCTTCCTCCTGCCAGACTCCAAAGATCCATACCTCTGTCATCTCCCTCCCTGTCCGGTATACTCCCTGTACTTTCCCATCCATAGCCCCCAAAGACACCTGCACCTTTGGATTACCTCATCAGCATCCCTGGTATTTCTTTCCCATGCTCTTTTCCATATAAACCCTACCTGCATTCTCAGTCTCTCTGGATCCTTAAGAATCCTTGCCTGCTGAAAAGCATAACAATAAACTTTGCCACCTTGGATTAAAGAATGCTTGAGTCTGTGAATTCATTCCAGACTACCGGTCCTGTACTCTGGTCTTTGAGGGGTCACAACCTCTCAACCTTTTACACGGTAACACCACCATCATCATCGTTCCCCTCCCACCAAAAGCTCTACCTTGTAAACAAATAAATGTAATGTCAAAAAACAAATTCACACATTGGGTATGTCTAGGGATGTGCTGGCAAATGTTTAACAGCTAGCTTTCTGAAAAATAAATATAGGTGTGGCAGACTTTTAAGTTCAATTTTCATTATTAATAATTTTTTTTAGTATTTGCTGATTTCCAAGGTGTAAATGCTTACACTGAAAATTTAATAACCTTCACAGGTGGTTCTAGCTGATTTTAGCACACCCTAATTGTTTCTAAAAATGTCTAATTTTTCCTTTTAGTCCATCTGCCAAAAAGTGTATCTTCAACATTCTTCTCAAGTGGTGATCAGTCACTGCCTTGGTCACAGTTGTTAAGTTTTTCAGTTATTTTCTTTACAAAGTTATGGTCACTGAATAAATCATTCTCTTGAATATGTTAATTTCATTCTATATCAGTTCATACAGGTCAGGTTTTTCTGAATCTGCTCCTTTCGCCATTTATTTCTCCCCCTTTTCTTACATATTTATTGTGTTCTGAATTTAACAAACACCAAATAAAATGAGTATTTTAAAAAAAAATTTTTACTTGAAATCATCAATCTGTTACATAACTGTCCAGTTAATATTAAGCATGATACTAATGCCATTCAAATGCTTCTCTATTCCAATTTTGATTTTTTTTTTTTACTTGCTAAATCTGAGGCCTAAATCCACCCTTCTTTTCCCACCAACCTCACACACACATTTTTTCTGGGATTTGATGTTTGTTAAGAGCGAGAGAGGAGTCAAAGGTGACTTCCATGTTCAGAACTTGAGTAGCTAGGATAATGATCATATCATTAACAGAAATTAGAAAATCAAGAGGCAAGTTCTCTATCAGTTCCCTGTTTTGTGGGGGGTGCGGGTGGAGGAACCCTGATTTCGAAATGAGAGCAGACCATTCAAATGTAACATCCAGTGACACGTTGCACTCTGGCATATACTTCCCTTTTTTGTGAGGTTTTATGGGGCTTGCAGTACAATTAACCTGTTGTAAATGGTAGTATCACCCTCTCTTCTAAGAAATACCAAAGAGCTCCTGGTATGCAGAACTCTTTCCCTTCCCCAGCAGGTTGCAAGATGAGGCAGGAGGTTGGGGAGGGCGGTAACTTACCCTCTCACTTCTTCCTCCCATTCTCACGAGGTGATCTGCTCTGCTGCAAAGCTTGGAACACTAGGGTAGAAAGGGGAACTGCAGTATCCACACTGCAGGTGCTATATATACCTCCGGAGATTGCTACTTCCCTTTTTTTGGGGGGGGCGGGGGAGAAGGAGGAGGAGAGTTTTTGTGGGAGAGGCTGAAAAGTTTTGGGGCTACCTGGGAGACAGACTTGTGAAAAGTCGGTTCCGAACAACGCCAAAGAGGCTTCTTTCCTTGATAGGGCTGGTTGGGTGGACGCGTGCAGCTTGCAGCACAGAGTGCTCCTTGCGAGCGCCGCAGCCGCCTCGCCGCCTCGCCGCCATCCCAAATGCGCTGCAATTTATCTGGGGGGAATTGGCCGCTCAGGACCCCGCAACCGCAGCCGCTCGGCTTCAGGGTCAAGGTCTTGCATACACAATTTTTCAACTTATTTTTAATTAGCCAGCATTTATTTTGTCTCCCTCTCCTACCCAGAACGAGAAACAAACCTCTGTAATATTGAAGCAAAACCTGTGCCTACGCTGGCCGTGTCCAAAAATATTTGCCATTATAATTTTAAAAAAAAATTCCCCCTTCCAGTATGGGAGGTGGCGCAGTGGCTGCACTTCAGAGTCAGGAATAAACTCAAGTTCAAATCTCCCTTCAAGCATATACTAAATGGCTGAGTCTCTCGGACTCACTTTCCTCATCTGTAAAATGGGGGCTTGCCGTACAGGGTTGTGCTGAAGTGCAAATGAGCTAGTAGAGCGTTTTGCAGATCATATGCATGCTAGTTATGATTACTCACCACCACCACCTGCTTAGATATAAAGGGGGTAAAAACAAATTTAAAAATTTACCTACGACCCTGTTGCTGACAATGACTCTATCTTGGAACCAACCAGAGGTAACTACACGTAGCCACCCCAAGCAGGGGCCGCGAGTCCGAGGTATGATTTGGAGCGGGGGCGCGCGCGGGCCCGTGCGCGGCGCTGCCTGCCGGGGCACGCGCGGCGGCGCGCGCCCTTCCTCCCCCTCTCTCTCTCTCTCTCCCGCGCGCGCGCGTTGTCCTAGCCGGAGGGCTTGGGATAGGCTGCGATCCCCGAGATGAGGAGCAGGAGCAACTCGGGAGTCCGTTTGGACGGGTACGCCCGGCTGGTCCAGCAGACCATTCTCTGTTATCAGGTGGGTGCCGAGCCCGCCTCGCCCCGCCCCCACCCCCCGCGCCGCCGCCGGCAGCTTCGGGGCCTCGGCAGGGGCCCAGGGGGCCCCACATCGGAGAGGGGGGAGGAGGCCGGAGCGGAGCCGAGCCGCGTGCGGGCTTGGGCCGGACCCCTCCGCCCCGGGCGCCCGCTTGGGCCTGCTGCGGCCCCAGCGGCGCGACAGCTCCGCTACCTGAGCGGGAAGCGTTTGACCCCCCCTCCCCGAACATTGGGGTACGGCCCGGCCCGAGGCTGGGAAGCACCCCGACCTCCCGCAGTGACTGCACTCTCGGGGCCGGGGGGCGAGCGGACTGGCCGAGGGGTGTGCGGGGTGACGCTGTAGCCTGGCCTGAAGTACTCGCGGGGTGCAAGGGTGGGGGTGTAAGAGCCCCTTCTGCCCTGTAGATAACGGTTCTCCCTGGCCCCGTCCCCCGTTTGTGTCTCTCTGTCTCCCTTTCCCTTGCGCTCCCTTTCTCCCCCTTTCCTCTGCACTCTCCCCCACTTTCCGCCTCTGCCTGTCTCCCCTCTCCATTTCCTACTTTTTCGTCTCCTCCCAACCCTCTCTCTCCTTGCCCCCTTTTCCTCCGCATTTCCCTCTCACTTTCTCTCTTCCTCCTCTCTGTCTCTGTCCCTCTCTTCTCCCCCTTTACCCCTCCACTTTCCCTGTCCCCTCCAAACCTCTCTCTTCCTTTGGGTCTTCTTGTATATACATATATGTACTTATTAACTTTGTAATATGTATTATATATGTTATATATATAATTTTATGCTGTAATAGGTATATACACACACGTGTTCTCCATTAGAATATCCCTTCCTTACCAGCAAGTATTGTTTCCTTCTTTGTACTTGTACCCTCGGGCACTTAGCACAGTGCCTGGCACATAGTCAGCAGTGCATGTTGACTGACTGGTGGGTCAGTGACCAGAGCTTGATCAGTACTTGTTAATTGATTGATTGATAAGCTTGTGATTCTAGAAGTCACCTCGGTAGTCAGTCAACAATCATTGTTTAATCCATTAGCGCACTGCTAAGGACTAATGGTACAATGAAAAAGCAAAAGTTACCAGCCACTAGGACCTGAACATTTCTAATAGGAGAGACAATGTGAAAATAACTGAGTACATAGGTAGCTGCATGCTCTTTCCGTTGAAATGTTATTCTTCCAGTGGGGAAGCAGTTCTCAGGACCCTGTGCCTCTTATCATGACAGTTATTCTGGGAGTCTCTAAGAAAAGGAAGTATAATTTGATAGAGGACTGGCTTGAAAAGAAGGAATTTAGATAACTATCATTATGCTACTAACTAGTGGTAGCTAGTCAGGATCTATCCATGGCAAAGTGCTTTGTTTTGTTTTTTAACTTTCTAAGCTTCTATTTTCTCATTCTTAGGTGGCTTGGGATGCAAGGGGGTGGGGAGTGGGGTTGTATTAAAATTGTTTACATAGTGCTCCAAAAACATGAACCAGAAGTATTGTCCAAATATAAATAGAAAGTATCTTTGCTAGACAAATTAGAATGAGAACTTATATTTCTGTTCCTATTTTTTGTGCTCTCTTCATTCCCTGACCTTCTCTGCCCTTAAGTTAGTCATTACTGCACAGTTCATTACTCGCTCTCTAATTGCTTCACAAATGTTAATTTTCTGTCTCCAGTCAGGTCCTTGAGGGCAAAAATCAGCCCAACTGTTACTACATGCAAGATTGTTATCAAATACTTATTGACTGATGCTTAGTTATTCTTGGTAATTCCATTTTCCAGAATTAAGACATTTTATGGGCCTAAGATCCATGGTCTCATAAAAGAAAATGAGTGAGTTTGTTGTTGGAATTTTTTTTTTGTACAGAGTATTTTAAAAGCTAACTTTTTTAAAAATCTGACCTTTTTATGTGTTTGTTTTTAGGAAACTAGTAAGAATTTTCCAGGCTTTCTTTCTTATCTCTCTATCTTCCCTGATATACCCATTAAATGTGAATTTCCACAGCTTGCTTGAAAAATTCAAAGCATTTTTATGCTAGGAAACCTAGTGGTGAATTATTATCTATCCGTCTGCAGTCCATACAGTTACCCATTGCCCTTGATGATGGTGAAGCTTCTAACTAGGGGGACACTGACCTTAAGGAAATTTAAAGCCTCGTTCTGTGAAATATGGTGACACTGATGTGTCTATCCAGCTTTAGACGTGATTCGCTGCTCTCAGAAACACATATTTTTATGTATTATTTTTCTGTGTCAACTCTGCCCTTGAAAAGATGGAGACTCATTTTTCTTTATGTACTCAGGTGATGAATTCATGGGGCAGCTAAGTGGTGAAGTGAATAGAGTGCTGAGCCTGGAGTCCAGAAAACCTGAGTTCAAAGGCTGCCTCAGACGTTGAACTCGCTGTGGGAACCTGGGCAAGTCACTTAATCCTGTTTGCCTTGTTTCCTCATCTGTAAAGTGAACTGGAGATGGAAATGGCAGACCACTCCAGTAATTTTGCCCAGAAAACACCAATTGGGGGTCACAAAGAGTCAGATACAACTGAACAACAACAAAAGCTGAATTCATACTGTGCCAGTTGCACATTGTAGAATAAGAGTGGTCAAGACAAGCAGTTTAGACCAAAAAACTATTTAGGCCTATGAAATTGGATAGGAAAAAAAATTACATCTTTATTTTCATAAATATCTGACTGAAATATACCATATCACACTACATTTATTATAGATCTCAAAATATCATTTACAATCATCACTACTTCAAAATTATTATAATTGTTATGTTTACTACGAGATCTCACATGATCATAATCTTGTTTACAGACTTTCAATATAATTAGTTCCCTTTATAATCCTATGTATTTTAATTTAAAAACATTATTCAGAGAAGGGGTACACAGACCTCACCAGACTGCCGAAGGAGTCCATGACACAAAAAAATTAAGAACTCCTGCTGTAGTGCAGCTCTCTCATTTTACAGAAGTGAAACTGAGGCAGAGACCTTAAGTAATTTGCCCAAGGTCTAACAGGTAATAAGAGTCAAAAGTAGGATTGGAACCCAAGTGTTCTGACTCCTAAAGCAGTATTCTGTCATGATAGAAATAAAAGCTTACTGATGCAGCAAAGATCTTAGCTTTACTGTTAGCAAGGCTAGCAGTAGCCAATAAATGGGGTCAGTGACTCCTTAATAAGTCCACAAGTGAGGGAGAGCAGAGTTTTTTGTGGTAATTAACAGAATGACAGAGGAAAATCTCAAGCAACGAAGTTGTATCTTGTTCTGATGGGCCAGAAAGATATTAAAAAAACCCAAATACCTTCTGTCTTCAGTTTGATATTATGATTGCTTGGACCTCCCCTTCTGAAACTCCCTACCTAAACCACAAACAAGATATGTAATTGGAGTTAATAAAGAAAGTCTCATTAACTGAGATTAGTTTTCAGGCAGTGGTGAGGAGGTAGATAATGTTGGGAGTCGTTTGTCTGGAAAGAATTCAGGGGGCAGAGTGCCCTGTATTTTTATCATGTGTATCTGTCACTCCATGATTAGTAAAGCTGAAGCAGTGGTTGAAGAAGAAAGAAAAAAGATTTGTTTAAAATGCTTAATTCATCCTTGCAAAGCTACTTCTTGGTCAATACCATGGATCTGTAGGAATCAGTTGAGAAAATCTTAGTACTAAATGTTAATAAAACAGTTAATATAAAGGCAAAAGATAATGGTGAGGCCTATGGCCAGGAGAGCGTATTTAACTAGAGTAGTTAGTATGCCTCATCTTCTTAGCCAGGAAAATATTGAGGAAAACCAGGAGCTATCATTAAGTGATCCATAGGATTTGGTCATAATTTGCTGGGTGTCATAATACGTTAAAGCTCATGGACATTTGTAACAATTTCTCCTTACCTATTAATGTAAGAGCAACAGGATTGATTAATAAGAGCACAGGCTTCTCCTGAGGAAACCGTGAGGCCAAGTATCTAAAGCTAAATGGTTTGCAGGACTGCTTTTGCTAAAGAATTAACATAGGGACAGCTATGGGGCACATTGGATAGAGCACTAACCCTGGAGTCAGGCTTCAGACACTTGACATGTACTAGCTGTGTGACCCTGGGCAAGTCACTTAACCCTGATTGCCTTCAAAAAAAAAATTAATCTCTACAGCACTAGATGTTTTGAGAGATGACTGGGGTTGGGTCTTGAACTAGTTTTTCAACCTCAGTAGAAATGTGCCTAATTGAGTCTATTATTGCCATTATCCCAAAAGTGGGCACAATAGCCTAAAAGAGTCTATCTCCTGAAATGGAAATAACTACAGAATTTTTATGTGCATGCCACAAAGTTAATAAATTCCTAGCAGTTTTTTTCCCCCATATTAGGTCGAGTTATTATGAATTAATACTGGTCAAGCCATGTAGATGGCGATGTTCCCCTATGGTGGAAGAGAGGTGTAAGCTGATGCATTGCAAATGGAAAATTGCCTTGGGGTTACTAGCCCTCATGTGTATTCTGGGTATGGTGGTGAAGAAGCAGTAACATTTGTGAAAGTTATGTTTTTGGGTTGACTGTCATTGAGCCTAGAGAGACCAGTCTTAGTACAGGTGAATATTGTTACAGAGAATGGGAAGATGAGGTTGCATTTTATGTCTTTTCCCATTATGTAGTG